AGATGCGAACATGTAAAACAGAGCCCAGCCAAGGATGACGATGTAATATATGTTTAAAAACTGAACGATGATGACACTTGCCCATCCAATGCCTGCAATGAAATCAAAGTTCAAATGTTTATATATATATGTATATATATTCACTGTAAGTTGTTGTTCGTAATAAACCCGATATCGCAAAGGTCATGGGTTCAAATACCTTACAGGCCTGAATTTTTTTCAGGCCTTACTTTCACTGTTGCTTGAGTAGTTTTCATCAATGCAAGGATCGCTTTCATATTCATTTCTTAAATATTTTCATATATGCACTGCCATCGATTCATCACTTCACGGGTTTATTACAAACCAACATAATGACAAGCTCCCAGCTGGCTTGTCAACTCGATCAGTTGGTAGATCATTGCACTGGTATCGCAAAGGCCATGGGTTCAAATCCCGTACAGGCTTGAATTTCTTTTCAGGCCTCATTCTCACTACTGCCTAAGTACTATTCGTTGCTGCCAAGATCGTTTTCATATTCATATCTTATCAGTCTCTCATGAAAGCATCATCTCACTGACATAAAGCAGCAAAAGGTAAAAGAAAATGCCTGATTGTAGGTATTTCTTTCCTCCCTTACATTCTCACTTTCTCTTAAGCTGAATGGAAGACCTAGTGTGAGCAAATGGCGGAAAATTGTCGAGACCCGGTGTAATGTAGTACAACAAGAAAATATCAACTGACGATATTCTCTTGAGTACAACTTGAAAATCGTTAATCGTCTTACTTAGCACTAACAAGATGTCGGCACTCAATAACACGGTAAAAGGTATTTGAAATGTTACATCAGCCAATTTGACTTCTCTTCCCTCGAATTGTTATCGATGTAACCTATTTTTACGTTATTTAATGGTCACGTATTAGTAATACTTAGCTCTTTTAAACATTTATGTTAAATGGGGACTGATGCTCGAAACGCTAGAATCCCTTTACCTTAAAATATTTTTACGGTGGCCATTTTTCATTATAAACTCGGTTGATAGCACAAAATTATATCGGGATATCCCCCCTCACTCCTCCCCTACTTACTGATACAACACCACAGTTTGTTATGGAAACTTACCCTCGCTATTTCTTATCATTAACGGGGTTACGAAGAAAATTATAATCATGATTTCTTGATTATCGTTTGCCACATCCAATGGGACAAAAACCAACGATTGAACTATTACATACATTTAAATCGATAAAAGCAAACCTTGAAAAAGCGGACATATCAGCCATGCTGTAATTCCACCTTGACTTGCAAACTGCCCCAGACAAACTTCCAGGATCAGAACAGGGACACCAGCAAAAACGAGGCAAATTAGGTACGGGATCAGAAAACATCCTACATGAGGTACCCGGTAACACATGAAAACAAAGCAAAAATATGAATAATGAATCAAGAACGAATCACAACTCAGTGGAAAACACATAAGCCAGAGGCTTTCTTCGTCAAGTGCACCTCTTAACGAAAACCTGTTCATTGCGTTTGAATCAGCAAATATGTTCCATTGGAAAAGAAAAACTTGCTGTTTCTAATTCTTAAATAGTATACATTGGTCAGCTTTGTTGTCGACGCAATTTTTGATCATAAAACGACGATAAATCGCTTGAGGCAAAAGACCGTCCAAACAAAAGGAAAATTAATTATATTCAGAAAGATCTGAAACAATTACATCTTGACTATTTCAAAATGGAAGCAGTGTAGTGTAGTCTAGGAATGGTTTCAGTTAAAATCTGAATATTTGTATTTTTCCATGCATGCAAAAACTTTTCGATTTCTGTTCCTGACAACGAAAAGAAAAATTTTCAAGCTTTGAGAATAATGTACTAAAATAATGGCCCTTAAGCCCTCGCTAAAGTTTCAAAGACGTCACTGTTTTGCATAAGTACTAAGTAAATTGTATTCTTTGTAAACATTCTTAAACGATTGTTCGATCGTGTCTAACGTTATACTTAAGTCACGGAAATATGTTAGTTGCTCGCAGCAAGACAAAAATGAAACAGTTTTTCAAATTCAGTGTCAGGTACATCATTAGGCATCAATACAAAGTTCTCAAATGTAATTAAATAACGTTTGCAGCCTAGTGTTGAGGCACGAGGCATTGACCCGAGTGACACACGGATAGATGTTTGTTAGTTTAAAGTGGTGAAAGAAGCCGTTCAAAACAAGTTTGACTGTTGGGATTACTCGCTTGCTCATTTGGTCTCAGCAATACAGAAAGCAACAGCTTTCAGATTCATTGTTAAGTACATCACGTGGCCACCAGATAAAATTTTCAAATCTAATCAAATAGAGTTTATAGCCTATGGCTTGTGAGACACATGCATGGCCTTGACGTGAGTAACGCACGGACGGAGGCATCTCAGTATAATGTGGTGAATGGATGTCAAAACAAAGTTGACCAAAGACTTATTTTACGAACTGTAAATTGTTTTTCATGCTGGCTAAGCTTCAGAATACCCTGCCACTCATTTACATGTCACTGAATAAGAATAACGTTTATTGTATTATGCCTCCATCTTTGAAGCCTCCCGACACATAAATTAGGTGGAAAAAAGTGGCAAGGTATTCTGCAGTTGCTCCTTCGCGCTTTATTCGAACATACTCAAATGGAAACGAATGAAGTTTCGCCAGATTATCAGAAGCACCAGCACTTACATAATATAAGTAAATTTACAGTAATCATCATCAACCGTCACGCCATCTACACTCACCTCCACCATTTTTATAGCAAAGGTACGGGAAGCGCCAAATGTTTCCCAGTCCAACAGAGAACCCTACGAGGGCAAGAACAAAGTCGATCGTCTTGGACCAAGTTTCCCGCTTATTGACTTTATTATCCATTGATAACGGGCAGTGGTTCAACTCAACTGTGTGCCGTTGAAAACTATTTCATAATGAGTGCGTACGCTTCACATTTCCATCTTATTTCCATATTCATAAATCATGCTTTGAATGACAAATGTCTATAATAATTGGAAATAAGGTTTTCTATTTTTAACTATTTTCTCTTTTGGCAGGTCGACCTTTGAAGTGCTTGTGAGGGCTGTTTCCGTGCATGATTAATTGTGCTTTTCGACAAGTTTTCTTTTTGTTGAATATGATCATTGAATATTTTGTTTTTTTCTCTGGTTTGAATAACGCTAAACGATATTCAAAAGATAAATATTAGTAAGCTCAAACCTGAAGTAGCTGTAGTCATGTAAAAGTAACGTTTAACTCTTCTGATTATCGGAGAACAAGAGCAAGGAGTGGTCGTATCTAAGAACAAGTGACAATTTTGCACCAAACAAATACTAGTTACTAAAGGAATTTACCTTAAAACTTTAACAAGAAAAGTTTTACACTCGTCTAAAATAGGTAATAAAACATGTGCCTAATAATTGGTTTCCGCTCACGAACAAATGATATTTACATGATCAAGTTAAACAAGCCGTATCATAATTATGGACTTTGGCATCTAAGCCATTACTTTCTTATCTGAAAACACTCTGCTTATACTTTATGTTGTTTATTTATCTCTCTCGATTAGGATTATCGTGTAAAATAGCGCTTCGTGAGTAGCCGTCATTTGTAACTTTCTCATTGTAACTTTGTCATGTTTTAATTGCCGTGTTATCGTGCAGGTATCTGATACACAAACTGTGCCTTTTAGAACCAAAGAGGTTAAAAAAAACCTTTGAAAAACAACTCTGACCTGAAGTGCAACACAGGAGAGATGCTAAGCGTGACGAAATTTGACGGTCTTTCAAGTCAACAACAGCGGGCGATTTTTCTTGAGAGTGAACTAAAACATTTTACGTCATAAATCGAGAACAAAGCTGTTACAGAACCCCAAGAACTAGAGCAAACTATGTCAGTGGTTTTTTTAACAGCGAATGTTGATTCGTTCCCTTATCTCCGCTTAATCCAACAATAGAGAAATTTGCATATGTCTTTGGTAATCAGTCAGCTGTGCGAGGTTTTAAGATTGCAATAGACCTCTATCTCAAAGTTGTATTGATACATGAATTGCACTAGAACGTGAAAATTGCGATTATTTATTATTATTCTCTTTTGAAGGGAAAGTATAACGAAATTAGAAGGAACGCACAGCAGAGAGAATGCATGGTCATTCCCAACGAAAGGGATACAACTATGAACAGAACGCAGCTCTTCTCGTTTTCAAGCTGAAAAATAAACATGTGGGATAGGCGGATTAGTTTTCAATTATCAAGTGATCGGCCAAAATTAGCACGGAAATAAAGAAGTACCAGGAAGAAAGAGGGATAATAGCAGAAATAGAGCTGAGAACAGAAAAAATGTCTTTAAATATGGAATGCTTTTCGAGTTTGTTTGGATACCTGTAGGAAAGATTAATTACCAAGCCTTTGATCTGAACTTTCAGCATACACATCCCTAAATCTTCAAAACTTTTCTGAACCGATCCGGATGCCTTGTAGTGATCCTAGCTCTCCAGTTCTCTGACCTAATATACCTCTACGCTTTAGAAAGCATTTCGCATTAGGGTTTAGCATTAAACACAATCCTAATACTTGATTCGACTATTTCCAATACTTAAGGATCAAAATTTTAGTAGTTATCTTGGTATTATTCATCCGATGTCATTTTTCATTTGATATTAATAAAAAGACAGCCCATTATTCGTTTCAGTAAAAATGTACGGATGTCATTGGTCCTTAACAGCCAACGTTCTCGGCCAGAAACTAGTCGCCTGATTTTTTCTGAGAATTATGCTCCGCCTGGCAGAATTGCAATGAAAATTACAAATGTAGGTGTTGATGGAGGGTAGCTTTCTTTTCAGAAAAATGGGGGAAAGGATATCTAAATGGCGATGATAATGATGACACTAGTATTAGTAACAAAGGAATTCTACACTGTCTTTCAATTTTGAAATTTAATGACAATATTCATATCATTATATTCATGTAAGTAATGGAAGTAATAAAGGTAACATGAAAAATATTCCGTTAACACCATTATTGTTTGAACAAATTAATACGAATATTTGATACAATTGAGGATTTGTATGTAAATATATTCCAAAAGGATGACCGTTGCCTGACGGTTCCTACAATGATTAAAATAAACAGGTACAGGGTTTGTGAAAAGTCCCAATAAACACACTGTAGCTGAGGAAAACCAAATCATACGTATATGCCCTCAAAGCGATGCCGTGGTTTGGAGTTTGTAAGACGCCTGAGAGAAGTCGTGCCTTTTGGCCTCTGGAGACTGATTCTTTAGACTGGGCGTGGTCAGGGTATCCCAACGCTGTTGACGAAAATGAATGAAATGCATGAATTAGCTAGATGATGTAAGAGATCATGAAAAGAAATGATCCTCGCAGAAGTGTTGGAGTTTTAGCCATTGCAGGATAAGCCTAAAAAGATTCAGGCTCCGAAGGGACCCGTGTCTCCCAGATTATTGTTGGTCACCACTATGTACCAACTGAGAAACGAAGCCATTGGTTGGGAGTGACGCAAATTCTATAGGATTCTTATTTTCCGTGAGGAGAAGTCGATGTAAAGATTTTTGTCATCACTCGCGACTATGTGTACGTATAGCGAGTAAAATTATTAGAAGACTCGTCATGTCATCGAAATACTTGGATCTCAACCGGTAAGTCAAGACTACGTCTGTCGGAACGTACAGTTGATCATAAAAATTGCTGATTAATTCTGGGTTAAGGAGAGCTGGAGACACAAGTGTCTTGTCAATGAATACAGTAACTGGCCAGAGCTGGAATGCTGACCGGTGTGGACTCTGCAACAAAGCCCGAGCCCTGACCTCAGCAACTTTCAAGTATAGCCGGTCGAACTATTGTGAGACGAGCACATTACTTTCCAATGCAACCGTTAAGGTTCCTCCAATATATGCAAGACATATTCACAATGCCTTGCTTACATTGGAGATAAAATATACAGACACATAATTTTATGATTGTACTAGGTGTGTACAAAGGAAAATGAGGAATCTTAGTTTGAATTGAAACGTTTTCATCTAAAACTCATGAAAATCAACTGCCGACGTTTCAATCACTAGTTTTTCATTCGCGCATCGTATTTGAGGTTAGTACATTTCTTTTTCAAACATGGTATCAGTAACACATTCTCCCCTTAAAGGTTAGTGAACACTAATGTGGTAGTTACTTCTCTTAGAGAGCCTGGTGTTGTGGCCAACTTGTATATCATCACAATTGGAATGCACACGATTGAAGACAAAGCCATGATCCAGCCTATGGTTTCTCCCCAGTCAGGGTACTTGTAACCGTTGTATTCTAGAGGCGAGTACGTCACTAGACTGAAAATGAAGACACCCTGTAGACAAAAGAGATGATATCCTTAAGGTGACTCATTCTGGCCAAGGCTCAAGCCAGACTCTCTTGACCCAGATGCCATTGTGTCAAACGTAACGGCAAATTAACATTTATCTAATAAAGTCACTGCCTTCCCCCCTCTCTATTACGTCTCTTAATGAAACTGAGAACAATTCTGAGACTGATAAATAAATATTTTGTCTTACCAAACAGAAAATAGGTGTGAATATCATCCAGCACCACCTGAGCCACGGGTTAATACGAAATCCAATCATATTCTCCATATCGTCATAGAAACGTTCACCACCTATCGGAAAACCAATGAAATTGGGTCGGTTCATACAAGATACTGAGACAATGTAAAACGCACACGTGATCGAAGGAAACGTGGACTGTGGAATCGCACTGCCTCCTAATTTATCGTAACGTTCATTGGAGGTTAAAATTCCTTTAGACGGTTGGTCAAAGCATATTCTGTGTCCAAACGTTTTAATGAAGACCACTTTAGTCAATTGAGGCGTATAAACAGAACCTCCGTCCCCACTCCTGGTTGCAACTATTATCTTCTTACCGTAGATCCAACCAATGGCAATACTTTGGAACAAGGCGATCCACAAAAGAGCAGAGCCACTGGCCGAGTAATTGTCAAATAGTTGAAAGACGTACATCCCACCCTGAGAAATAAAGAAAAACATCAACATTTAATGAAAATCGTGGGCTGCAATTCCACAAAGGTATGAAGAGAAGTGAATAAGACATTATAATCTATCATATGATCAAGCTCCCTAACGCTTTCTCCGTTGCTTGTCTGTTAAAAATGTAAAACCAGAGCTTATATCTATTTTTGCCGATTGCGGTTGTCGTGTCATGGTTAAAAAATCGCACTTTTCTTTGTTTTATGTTGGAGACATATGCTCAATATTTTTTTAATTGTATGTAACTGTATAAAAATACATATCCCTTTAAAACTAGCGGAAATGTGGTCGTAAAACATATTCCATTCCTGCAGAAAAATACTTCGTAAGTTAGCGCTTTTACAGAAAAAATCATTTACTTTTACGTTCTATGATCTTTTATTATTTTGTTTTTTTGGCAAATTATCAATCTCATGAAAGAAATTTAAATGAAGTAAAAACTCTGTGGAGGCTTTTGATCGGGGCTTCATTAACCAGGAATTTGATATAAAAAGTAGAGTTACTTTCCGAAGAGCTTGTTGAGGCCCTCATTAAGGACCTTAAGTAGTCAGGACGGGAAAGCAGAGGAAGACGTGAATTAAGAAAACTTATTTTTATTTGTGATGAGAATTTCACGAATGACTGGACGTGTTTACCATCACTTACGTTGCCACCCAAACTTACGCTTAACGCATGTGAGCATGGTTGAGTTAAAAATGGAAACATAAATGATCTGCCGTCAGAGTTTGTCACGCAAATTTTGATAATTTCGCGGTGTTGTTTTGCCTCCTCGTTGCTGTCGTCGTGGTTTGCTTAAGCGAGAGTTTCTTCGCCTGCTAGAGGCTTTCAGAAACGAAAACCAGCAAGAAGCGTGCACCGAGTGTAGGTCTCATTATTAGTGCCACTCAGATCCCCGGCACCAATCCCAGAGATAAACCTCCCGTCGACTCGACCTAAATCTTTTTGCAGGGGGAGAAAAAAGCGTCCTGCAGGGCTAATAATAAGGACATGCTTGTAATCTAGTTCCACGAGGTTATAACACAAGATCTCTACGTTTTTCTTTTATGCTTTTGAAGGTACCTTAGTAACCATGGACAGACCAATGAGAAACCAGATACAGCACATAAATGCGATGAACATCTCTTTACGATAACCACGCCTTAAGTGTTTGGGGAACAGGTCCACAATGGCTGTTACAAATCCCTCAATGCCTACAAACTTGGAATAAGACAAAAATTAGAGGTCGTTATCATAATATGCGCCTTTGTGTTTTCTGCAATGTCAATGCACATACTTGTAAAACACACAAGATATCCAGAATAAAGTTTGATAAACTGCAAATTCGCTCCAATACCTCGCTGTCGAGTCCCAGCAAGAAGACCATAAAGAAAAATAGAACCGACCATAGAGGGGCCAAAGGCATCTGAGCAACGGCCTCTGGATAAGCGATGAATGCAAGTCCTGGACCTAGCGAGGAGGCGATGTGATGAGTTAGAGACCAGAAACAATTTTTTTCATGGGGGGGGGGGGGTTTGGAGGATTTGAGAGGGGATCTCATGGTTTTTAGGGGAAAAGGAGGGGATCAGTCACCACCAACAGAGTATAGACAAGGGCCTTAGGAGAAATTGATTGCTAATGAACTGCCAGTGAGGGGGTATGATATGTATATTACAGAGCCCGGGAAATCAGGTAGATTTTATCGCGAAATAAACAATATCTTCTGAATGAGGCAACAACTAAGATCTTCTCAAACAAAGTTTGAGAAGATACAACTTAATGAACTAATATACATATATGCGAGAGTGGTGCGAGTTTTCTGGACTAATTACATAGGGATGGAAGGTAAATTCAATACAATCTCGAGTTGGTTTAAACAATCGTTTGAAAATTGCTCTACCCAGGCTCTACCCGTCTTTTCTTACCCCCTTTTGCCACGTCCTTCACTTCAACCCCTTGCTTCTGAGCCATGAAGCCAAGAACCGAGAATATCACAAAACCACCGTAGAAACTTGTTCCACTGTTTACACAAGCGAATATTATGCTGTCCCTGTGCGAGAAATGGCATTAATTGTTAAGTTAAAATGTTTTACACAAATCTTCGCTAAATAACAAGACATCCAAGCTTGCACTTCCGCTTTTTATTAATTCAGAATTTAATTGTTTAGAGCAGTTTTCAATTGAGGGCCGAAAACCAAAACCCAAGTGATCACAGAAACCAATCAGAACAAGGGTCGAATCATCATGAACGAATGGGAACTCAAAATAAAATCAGGCACCCTGTGTAAAGCGCGGAAAAAAGCAAGTAACCAAGTTGAGATTGGCTTTAGTTTTGCATTTGATTGATCAAGGTGGTGGAGAGAGTTTTTAGACCAATTACGGGGCAAAGTTAAGAAGACTTATGCAAAGCAATCTAAGACCAGCTGAAAACCGCGCTATCGTTAAATACTTAGTAATTGCGTTTTAAATAGATATAGGTGTTCGATCCCTTTGACTCTTTCATCATAAAATTCTACCAATGGCGTCACTGTATTCTTAAATTGGATTCTCCAAGGCAGCATCGAGTTTTTAAAACGTGATTAAATTTGCGGATTGAAAGCCCAATTTCGCTAAATGTAATCTCATACAAACAAGGCCATAATATCTCAGCAAGAACTGTGGAAAGGTTATCGAAACGTCACTAAGTAGACAAGAGGCGACACTCTCACGCAAAGAGACCAAGCAAATGTTCTTGTGTTTTCTAACCTGTAACAGTTGTGATGGAATCTGTTGTAACTCCCGAGGGCAATCAACGTTCCAAGTCCAATAGAATATGAAAAAAACACTTGCGTTCCAGCATCAAGCCACACCTTCGAGTTTGAAGAAAAACTAAGAGTAAATAATTGACCAAGTGTAAACTCTAACTTAAAGGTAGGTCTCAATAGGGTAATAGCTTTCACGGCTAACAATTAAAATTTTGGCTCATTAATAGCTGAGGTCAATCTTTTTCTCGTTGCGATTAAAAAAATAATGTTCACGGTTAACATTTTTTACGAATAACGGTCTAAAATTGTCAATTTTTTTACGCCTAACGCATTGAGACCCTCTTAAAGCTTGGAGTTCATAAATAATTAATAAAAATATATTTTTTGAATTGGTTCGTTCAATTTTTACAATTTCTTCACCATTTCTCACCTGACCATCAGCCAGTCGAGTAAAATTTGGAGTGAGGTAAAACTTGATCCCTTCAGCAGCACCAGGTAAAGTGACGGCTCGAACGAGCAAAATCGTCAAAAGTACATAAGGAAATGTAGCAGTGAAGTAGACAACCTGTGAAATATATCATTTCTGTAATAATGGAGTTTCCAATCAGAGTTTCGGTGTTTGATAAGCTCCTTTCCCTGTCCGTATGTTTGTTTGTTGTTGTTGTTTTTTTTATTGAGCTGTTGTTGTTAGCTAATTATATTGGCCAATATTGTTGTCTGTATAGTAAATGGTTTGAACCCAGATGTAACATTTGAACGTGCAGTTTTTAATCATCTTGGTGTGGGTAGTCCCGAGAAGGACTGTTGTCGGTAGAAGTGACTTACGTTTCGAAAACCTAAGCCGAAGTCATCATCAGGGTCAAATGAAGAGTTTTTTTCAGTCGAAGATCAGAGGTTGAGTATCAGAACGCGTAGGTCTGAGGTTCGATTCATCGTGGTGACAAGGGGAAAAAAGCATAAGTTTTAAATTAACTGTGTTAAGATTATCCTAAGAAATTATTTGGGTTAAAGAATATGTATAAAAGGCCAGAAAGAAGTGCCAGTTAAAAGATTGAAAATAATTTAGATATTCCTTGACCCTTTCGAATTTAGCTTGTAGAGAGGGATAATAAAAATTCAGTTCTCGAGGAAGCTCTTGTGGGAGTTTCATCGGTAAAATGAGATTGTAAGAACGTCAATTAGAAACAAAAAGTTAGATACGTTTCCTATAATGGAAATTTTCTCAAAGAAGTGAATAAAATTTAAAAGTCCCTTAAACTCGGAAGAAAATTTCACTCAACAATATAATTCTCTCCGTGATGGGTAACCTAAGAGAGCAAGAAATTTAAAAATGTTAAGATTACAGCTCCCTCACCTTTCCTGTGGATTTGACACCTTTGAAAACACAGAGGTAACAGATTATCCAAGCCAACAAGAGACACAAAGCTACTTCCCAGTTCACTATGCCGGGTTCATCCAAAGCAGTGCTCAGCTTTAAAACTCTATGTCTGGAGAGAGAGGTAAGTAGTGTAGTTGGTAATCATCGCGGGGCTCGGTTGACTTATGAACCCGCCTACTAGATATATTTGTTCAATTGTTCAAATTGATGATACTCTGCATAAAAATAATAATAGTTATCTTCCCTGTCTAAATGAATGACCGATCGACCAACTGACTGACCAACTGACCCACCGGCCGACTGATTGACTGACTGACTGGCCAACTGACCAACTGACCTCCTGACCAACAGACCGACTGAACAACTGACCAACTGGCTGACCGACTAACCAACTGACTGACCGACTAACCAACTGACCAACAGACCGACTGAACAACTGACCAACTAGCTGACTTACCGACTGACTGCCTGACAAACCAACCGACTGATCAACTGACCAACTGACCAACAGACCGAATGAACAACTGACAAACTAGCTGACTGACCGACTGACTGACTGACTGACCAACTGACTGACCGGCTGACTGGCTGGATGACTGGTTGGATGACTGGTTGGATGACTGGCTGACGGGCCATCTGACCCACTGACCAACAGACCAACTGAACAAGTGACCGACTAGCTGACCAACCGACTAACCGCCTGACCGACTGACTAACTAACCAACTAACCGACCAACTGACTGACTAACAAACTAATTGACCGACCCGCTGATTTACTAAATGAATGACAGACCGACTGACCAACTGGCCGATTTACCGACTGATCGACTAGTTTCGAGTACAAGGTACCCTTGTTCCCCACAATAAATAAACTTAAAACATCGGGACGCTGCCCATAACTTTTTACATATAATGCATACTGTTCTCTAAACATTTGTTAAAGTGCTTATAAGGAAAATTTGTTTAACAATAGAGTTTCTTTAGTTGGTGATCATTTTTTTAAAATTTTCGTGACCTAACTGTTTGAGTCAGGGGTAATAAGTCACTCTTAGAAGTCAAAGAGTTAATATTAATCTACCTTACAGCTTCACTCACTCAAAATACTCCTCGCTCGCAGACACTTTAGCTGCCTTTGCCACAGCAGTTGGTACTGTTGACATGTTCGACATGTTCGCCATTACGGTTGGTATGACTGTGGTATTGGCTATATTGGAGCCTTTTTCAGATGTGACATAGTCAACACAATTCGGTGTGTTCCAATCATTGCCACAGCGAGACCAAGGAAGCTCGGATTGGAAAGATGCGAACATGTAAAACAGAGCCCAGCCAAGGATGACGATGTAATATATGTTTAAAAACTGAACGATGATGACACTTGCCCATCCAATACCTACAATGGAATCAAAATTCAAATGTTTATAATATATATATATATATAAGCTCAGTTATGCACGCATTCTGATTGATTCTCACTCATGATCTATTGGAGGACAAACGTATAGATGACGTCACCATTAAAACTTTTTCCGTATATTTTAATTCTTTATTATATAAAACAAATAGATTCCAAGTTGCATACTGTGCCTCGTGCGCCACTTCTTTGTTCTTACCACATTTTGACGTCATCTGTGATCTATTACTGAACAGACGCACGGCAACTTGGAATCTATTTTTTAAATATATTCACTGTAAGGTGTTGTTCGTAATAAACCCGGTATCGCAGGGGTCATGGGTTCAAATTCCGTACAGGCCTGAATTTCGTTACTGCCAAGATCGTTTTCATATTCATATCTTACCAGTCTCTCATGAAAGCATCATCTCACCGACAAAAAGCAGCAAAGGTAAAAGAAAATGCCTGATTGTAGGTATATCTTTCCTCCCTTACATTCTCACTTTCTGTTAAGCTGAATGGAAGACCTAGTGCGAGCAAACGGCGGAAAACTGTCGAGGCTCGGTTTAATGTAGGACAACAGGAAAATATGAACTGACGATATTCTCTTATCAAGGTTATCGTCTAACTTAGTGCTGGCAAGATGTCGGCAATCAAGAACACGATAAAAGGTATTTAAAATGTTACATCAACCATTCTTACTTCTGTTCCCTCGAATTGCTATTGATGTGACCTATTTTCACGTTATTTAATGGTCATGTATTAGTAATACTTCGCTTTTTTAAACATTTATGGTAAATAGGGCCTGATGCTCGTAACGTTAGAATCTCTTTACCTTAAAGTCTTCTTACGGTGGCCATTTTTCATCATAAACTCAGCTTATAGGAACAAATTATATCTGGATATCTCCCCCCCCCCCCAACTTACCGACACAGCACCACAGTTTCCTTTAGAAACTTACAGTCTTTATTCATTATCTTAAACAGAGTTACGAGAAAAATTATAATCATGATTTCTTGATCATCGTTTGCCACATCCAATGGGACAAAAATCAACAATAGAACTGAACTATTACATATCTTTTAGCTGATTAAAACAAACCTTGAAAAAGCGGACATATCAGCCATGCTGTAATTCCACCTTGACTTGCAAACTGTCCCAGACAAACTTCCAGGATCAGAACAGGGACACCAGCAAAAACGAGGCAAATTAGGTACGGGATCAGAAAACATCCTACATGAGGTACCCGGTAACACATGCAAACAAAACAGAATTTAGATTATGAATCAAGAACGAATTACAACTCAGTGGAAAACACATCAGCCGGAGGCTTCCGTCGTCAAGTGCACCTCTTAACGAAAACCTGTTCATTGTGTTTGAATCAGCAAATAATGTTCAATTGTAAATAAAAACTTGCTGTCCATAATTCTCAAATAATGTACATTGGTCAGCTTCGTTGTCGACGCAATTTTTGATCTTAAACCGACGATAAATCACTCGAGGTAAAGACCATCAAAACAAAAGGAAAATTAAATATATTCAGAAAGAGCTGGAACAATTGCATCTTAACTATTTCAAAATGGAAGCAGTGTAGAATGGTCTAGGGTGGTTTCCGTTAAAATCTGCATATTTGTATTTTTCCATGCATGCAAAAACATTTAGATTTTTGTCCCTGACAACGAAAAGAAAATTTTTCAAGCTTATAGAAAGAAGGAGATTGATAATTTACTAAAATACTGGCCCTCAGAAGTTTCAAAGACGTCACTGTTTTGCATAAGTACTAGTTGTATTGTGGTCTTTAAAGATTCTTAAACGATCGTTCGATCGCGCCTAACGCTATACTTTAGTCATGGAAATATGTTAGTTGCTCTCAGCAAGAGAAAAATGAAACAGTTTTTCAAATTCAGTGTCAGGTACATCATTAGGTGTCTATACAAAGTTCTCAAATGTAATTGAATAAAGTTTGCAGCCGAGTGTTGAGGCACAAGGCATTGACCTGAGTGACGCACGGATAAAGGTTCGTTAATTTAAAGTGGTGAATGGAGCCGCTCAAAACAAGTTTGACCGATGGGATTAGTCGCTTTCTCATTTGGTCTCAGCTAGAAAGAAAGAAACAATTTTCAGATTCATTGTTAAGCACATCACGAGGCCACTAGATAAAATTTTCAAATCTAATAAAACAAAGTTTATAGCCGATTCCTTGTGAGACACGTGGATGGCCTTGACGTGAGTGACGCACGGACGGAAGCATCTCAGTATAATTTGGTGAATGGATGTCAAAACAAGGTTGACCAAAGATATATTTTACGAACTGTAAATTTTTTTTCAAGCTGGCTAAGCTGCAGAATACCTTGCCACTCATTTACATGTCATTGAATAAGAATACCGTTTGTTGTGTTATGCTTCAATCTTAGAAGCCTCCCGACACACATAAATGAGGTGGACCGAAGTGGCAGGGTGTTCGAATTCTGCAGTGGCTCCTTCACACTTTATTCGAACATACTCAAATGGAAACGAATGAAGTTTCGCCAGATTATCAAAAGCACCAGCACTTACATAATATAAGTAAATTTACAGTAATCATCATCAACCGTCACGCTATCTACACTCACCTCCACCATTTTTATAGCAAAGGTACGGGAAGCGCCAAATGTTTCCCAGTCCAACAGAGAACCCTACGAGCGCAAGAACAAAGTCGATCGTCTTGGACCAAGTTTCCCGCTTATTGACTTTATTATCCATTGATAACGGGCAGTGGTTCAACTCAACTGTGTGCCTTTGAAAAACTATTTCATAATGAGTGCGTGCGCTTCACGGGCAGTGGTTCAACAGTGGTTCAATAGATTTCCATCTTATTTCCATATTCATAAATCATGAATGAAAAATGTCCATAAGAATTGGAAAGGAGGTTTTCTATTTTAACTATTTTCTTTTTGGTAGGTCCACCTATCAAGTGCTTGTGAGAGCTGATTACGTGTATGAGTTTATTTTAGCCTTGAGAAGCAAAAAAATTTACGATTAACACGTTTGTTGTGCTTTTCGACAAGTTTTCCCTTTGTTGAATATGATAAATTTTTGTTGTCTAGTTTGAATAATGTTAGACAATATTCAAACGACAAATATTAGTAAGCTCGAGCCTGAAGTAGCTGTAGTCATGCAAACGTAACATTTAGCTCTTCTGATTATCGTAGAACAAGAGCAAGGAGTGGTCGTATCCAAGAACAAGTGACAATAGTGCCCCAAACAAATACTAGTTGCTGAAGGAATTTACCTTAAAAACTTTAAGAAGAAAAGGCTTACACTCATTTAAAGTAGGTAATATAACATGTGTCTAACAATTGTTTTCCACTAACGGACAATTGATACTCACATGATCAAGTTAAACGAGCCGTATCATAAGTATGGACTTTAGCATCTAGGCTATTATTTTCTTATCTAAAAATACTCGCCGCTTGCTTTATATTGTTTATTTGTCTCTCTCGATAAGGATTGTCATGTAAAATAGCGCTTGGTGAGTAGCCGTCATCTGTAACTTTCCCACTGTGACTTTGTCATGTTTTAATTGCCGTGTTATCGTGCAGGTATCTGATACACAAACTATGCCTTTTAGAACCTAAAAGGTTAAAAAAAAAAATTTGAAAAACAACTTTGACCTAAAGTGCAACACAGGCGAGATGTTAAGCGAGACGAAATGTGACGGTCTTGCAAGTCAACAACAGCTACTTGCACCTGTGCGAGGAAAAAGTAAAGCAACAGCGGGCAATCTTTCTCGAGAATGAACTTAAACATTTTACGTCATAAATCGAAAATAAAGCTGTTACGAACTAAAGAACAAAAGCAAACTATCCCAGTGGTTCTTTTAACAGCTAAATTAATTCAATCACCTGAATTCGACCGTTACCTCGAACTTAGGAACCCATTTCCTTTGTTATGAATTTTTCGTTTACTTGATTTCAGCTACACTTCTTGACATAATTAGTTGAAATATTTCTTCTGAAGTACGTCTGAAATGTTCTTTCGTCCCTCTCGCCTTTATAATGATGCCAATTACCAATGTGTCTTTGCCAGTGTTTCTATAAATACTGATATTACTGTGTTAATTTTTCTATAAAGACCAATGTTTTAATAAACGCCCATTTTTCTATGAAGATGTTTCTATGCCGATGTTTCTATACCAGCGTGTCTATACCATTTAGCAGACCATCATCGAGAGGAGCAGGGGAGGATGTAGGTGTCACAAAATTTGCAAACGGGAGTATAGCCTGAAATCCCTGACAAATCGAATTGCCGAGTGTCTTTTGTATCACTAACGTAGTCTTGTGCTAGTTCTCAATAGTCACCAAAAGGCAAATACTTAAGAGAGTCGACTACTGAACAGTGTACTCGAATTATAACGGAATTTAATTCAACTGCAGCTAACGTATTTGATCATTAGAAGGCTTAAAAGTTAGTACGTTCTTCGAAGTCCTCTAAAGCAATTTTTAAAACCATCTCTCTCCTTTCAATAACTAAGACCTTCGCTAGATCTGATCGCTTATTGTATACTTCTTGTTAATGCTAGACTGCTTAACTCGTTCATATCTCAATATCTAGTGATAATATCACACAACTGAATAAATCGACATAAATATTGCAAATATTCCTTACACTAATTTAAAGTAGGTAATAAAATATGCGTCTAATTATTGTTTTCCACTAACGGACAAATGATACTCACATGATGAAGTTAAACTAGTCGTATCATGAGTATGGACTTTGGCATCTAGGCTTTTATTTTCTGATCTAAAAATACTCTCCGCTTGCTTTATGTTGTTCATTTATCTCTCTCGATAAGGATTGTCATAAAAATAGCGCTTCGTGAGTAGTCGTCATCTGCAACTTTCCCACTGTAACTTTGTCATGTTTTAATTGCCGTGTTATGGTGCAGGTATCTGATACACAAACTGTGCCTTTTAGAACCAAAGAGGTTTAAAGAAACCTTTTAAAAACAACTTTGACCTAAAGTGCAACACAGGAGAGATGTTAAGCGTGACGAAATTTAATGGTCTTGCTAGTCAACAACAGCTACGTCTACTTGCACCTGTGCGCGGAAAAAGTAAAGCAACAGCGAGTAGTCTTTCTTGAGAGTGAACTAAAGCATTTTACGTCATAAATCGAAAACAAACCTGTAACAGAAACCCACGAACTTAAGCAAACTTTTTTGCTAGCTTTTAACAGCTAAAATTAATTAAATTATCTGAAACTGCCCGTTACCTCGAACTCATAAACCCATTTACTTTGTTGCGAATTTTTCGTTTACTTGCTGTCAGCTGCACTTCTAGACATAATTAGTTGAAATATTTCTAAGTACGTCTACAATGTTCTTTTGCCCCTCTCGCCTTTATAACGATGTTAATTACCAGTGTGTCTATGCCATTGTTTCTATAAATGTTGATGTTCCCATGCCAATATTTCTATAAATACCAATATTTCAATAAACGCCTATTTTTCTATGAACATGTTTCCATGCCCATGTTTTTACGCCAGTGTGTCAATGCCATTTAGCAGACCAGCATTGTGAAGAGCAGGGGAGGATGTAGGTGCCCCAAAATTTGCAAATAGGAGTGTAGCTCGAAATCCCTGCCATTTCGAATTGCCGAGTGTCTTTTGTATCACTAACGTAGTCTTGTGCTAGTTCTTGATAGTCACCAAAAGGCAAGTATTTAATAGAGTCGACTACTAAACAGTGTACTCGAATTATGAGTACAATGAATGAATGAATTATGAGAATGGACTTTACAATGAGTTATGAGTATGGACTTTGGCATCTAAGCCAATATTATCTTTTCTAAAAACACTCTCCGCTTGCTGTCTGTTGTTTGTTTATCTCTCTCGATAAGGATTATCATGTAAAATAGCGCTTCGTGAGTAGCCGTCATCTGCAACTTTCCCATTGTAACTTTGTCATTTTTTAATTGCTGTGCTATCGTGCAGGTATCTGATACACAAGATGTGCCTTTTAGAACCTAAGAAGTTAAAAGAAACCTTTGAGAAACAACTCCGACTTAAAGTGCAATACAGGAGAGATGTTAAGCGTGACGAAATTTGACGGTCTTGCAAGTCAACAACAGCTACTTGCACCTGTGCGAGGAAAAGGTAAAGCAAAGGCGGGTAATCTTTCTCGTGAGTGAACTAAAACATTTTACGTCTTAATCGAAAACAAAGCTGTTACGAACTAAAGAACAAAAGCAAACTATCTCAGTGGTTCTTTCAATAGCTAAAATTAATTCAATCACCTGAATTCGACCGTTACCTCGAACTTAGAAACCCATTTCCTTTGTTATGAATTTTTCGTTTATATGCTGTCAGCTGCACTTCTAGACATAATTAGTTGAAATATTTCTTCTGAAGTACGTCTGCAATGTTCTTCCGTCCCTCTCGCCTTTATAATGATGTTAATTACCAATGTGTCTATGCCAGTGTTTCTAGAAATACTGATGTTCCTATGCCAATTTTTCTATAAAGACCAATGTTTCAATAAACGGCCATTTTTCTATGAAGATGTTTCTATGCTAGTGTGTTTATACCATTTAGCAGACCAACACTGAGAGGAGCAGGGGAGGATGTAGGTGTCCCAAAAATTATAAATGGGAGCGTGGCCCGAAATCCCTGACAATTCGAGTTACCGAGAGTCTTTTGTATCGCTAACGTAGTGATACAAAAAGACAAAATTTCCATCTGGCAAGAATTTTCATTTATGGTATTTTTTGACTTATTTAAACGTTGAAAATGAATGGAAATAATATATTACCATAAGACACTCAGTAAAAATTATAATAAGCCGGTTGATCTTTCTTAGTCTTTTTGGCGGTCCTATTTTGACATGTTCGACATCTCTTTTTCTTAAAGGCGACTTACGGTATAAACATGTTGTGTAACAGTCTTCGAGGACTAGTTTCTCTTAAGATATCTTTTCAAGTATGATTCTTATTCTGTTAGTAAGTTCATTATAATTTTCATATTAATAATCTTGTTTTAAACATCTCGAAAGTATCTACTTAGTATGGGAACTCCGCTCAGCGTAGCTTAACGCGATTCGCTAGTTCAATGTAAAAGCATGACGAAGGTTAGAGAGTAGAGATTGATAGCTAAGCAAGCGTCACCTTATAAGCGGTGACCCACACTCTCCTCGCGAGATCTGAGCTAGTACCCGTTGTATTAACTTGAGTAGAAAAGAAGAGAATAAAGAAAAACTCAACAGAACGAGTGTTAGAGTTTTACTTCTAACAGTAATCATGTGCCAGTTGATACTAGTCACAAAAAGGCAAGTACATATTAGAGTCCACTACTAAACAGTGAACTCAAATTATGACAGAATTTACTTTAACTTCAGCTAACGTATTTGATCAATAAAAGAATTAAAAGCGAGTACTTTCTTCGAAGCCTTCTAAAGCAATTTTCAAAACCCTCCATTTCCTTTCAATAACTAAGACTTACGCTAGTTATATTGCTCATTGGGGTAATGATATGATTGCTAATTGTACACTTCTTATTAATGCTAGATCGCTTAACTGGTTCATATCTCAACATCTAGTTGTAATATCACATAACTGAATAAATCGACATCAATATTGCAATTATTCCAAAGAATAAAATGCATTGGCGTTTTCAAGTCATTAGGCCTTCTGCTCTTTTTCGTCGTTGTCTTTCGTCAACAGAGCAGCCTGGTGTCCCTCACGATCTTCAAGTTCAATTTCATCCCTTTTCTCTTCAATCTCAGGTATAATCAGCTTGTTCAAACGCTGGCAATAAAAGAAAACTTACAACTCACTGAAATCTCATCACATAAAGTAAAACTATCACCAAATGTCTCATTCCATGATTTTAGGGTGATGCAATTATTACTGCGTCGACTAACTACTTGGGTCAGTTGCCCCGTTGTTATGTACTCACAAGAGATCATAATGGAAAACGCCTCGAGTGCAACTTTTTTGTTCTTACCACATTTTGACGTCATCCGTGACCCTTACTTAACAAACGCAAGGTAGCATTGAAAATATTTGTTAACCCTTTAACTCCCATGAGTGACCAAGACAGAATTTCTCCTTACGATATAAATACAATATCAACAAGATAAGTGATGAGATAAAGAACAATACCAATTTGGGATAATTATTTGATCTAATGCTAAATTCTCTGAACTAACATTAAAAGAATTGTATGGTTGATGGTAAGGAGAATTACAAATTTGATCTGGGAGTGAAAGGGTTAATTAGATTTGTTTCTCTTTCAAGGTATGTGACGCGGGTCGCCGAGGAAGGCATTCTAAGAATTTTCGCAACTTCTGTGCTCATTTCCGACGTCTGTGCGCGCACTAATAGAAAATGTCCAACTGCGACCCCACAATGACTGAATCATGTACCTCTCTGATTGTTCCTGTGGTCTTGATCAGTTTGTATATCATCACAGCCGGGATACAGGTTAGCGAGGTTGCCGTCAACAACCAACCAAAAGCCTGGCCCCAGCCTGGATAAACGTACTTGCCATAACTCATGGGCTGATACGTAACCAGGTTAAAGATGAAAATGAACTGCAACAAAAGTTAATACATAATTAGAGTCCCAGCTTGTTTAGCGGCTCTACCATGTTCTAACTACGAGGATTATGTCCCACGGGCCAAGCGGCCTATTACTGCCAGACTTTTTTCCTGTTTCAACAGCATGAGGGGACTGTATGGGGTAATTCTCATCGGAGCTAACCCTAATCTGTCCCTCTTTGTAGTAAGTTCTTATCTATTCATACGTTATTTGAAAATCTTTACATTTTAAAAACTATGTACCGTAAACTCACCGCACAAAAACTGGGCGCGAAAAAACACCAACACCAACCGATCCATGGATTGATTCGAAATCCCAGCATGCTCTCCATGTTGTCGTAGAAACGATTACGACCTGTGTTTAGTTTAAAACATAAATCTTCATTGCTGCACGTTTTGATATAAATATGAAAGCAACAACACACCAAACGTGCGTTTTGTTGGAGGTCTCCTCAGTGTTTTATCAGAGTATTTCAGCAAATGACTTATAGGAACTGATACGTTGAAGGGACTACAAGAAGGTGTAAAACTTCGACCTCTTTTGGTCATATTTGTGGTCTTACTCCGAGACACAACTAAATTGAACTCAAAAGCAAAACAATCTTACAACTTGCCTTATTCGTGCTTATTTGCTCTGACAAGGGGCTAAAACTCGAAACGTCGGCTTTGAAACTCTTTGCAGTGGCTAATTTACATTATCAACTCAGTTGATAAAATGAAATCGTCTTGTCATTCGCATTTAATTTCGCGGGTAATAAATTCTGAGTTTTGCGCGGTTTTCCAAAAAATCGCGAAACTAAAGACCCACACATTTAAAATCTTTGCGGAATTTCATCACGAGAAATGTAATACCCGTATAGAAAATTCAAATCACAGAATTAAAATCTTAACATGTGATTAAACATAACACAAAGAGGATATGTATCGACAAATACACAAATTATCAACTAGTCTTTTTGTTAAGTTCTATTTTGTAACTTCTGTCGTGAAATGGAGATAATTTGCAAAGATTTCGCAAATAAATAGAAAATAAATGACTGTAAATATATAAAAATCATCATGTGAACTTCGGATTGAGAAATGAATATAAAAGTAATCTTCGCAGTAATGAACACTACTTGGCACTACGAGGCCTTAAAAAAATTCAGACCTGTACGGGATTTAAACCAAGATAATACAGTGATATTCTCTTGATTTGAACCCATGACCTCTGCGATACCGGTGAAGTGCTCTATCAAGTGAGCTAACTAGCCAATTAGAAGCTAGTTATTTCAATAGCTAGATTCGAACAAATTCCTAGGAATATCTTTCGAGCAGTCGTCGAAAGTTAAGAAATTTTGAAAAACAAAATAAGGTTGAGAGAGCTTGAACCGCGAAATTTAATGCCCTGTTTTAATATTTGCCTGCTGGAATCGCGAAAACAAAACCCTGAGAAATATTGTTTCGCCAAAACTGCGAAATTAAACTCGAATAAAGTAAGTGAAATCTCACGGCTAATACATGACCCCGATTCCAATGCCCCAGGAACCAACCCAGTTTTTTAAAAATTAAGCAAGCCTAAATATCATCATTCTTCCATGGAGATACTATTCTATCACAGATCACCCCCATGATAAGCATTCTGTAATTTTACTTCGACAATTTATCGTGAGCCTTTCAACCTCCCTGTCTAAGAAAGGTAAAAGGAAAATTATATCTTTACTGCCTCCCCGCCTCCGCACCCCCTGGGAGCAGAACCAGACTTCCTTAAAGGTTGATACGCATACTGATTCAGTTAATTCAGTCTGTAATTGGATTGGATCGTTACTTACCATACAGCCACCCAATAGCCAGACATTGGCAGATGACAACCAGTAGCAATACAGATCCGCTTCCAGAGTAGTGATCAAACAACTGGAAGACGTACATTCCACCCTAGAAAAGATGTTGATTTTACTTGTTTACTGTATGGAAGGAAATTCTCTCTTAAAAGGAGAAGTGTGCTCTAGTATTCCTTTGATTTTAATCTCCACGTTCACGAAAAATACAAGAGATTTCGAAACTTAGCATGTTTGAGGATTCAAAGATAAACCTGAAATATTGGCAATATTACTCGATACGCGCAAAAAATTTACAACTGCTTCAATAATTTAATATGATAGTCGAACATTTTGTGCAGAAATCCTTAACACTGCAGGACAAAGTAGTTTCAAGTTAAAGTTCGTAATTTTCACTACTTCCCAGACTATTTTTCCTTCTAATAAATTCTGAATTTCCGTCACTAATTTGGAGTTGGATCTCAATTACATTACAGTCATGCCGTATTTACTTGGTAACTGAAGCGGCGAGGTATCAGTAAAGTTTTTTGCGACCCAGGTGCTGTCCTAATTCTGTGGAGGCACTCGCGAGAGGGCTATCTTTATATAAAACTAGAATCCTCTTCCTCCTCACAGTAATAGGCGATCATGTTCAAATGATCATTTACTCTCTCGTTTTCAATGGGCTTCTATATTAACAAAAATTTTAATGTCATTGCATCTTCTTTATGATCCAAATTTTTCTATATCGCCCTTTCGAAGTAAAACATTAATGCTTTGCATGAGATGTAGTTTAGGAAAACTTGTACCTCACAGATACTTGGGACACAATTAACGAATAAGCACTGTATCTTTAGATGCAGCCCTTTTTGGGTGCGACAGTTATTACTACATCCGCTCTCACATGGTTCGCCTGTTCGAGGACGACGCTTAAACAAGGGCGTCACGGTCTATTCGTCACCTTAGTAATTACGGTGGTCTTTTCAATCAAAACAATCGTGGTATACCGCTAGTTTTTTAACAACAAAGCAACCAGAAGTGAAGCATACCTCGGTAACCATGGACAGCCCGAGGAGAAACCAGACTGCACATACAACAGCAGTGAAAATTTCCTTACGGTAGCCACGTCTTAGGTATTGAGGATACCAATCCACAACTGCGGTCACAACACCCTCGATACCTACAAACTTAATTCATAGAGGAATCAAAAATCAGTGGTTACGCAATTCAAAGAAAAGAATGGAAACAAGCTATGGAAACTTACTTTAAGTTATAGACTAAATTGTTAGTGTTCTTGAATATGGTTTCAAAAGGATCTTGTTTTCGTATTGAAGATCCCTCGATTAAAGAATAGGGTTTGACCGTTGTAAAGGTCTGCTTTCCCATCAGTTGTTTTCTATCTCATGTTTTAAAATACTTATCCTGACCATGATAGTCCATTATATTGTTACACACTTAGATGCCATGCTTTTAACAGAAGGTCGAGATTGACCTATTGCAACAGGAGCGATTAGGACGCCAGACTGTAATCTGGTAGTCCAAAGTTCAAGCCTACCGCCCTGCTACTCAATGGATTTGCTCTCGCTAACACCGAGTGCCACTCCTTGACTGCGCATTGTTTGTAGCTAACTGGTCTGCTTCCGGCCAGTTGAGACTTTTCAACACTATTTTTATTTACATTGTTTTTTCAATTTGTTTGTATTGGCTTGGAAAATGTTACTTTCAAGATAATAAACATTATTTTTGATAAACTTTAAGGCACATTTTACAAGCAAAATACTCTGTCATGATCCCAACTACTTTCACTTCTCCTTCATAACAAGGTCACTTTCAGCCTCACTCCTATGTAGGGGCAAAGCAACCAAGCACACAGCTGTAATAAAAAGGAAGCTTTTTAATCATTACTTCTAATACTCAGCCCGAGAGAATGCAGGTAAAAAATATTCTTTACCTCACTGTCCAGGCCCAGCAAAATTATCATGAAGAAAAACAGAGCGGACCACAATGGAGCTAAGGGCATCTGAGCCACGGCTTCAGGATAAACAATGAAGGCCAGTCCAGGACCTACAAAGAAATTAATTAGATCACGAGGCATTTGGAGGAATATGTAAGTTATACACTTTCAGCGTGATCGCCAGAGTATTGATTGCTTGAGCCGTGTGAAACGTGGTAATCTGACTCCGGAAAGGTTAATCTGGTAAAGAGTTTCTGATGCGTTAGTCCTTTGTGAGCTAGGTGCTAAATACTGTTTTACCTGCTTTCGCAACGTCCTTTATTGGAACTCCTTGATTTTTGGCCATAAAACCCAACACAGAGAAGATGAGAAATCCGCCGTAAAAACTTGTTCCACTGTTAAACAGGCTGAATATGATGGAATCCCTACACTCAGAGATAGAAGGTGAACATAATTAAAAGCCAATCGTGATACCTGTAAATTGGCAAAACAGCACTTCAGATACAATGACACCTTCATAAAAAGGATCCTAGAGGTCTTCCCCAAGGGAAAACGCACTTAATCTTGAGTAGTTGACTTGTGACAAATCGTGTTTATGACTAGTTATTTACCCTGCGGAAGGTTTCTATGGGAGAATAACGACCGCGGTCGCTATTACAGACTGAAAGCAATGATGTTTTGACTAGTGACTTAGGTCAAGGTGTCGCAAACAGACCGACCTAGCTCGGTTTTATAGGATGTTTTAAAAAATAAATAATTCTATTTTGTTTCTCTAAAATGGTTCAGGCATCTATTTGCTTACTTCTTACTACTTGGAAGATCACAAGATTTTTCTCCAGCTTTAGCTGGGGTTTAGAATGTTTGGTTACGTAACACATTTTAACCGATCGTGGCTAGCGAAGTATTTGATTGATCATTTAACCACCTGTAAAAGTTGTTCTTGTATTTGTTATAGCTTCCAAGCGCTGTCATCGTTCCTGTGCCAATGGAATACGAGAAAAACACTTGGGTGCCAGCATCAAGCCATACCTGTGGAAAAGCAATTTCTATCTCAATAGAACAGTTTGAAGTTACACACAATGTCTTTAGCGCAACCAAGAAATATGTAGGGCGATTTAAAGATCAAGACGTGTATACCACGTGAGGCGATATTCCACAAGATTGGCCAAGATCGTCAAAAGCCAAATTCCCGATATTAAGTAACCTTTTACAAGCATTTCGTAAACAACTCTCGGTTTTCAGTCTTCAGAAAAATTTGACAAACAGAGAATGCGAAATGACATAAACTTCGATCGTATTCAGACTGGTTTGATAATTATTTTTTTCTATTAAAACTCGATGATTCTAAGGACTGCTGCATTATATAATTATTATTGGAATAATATAGATGGAAGTGAGATACAAAAGAAAATAAAAGAGATGATTGACTACCTTAATTTTCGAACTCGAAAAATGAGAACAATTTTCTTGAATTTAAAAAAGGAAGAAAACGTTTTCTTCTCAGCTTATTAGCACATGTCGTTTTGTGCGTGTTCGGCCGTGCGCATGATTGAGAGTTGGAGCAAGCTTACGCTTATAATGCAGGGGGGGGGAGGGGGCGTTGATTCACCGGGTACGGTAAAATAACAGGTTACCCGGCCATCACCAAGTCTTGACAGATCAGGAGTCAGATAAAACTTAATTCCATCGGCTGCTCCTGGTAGAGTGACACCACGGATTAAGACTGCTGTCAACAATATATATGGTGCTGTGGCAGTGAAATACACAACCTGAAAATTAACAAAACAGTGCTTCTTAAAAATGATCAGCAGCAGAAAGACAGACAGACAGAGGAAAGCAAAGACAGACGGGTGGACAGGACGGACGGAGGAACCGACCGACAAACGGAAAGATAGACAGTCAGAGAGACCATCAGATAGACGGACAGAAGGACGAAATACGGCTGGACAGTCGGAAAGTCGTACAGTCGAACAGACGGACAGACAGACAGACGGACTAACGGACAGACAGATAAGAAGTAAAACAGAGGGAAAGACGGAGGTGAGAACGGACGAACGGACAGACAGACAGACAGATGGACAGACGGACGGACGCACGAACAGATAGGCAGACAGACAGATGGACCGACGAACGGACGCAAAGACATACAGACGTACTGATGGGCTGACGCACGGACAGACTAAAACACAGAAAGAAAGAAGGACCGATAGGCAGGGTCAGATGGAAGGACGGGTAGAAAGAGACATGTGTGTAGAAATGGGTTGAATGGAAACGATAGAGACATCGTGGGCCCAGGTGAACGGTTAGATAGATCGACAGCCAGAGGGCAAACACGTTAGCCTTTTTCATAAATTTACTTATAAAGAAAATTAGCCGTTACCTTTCCACTGGACTTAATTCCTTTGCAAACACACAGGTAGCAAACAATCCAAGCCAACAATAGGCACAAAGCTAGGTCCCAGTTCACTTGACCCGCTTCATCCAAGCCGCCAGAAAGTCGCAGAACTCTGTAGCTATTTCAAGAAAGAAACAACGAATTTCATAAACTAGGAAGACATTGAATGGCTAAGGAGCTAGCTAACAAGCCATGATACCCTAATTTTTTCAAATAATTGTGATAACCATTGATTCTACCAAAACGTTTTTATCACACTGTTAAACAGACAGGTAATGAAAACGAAGGACAAATAAACTTTGAGACACTGCCTTACGTTGATGAAACAAAAAAAAATTGCGAGGTCAATGGTTAACAACATGAAAATTATCATCTTCAGTTGATTATCCTCAAACATTATCATAACAGCCGTTATGAAGCATGGAATTCATAGAAATAAAGTGTTCCTTAAATGGTATAAACATTACTTACTCCCAGTACTCCTGACTTGCTGAAACGCTGGTTATGGCCGAAGCATTTTGTTCGGAGATATTTAATTTTTCACCGCTCTCGACACAGTTTGGTGTGTTCCATTTATTTCCACAACGTGACCAAGGCAGCGAGGATTGGAACGAGGCAAACATGTAATAGAAGGCCCAGCCAAGAATCACGGTGTAGTAAATGTTAACATACTGCATAACCAGCACCCCAGCGTAGCCAATACCTAGAGTCAAAACCAAATTTAGTGACAAATCGATGATGATGACCATGACGATGATAATGACCATGACGATGATAATGACGACGAATAAATCCTGTTAGTCAAACTATAATTATGTAATGTCATTTGACGCCTTAGGAGAAAATTTTGGGGCCCTAATTAAACTTGTGCGACGGCCAATATATCTTCGAAGTCCCTTTGTCACACACTCATCGGCCACTAGTCGAATATGATTTAACTCATACTGACACAATTTTTTATCAAATTCATTTTACGAGGAATAAAGAACCATAAAATAACCTGACCAATCCCAACACGCGGCTTCGTACTACAGTTGTTAGCCTTGGTGCCGAAAAGGGATGAGCATATCGGCCTGATTGGCCTGAACGGATATGTGACGCCAAAACGGGTATGGAGTTTGAGATTTTAATACACAAAAAAGACAACATTAAAATAGCAGGGAAGTAGCATTCTCAAGGAAGGAGAAGATAAAGAAAAAGGACTAATAAATGACGAACATGAAAAATATTTCCCTATCGACGAAACGTGACGAACTTTCAATAGATCTATTATCTAACATTTGTTCGCCAAGAATTCTCACCCTGAAAAATTGGGCATATTTTCCACGCTGTAATGGCACCTTGACTTGTGTATTGTCCCAAACTTATTTCCAAAACTAAAGCAGGAACACCGGCCAGGATCAGACAGATCACATAGGGAATGAGGAAACAACCTAAAAAGTTGAAAGGATGCTATCAATTTCTGGGAAATGTAAACTTTACAGGTCTTATCTATTAGTCTTACATGCGATGGGGCTCGATGTTAGAGGCGTTTGGTTCGGAAATCGCGTGTTCTTCCTAATTCTTAGAAAAAAAAAAGTTCCTTCCGATGTAGTATTGTTTGTCCATTAAAATCGCAGCACAGTAGCTATTCACTGCTAGTTCAAAAACGCACGCGAAACACGTGATACTGGCGTCTCAACTTCCGCCATGAAGCTTGAATACAGTAGACTTCCGTCTTCCAAATGAGAGGAATTTATAAATATACATCCCCTTGGAGCATATATGCTGAGAGGATTTTCCAACTATCAATAGCTTTAAACACCCTACCTCTTAACTCACATCGCTTGTAATGTCAGGCAAGCGAATGAAAACTTACTCAATTAAGGTTCTCCAGCTATTCAAGCTCATGGAGTGATTTAGCAAAAGGACGGTAACGTCATTTCAGAACGGGAAAGCGCGCAGATAGTCTGGACACGACTCTTTTTCGACTTCCGGTGTTAGCGTTGCCGTTCTCCCCAACAAGTTCAGAACATCATTTCGCTGGTTTTCCCGTCGCGATCAAAACGCCTGGGATTTGCGTAAATTTTGCGCTTATCAACGAGATAATGCCGTTTGGAATTATTTCAGGAATTATTACAGAACTCATTTCCAGGATAACCAGGTGCCTTCCTTTGGTTTATTCGGTGCAGTTTGGGAAAATTTACCGCTTCATTTATGCTGAATTCCCGAAAGGAAACACAATCGTTGGCAAGCGCCGGATCCAAGATTTTAGGGCTCAGTACACTTGTAATTGAGCATGGCTTAAAACAGTGAAAGGGCTGTTCTTTGATACATTTCTTTAATCCTGTATGAAAACTCTCTAAGAATGGAACGCTGTTAATTTTATCATGAATCAATTTATCTATAAATTAAACTTGCTTCATGTTGAAGTTTATCAAAATGAAATATCACAACGCTTACTTGCTGTATTACTCAGTGTTATTTGTTTTTATTGTCGTTTTTACCGTGATTGAAAACTTTTCTGCGAATTGAAGTCAAAGATGAAAAAAAATTGAGAATAGCTCAGGTATGCACTTTTTTATGTTTGAAATTTTTGATCAGCGCCGGTGAAAACTAAGACAAGAAAGTCATGCTCTCGCTTGGAAATAAAATGACAATCAACTTGATTTTGGCACCGGCTTTCTAAATCTATTAATTTGATTCAGTGTTGAACGACTTCATTCGTTTAAAAAAAATAAAATCAAACAAAAACAAAAAATAAATAAATAAATAATACAGGAACGAAGTCCTATTCCTAAGTCAAACCGTTTCGTTGGTGACTAGTTTGAATTAATTTCTTTCTTTCACGGATTAATAGGAACTCATCGTTAACAACTCCATCGTTGGGTCGCTTGGTTTCTACATGGTTTCGCCATAACTCCGGATAATTCCGTTCAAAATGCATTTAAACTCTAAGAAGGTGGTGCTCAAAAGAGATGTATTGTCATAATTGAGAAGAATATTCAGTAAACAAGGGGAAAAACGACGAAGATTTCCAAATTATCCTTTACAAAATTATATAGAAAAACGAGTAGTGCTGAAATCTAGTAGCACGAAACGAAATGACAGCGACACAAATCATAGAAAAAAACTATTTAGTGGGTTCAATATTTGATAGATGAATCAGCAGACTCGAGACTAAACTGGAATGGAATAGCTTCAAAGTTTAATCGCCCATGTGGATTCATATTAACAACTTACATGCCGTATCTATAACTATCCTCTGTTTGCGCTTGTCACATTACTCTCAAAGAAGATAATTTCGTTGTCCTTCGAGTGGTCTCTAAAACCAAAAATTCAAAGGTGATGGTGATCTTTAAAAAACCGAGGTGAGGATTCTCGTTGCAACGACTGCTAAATCACTTTTCAACACAACGCGACGGCGCTCTCGACCCAGTTTCTTATCGACATTTTTGCTGCGCGCGCCGTTCTGAAATGACATTCCCGTCCTCTTGCTAGACCACCCTATTGTTACCCTATTCGCTCAAAAATAAAAATAGGTAAACCAGACTCACCTCCACCATTCTTGAAGCACAGATAAGGAAACCGCCAAATGTTACCGAGTCCAATGGAAAATCCCATCAAAGCAAGGAGAAAGTCGACCTTCGAAGTCCATGTTTCTCTTTTATTGATGCCTTCTGCCATGTTGATTATCGTATTTCGGTCAATTTAACCAAGTTGTTTTAAAGGAATCTAAGATCATAAGGGAATAGTGATAAATTTATAGAAAATTGAATATAGATATTAAGTAACACAATGTTCTTTAAGGCCGCTTGACATTTCAAAGTCACTACTACTCAGATGAACAATTAATTGGTTTATCGCGCGCAAAAGTGGATGGTGACTTTTTAAGCTTACTCAAATTGCATTCCCTCGACCCTTTCTTCCTGTTCGAATGTTTTTACGCATGTCCTATAAATATATGTGAAATGAAGTCTTTTCTATATAACCATTCCGTTTGGGACGCTAGAAAACAAATCTTTTAGCTACATTTTGTGTTTGAAATTAAGGACCTCCATCCTTTGTGTAATTCAAGATGACGACGCTCATGTTGATTTTTTCAGGCGAAATCCGACGTCGATCTAAAAAATGCTGAAAATCTCGAAACTTCTAACTTGCGGTTAACACTCCAAACGTGGCGCTAAAGCTCTCTATTGCCCTTAAAATTTCCCGCTTTTTCTATGCGGTGCGCCCAGTTCCAGTCACACATCAAGTTTTTCTGTTTCATCTTATTGAATCACCATTAACACTCTACTGTTTACCTCATGTACATGCGGGTCCGCGCTTAGCAAATTTGTAAAATTGTATTAGATGCGATTAGTAGACTTTTAGCCGTCTTTCTTTCAGTAAAGTGTCGTTTACTGTTCAGCAGCAAAGATCAATGCAAACTTTAATGATTCCTCGTCCTTGTCTTACAGAGGAGAGCCGAGAGAAGGCTGCAAAGTCTCGAGAGGCACATAATTTTTCAAAATAACCGAAACAGCCAAGAGGTCAAATCCACTTCGTTAGAAATGAAGGACACATAAGTGGTAATCGCTTGCTGATGATATACGAAAGGGAGTGTTTGATTTTATCAGGGGAGAAAATATTCAAAATATGAAAGCTGCTTATAGTATCAAGCAATGATCAGGACTTTCCGAGCACTGTTGCGAACTTTTATTCGAGGTGAAAGTAGGCGAATTCTGTATTCGGTTTTACGGAATTTGTAGAGTTAGATTCTTCGACAAGTTATGAGACCAACAATTCAGAAGAAGACAATTTAGTTTTCATTTTCTGCATGTTTACAGGCGCTGTAATGGTCATCACTCAATAATTAAGACAAGAAACACAAGCCTTTACCCTTCAAAATGCCCGCCACCTTACATTAAATATCCTAGGTGTTCTTTCATGAAACTTAGTGAGACTAGGAAGTTAATTTCCCTGCAGGCTGAGATGACTTAAGGCGATCATGGATCTTTTTGCCCGCGTTACGTTCTCGCTGTAGTAGATACCGTTGATAAAACGCACTTAGAGGACATCATATAGCTGCGCGTGAATACGGATTTTTTTTCCTCAAACGTTCACGATATCTCTCGAGAGTGACAGATGTTATCAACACGAGAACATTAATTCATATCCATATGCAGCCATTAAGCGTTATTTTTATCTAAGGATAAAGATATTGATTACATATCGTCTGACTCTAAAAACGTTTATGGCTTTTAAGGAGCACTGAATTCCGTATGAATTCAGAGATCACCTTTCACTGAAAACTACTTCAACTTGCGAAAAAATTTGTCACAAGTTCTCGTAACAATAAATGTCTTCCTCTCAAAAGATAATTGTGCTTAACCTTTGCAAGGGTCTTAACTTGAAATAAAAGCCTCCGTGAAAAGTAAACCCCCAAGTTGATAAACCTGGTTGCCATAACGACCTGGAGATCCTGACATGTGAAGAATAAAATAGCACGTCAAAGATGTCATGTTTGGAAAGAGGAAAAAACTCCTGCTATCCATCGATATTTTTATGATAAAATAACAAAGATAGAATTTCCTCTGGAACCAGATTATTGAGTATCCTCAAAGAAACTTCAGATTCCCAAGATATCACAAAATAACAAATAACTTGAAATTTCCACAATGATTTCCCTTGACAATCAGCCTAACACGTCCGGTAAACTCTCAAATTCTATGACTTTACGTACAAGTGCTTTGATCGCCATATTTCGCGGAAATGCCTTAGATAGAGCAATTTACAGCGACTCGCTAGACTGTCATCTGGAAACGACCGCATAAAAAAACACAGGTCCTTTTACTAATTTTCCGCCCTAATAACATTATGGTTCACCCAAATTTCTCGTAGACTTAATACTCTACGTTTTTGGGAAATGTTATCGGGAACATGATTTGCAATGATTCGCCAGACGACCGTCAGGTTATCTGAGTAGGTGCGACCGACTTCTCGCTGAGAACCACAGTCTTTTCACCAATCTTCTGCTATTTTTGCATCTTTCAAAAGTATTTCAGAATGTAACAGCCCAATTTAACTACCTCAAGACGCTTACCTTTCAATTACCCTGAAAACGCAGAACGGTAGTCTAAGATGGCCAATGTGGACAAGACAATTAAGATCAAAATGTAACTTGAGTGGAGTAAGCGGGCAAAGGTCCGTAATTTTACTCTCCGCCTGCGAATCAAGGTAACTCACATAACGTATTTAAATACAAGTTGTGTTAGTTCCGGCTTCTGCTCAACGACATTTCGTCAACAGCCGAGCCGACGGAGTGAGGTGTATAAAAACTGCGAAAACACTTCCAAATGGGACACAATCAGGACACGCAGCTCGCCTCCCGCTGGCGATGCTAGCCATTGAAAGAAAATTTAAAGAAAAATAAATTTAAAAAAAAACTGTGTGAGTGGTTTACATGCAATCAGTCGATTTAGTCTGCATCGCATTTAAAAATCACCTCTAGTGTTTAAACAAATATACTGCAAGCGATTCATGTTGATCTTCAATGTCCTAAAGTAAAATTTTTGTCGGCGAATCAACGCTAGATGAATTTAATTTGTGATTTAACGTGTATTGTGTCCATGTTAAAATATACAGCTAGAATAAGTTCGAGGGACGGAGGGAGGGTAGCGGCCATTGAAATGTAAAGGAAAACTCATAAGAAATGTCTGAAGAATCTCCGTTGGAAACCAGCTGATTGAGTGGGATTAGGAAGTTATGAATACTTGTTAGTTGATAATATGACATGAGCGTCAGCTTCCCTCTCTTCTCGAATTGGAGAGGTCACACTCCATCTTGTATCCTAAGCGCGAGTCGTTACATGGTTGACCGATCTGTTCTTCCATTGGCAACAAATATTGAGTTCTATTATGGCAAACGGGAATCATGTTCGGCGTTATTAAATCATGGTTTATTCATTTTCTATTGTTTTTCATCAGCCTATTCAAAGTTAAGCACTGAACTGGTATGAATCGTGGCTGGATATTCACAGAAAAAAAGTTGAATTCGCGATAATCTGTCATTAGTGACTCTTGTTTGAATGAAAATTTGATTCATAACATAATACACGCTAGTTTTTATCAAGAGACAAATCATCATTTATCACCTAAGAGGGGGGGGGGGAAGGATTTTGGTTGTGTCACGATCGATTTTATCTGATCCCCGTTACCGCTCTGTTAAATCTTAGGACCCTTAACAAAGCTGTCAAACAAAGATAGACTGTCGAAGGATACAAACAGCGTGATTTCGACGTTATCCCTGACAAATGGAAAAAAAAATCGTATGACAAATCAAAGATCGCATACGAAAACAATCGTCTCGGTTTTCCCGCCTCTTGGGGGCGCTGCAGCTCGTCAAAGTGAATGAGCGTGAATCTTAACAACGTTCCCTGTTTGCCAAGAATCATAGCTTCTAGGTTTGCCGACTTAAAAATAGTTGAGGAGTTTGTAGAGAATCGAGTAAACGAGATAAAGACTAAAAGAGGAGATTTTCCCTTAGCAGCTGAAAGCATACGTAAGTGAAATATTGATTACTTTGCTCGTGCGATTTTTATTTACATGTTGTGAGAATAAACTTTACGCTTTCACCAACCATGACATAATCGACGCACGACCGATCAAGTATGAAATAGCGTTTGCAGATGCATTTTGTTGCCAAGTTCCCGTCTACTTCAGCCTCCAGTTTCAAAACTCGCAAGTTGTTTTTTTCCATTCCATCCCGATTGAGAGACCTTTTGAAGTAACAAGATATGCTAAACAATAATAGATTCCGACTGAAAACAATGGAACTTTTACTCTTAAAAGCGACGAAATTACAGTATTACTTATACTTCGATTCCCAAATTTTTTTTCGCCTCTCTGAATAAAGCATGGGACTTGAAATATCTCTAATCACTTATAACCTTGCTTTTTATTCCGAGTATACTTTTCGAGTAGCACGGGATCATTTAGCAGACCCAACGCAATTTTATCAAAAGGAGCCCTTTGGACCTCTTGAGTATGTATTCATGTACTTTGAAAAGCGAACCTCAGGCATGATCTGCGATTTTCATCTTAAACCTTGATTTCTGAGGAAAATCTGAATATAATTTTTCATTTCGTTTTACATTTGCAAAAATTGATTTAAATTTCCTTGTTTCATCAAGATTTTCTGTGTATTGTGTGTCGCATAAATTCTATTGTAGTGAAAACAACTCTAAATGTTGCCCCGAGCAATCTTACGCTTCTCTCGTACTCTCCAACCTCCTGCATTCATCTTCACCTCGATAAATGTATTCTTAATTAACGAAAAACAGCCCTTAATTCGTGAAAGATTGCTAGAGACTTGCATTAGATCCAGTAAGAGAAGAGTTAACATGAAAGTTCAACTTGAAGCTCAGCTAGGTGAGCAATCAGGCACAAGTAAGCCTGCCTTGTTAGCTCATACTGAAGAGTGCCGGACTGCCGTGCAGGAGGTGGAGCCCAGACCGAACAATATTAAGGGTATCTGCAAAAATTGCCTTCCAAAAATTGTAAGCTGCTCAAAGCAGTCTGGCGAAAGTCTCCCGCAAGTCTTGTGAAGCATCATGAGCTAATAAATATCGCGCTATAGAAATACTTCATAACTATTATTAAGCCTGTCCACGGTTAAAACTCTTCGCTAGGTGACGTACTGTCTAAACTGTTCTTGCCTCGCTTTCGTCCTAAGACCGCAAAGCTGTCGAAATTAGAACATAAAGAAACTAAATTTAATCACATCCCTAAACCGAATCGAAGGATGGTTAAAATACACTGGAGACAAATTCAGTCAGAATATGTCTAACGGGCTTTCAAGTTCATAATACCTCTGCCGAGTTTGCGTGTGAAGTGCAGTGCAAGACCTCGAAAAGTGACGAAGTAAGGTATCGCAAAACACACAGCAGTGTAGCCGTAAGTAAATTGTGATAGCGATATTTAAAATCTCGATTTAGCATATTCCATAGATAAAATTTATGATTGCACGACTTGATGGTGCTGCTATACACATATAGAAAGGCTATTTAAAGGATTTTTTAAACATTTTGTAAATTTTATCGCAAACTAGCCCTCGAAGCACTTCTATTTACTATGTATCTGTCTGTCTAGCCGGTAATTTGAGTGAAGTAATTGAAGAAGTACAAACACGACTCTTTTTAAAGTATATTTGCAACTTTTAGTGAATGTTATCGCAACTTAGCCCCAGACTACAACTATGTACCATGTATTGTGTCACGATCAAAATCTGCCGCCTCCACTACCCTCTAAAAACACTCTCCGCGAACTGAATGTTGTTAGCTTTTCTCGATTTGGATATGCATGTAAAAGAGCGCTTCGTGAGTAGCCGTCATGACTACTCATGCTTGTCATGACTTTACGTGCAATACGGTACATTTCAGCAACTGGAATGAATTCTAGGAAAATTGAGAGATTGAAATTGTTATTTCGTCGGTCGCTACCTTCCACGAGGTGTCTTTCATCGGAAAGGGATAGAATTTGATAATTTTTTTGCGGAGATTTCATCACAAACAAGACTGCCCTTGTGTGAAAAAGGTAGAGGACGACTTTCAAATTAAGCAAACAGAAAACCGATGGCTAAAGGTTGTCTAAGTGTGTTCCCCGAAATTCTTGCAGAACTACTCCTAACAGGAGATAGTCTTTTAACATTCATGTGAATATTGCAGATGAGATTGAGGTTAACATGTAATTTCGTCAGTCGCTACTTTCCACGAGGTGTCTTTAAGACATCTCACCGGAAAGGGATAGTATTTGATAACGTTTTTGCGGAGATTTCATCATAAACAAGACTGCCCTTGTGTGAAAAAGCTAGAGGACGACTTTCAAATTAAGCAAACAAAAAACCGATGGCTAAAGCTGGTCGAAATGTGTTCCCTAAATTCTTTCAGAACTACTTTTAAAACGAATCAGTCCTTTAACATTCATATGGAAATTGCAGATGAGATTGAAGTAATTATTTTAAGCGGTCGCTACCTTCCACGAGGTGTTTTTTAGACATCTCACCGCAAACGGATGGAATTTGATAACAGAGTGCAACTGACAGCGGGGCGCGAGAATAGAGATGACTGAATGCATTGAATATCACCCTCTGTTTGTGAAGCAGTTCTGAATCTATTCAATAACTCTGTGAATGGTTGGTCATCCTTTTGTCTTGTATTTTTAGTCAACTCTATCATCTAGAAAAGTAGCCAGGAATGGCACAAATTGTAAACATTATTTTTATATTCTTCAAAGACAGATTTTCTTCAAATTGGTGGAAGTTAATACAAATCACCCAATGTAATAATGCAGTTTTTTTGATGTTGACGATATTTATTTTAGTTTTTGATGGATGTCTAGTAGCAAAGTATTTGATACTATAGAGAGTTCATCGATTATTATCAGTTTTAAATCTGACAGTGCCGTTCTCATTTGTGTTTTCTTTTGGTCTGACATTGGTGTTATATTGTCACCTGATTCTTTAGGGATTGCATACCAAGAGTTAAAAAACAGTTACAGGATAAACCAATAATTACATAAAAAACTTAGGCAAATGCAAGCACAAAAAACAAAGTTTATTTCCAACAGAAAGCCCGGGTGAACGCAAATATGCGTCTAGTTATATTTCCATGAAGCACGCGCCTTACGTCACACCAGTGCACTGTTGAGATATAATACACGCAATCTACGTCATCGGTACGAGCGCGCGCAATTCACAATACATTTTATAAAAGAAATAAAAAACTTGTTCCTCGAGCATTGTTGAGTAATATAGGCACTTGGGAATTTTTAAGAACACTTGAGAAGTGCGAGAAGTACTCACCCTCGGCTCGTGATTGTCCGCACCTTTCTCGTGTTCTTAAAAATTTTCGCGTGCTCATAGAACTCAACGATGCACTCGGCGCGTGCAATGAGCCAATCAGAATCCCTGTTAGGATGGTTCAAATAATCTGATTAGTTATACAAGACTGAAGCTGTCAAAAATGACAAACCATCAAAGCTCAAAAACCGTCAAAGTTCACGTTCTGCTATATATAGTTTGCAAACTTAACTAGTTCGGCAGGTCGAATTTCACACTTTTGCTTGAAGTTTTTTAGTCTCTAATACAGAAACTGAAAGTGCAATGTTCACTGAACTTCGGCCGAATTTTGACTCATAAAAACACGCAAGTTTTTTCACAAAACAATTAGTTCAAGGCGAGATTTTTATGAATAACCGACAGCCGAATTCACCGGAACATGAAGATCGCTCGAGGATGACAGCGCCGTAAAACTCGGCTACTGTGACTGATGAGGCCTTCCACTGAACGCATCGGAAAGGATATCAGAGCAAGCTCTAATTTTTTCACTCGAAGGGCGGCCGATGTAGTTTATGAGGGTTTCTTCACTGCGATGACCGGATATCGCCATGATGAGCCAGCCACGATGGACATCAGCATGATCGCAATCGTTCTGACATTGTCATGATTTGTAGTAAAACTGAAACTTTATGTATACTTATTATACAGTGAAAATACCTTACTATGATACAGAATAAAGACAAACTAATTTAAACAAATATATAAATTCATGCGAAATAGAATGTCGATTCCGCTCTCCGATGCTCAACGACTGAGCCACAGAGACTATGATGAGCAGGTCCATTACGAAATTCACATATGACACTCGTCTGGCATACTGCTAGGATCCGCGATGTAAAGATCGAGAGCGTCATGTTTTGTAAATAGAATAAGAAAGATAGTAAGTATTAAGCTCGGTAAAAAATAGAAAAAGATGTTTCCTGTCTTGCCACGAGCGCGGGACAAAGAAAAAATTCTGAGTCCCATGAGGAACTGAACTTTCGACATTCGGATTCCGCGTTCCGATGCTCCACCACTAAGCCATAGAGAGTCTGTCTTCCTTATTCCTGATATTTTTTTCGTCCCCTGATTTTCTAGAAACTTTAGAACTTGCATAACAATAGTCTGACACAAAATCGTAATTCATAAACTGACCGTATTGATGACAAACGTGCTTCCATTATCACAAATTAATCTTGTTTTTGACTACATTTATCATCCGTGTCAGACCTTATTCAACGAGATAAAGACATGCAACCTGTGCCTCAAGGCAAAATGGAAAAATTCTTCATCATATGCAAACTGGGCGCGGGCGCCTTAACACAAATTAAACGAACTGACGGGTGTGCCGGCATGCAAGCAAGTATCTGATAACACATTTTCGAACGACCAGCCTCTAACGGGAACCTCAGTCGGTCAGTGTTTTATGCATCTGTGGTGCAATTTTGTGATAATTATTTAGCTCCACGAGTGTAAAACACTCTGCGAATCAAAGGTAAGGTTTTTACGTATGTTATAAGAGATGTATTTTTAAAACAAAGTAGTTTAGGCTTGATTATCACGCGTTGAACAACGAATACGAAGACATTTCGTTAGTCAAATTGAAAACATAGCGTAGCATTGTAAAAATACGTATATTCACTCTCGTGATGATGGCATTATGGGGGCACCGAAGCATGTAAAAAGACAAAGGAACTTTTTTTGATACTTTTCAATTACAGTACTATTTTAAAAAGTAATTAAAAATTCAGTTTTTCATCGAGAGGTTGCACAGAGGTGGTTTTTGATGAAGAATTGTGCGTTTTTTAAAACTATTTTTTTTTTGTAAGTATTTTATATGTTTTGTTGTATTAACGCAAATTTTAAGGGACTGATTTATAAGCCAATTTACTGCTTATTTGGCTTGACAAAAGAAAGTTGAGTAGAGGGGTTAGGCTGGAGTAGTTTAAAGTAAGATTATGCGCTGGTTCCCCCATAATGCTATTATCACATAATAGGAAATATTTTCCTCTCAAAAGATAATTGTGCTTAAGCTTAGCAAGGGTCTTACGTGAAATAAAAGCCTTTGTGAAAAGTAAAGCCTTTATGTTGATAAACATGGTTACCATGACGACCTGGAGATCTTCACATATGAAGATAAAAATAGCACTCTAGTTGCGCGAGGTAAAGGTATCATGTTTTAAAAACAGGGAAAAACCACCTGTTATTCATCGATATTCATGTGATAAAATGGCAAGGATAGAATTTCCTCTGGAACCAGATTATTGAATCTCCTAAAAGAAACTTCAGATTCCCAAGATATCACAAAATAACAAATGAATTAAAATTTTCATAATTATTTCCCTCGGTAAGAAAATTAACCCAACACGCCGGTAAAATCTCAAATTGCACAGCTTTTACAAGAGATTTGATCTCCACGTTTTGCGGAAATGTTCTAGATAGAGCAATTTACAGCGACTCGCTAGACTACCACCTAGAAGCGACCACACAGTAAAAACACAGGTCCTTTTACCAATTTTCTGCCCTAGAAACATTATGGTTCACCTGGCCGGCTTAATCAGCCTAACAATTCAGAGTAACTTTTCAAATTTCTTGTAAACTTAATACCCTAAGTTTTCGGAAATGTTAAAGTCGTGAACATGACTAGCAATGATTCGCCAGACGACCGTCAGGTTGTCTAAGTAGGTGCGACCGACTGCTTGATGAGAACCCCGATCTTTTCACCGGTTTACTACTATTTTCTTCGCATCTTTCAAAAGTATTTTGGAATGCAAAATTTAACAGCCAATAAAACTACCTCACGACGCTTACCTTTAAATTCCTTTGAAAACGCAGAACAGTAGTTTAAGATGGCCAATAAAAGAGGAATAACGTGGGCAAGACAACTAAGATCAAAATGTAACTTGAGTATGTCTAGAGTAAGCTGGCAAAGGTCAGTAATTTTACTCTCCCGCTTGCAAAACAAAGTAACTCACGCGACGTTTTTAAATACAATTCGTTTTAGTTCCGATTTCTGCTAAACGACATTTAGTCAAAAGCCGGGTTGATGGAGATAAATGTATGAAAACTGCTGAAAATAACAAAAATATAGTCTATCTCTTTTTTCATATTCATCGAATGTTTATCTTCAATACCCTTGACTAAAGTTACTAGCGGCGAATGATGTTCGACACTGGATGAATTTAATTCATTGAGTGATTAACGATAAATTGTGTCCATGTTAAAAAAAAAAAGCTAGAATGATTTTGAAGGAAGGATGGAGGAGTGCGGACACAGAAGTGTGAAGGAAAATTTATCAGAAATGTCAGAAGAATCTTCGTCAGAAACCAGCCGGTGGAGTGGAATTGAGACGGTTAATTATAAAATTAGCGTCAGCTTTGTATTCATCCCTTTCCATGTCATAGAGGTCACAATCCATTTTGTATCATACGCGTGAGTCTTTACATAACTGACCGATCTGTTCTTCCATAGGCAACAAATATTGAGTTTTATTATCCAACTGCAATAAGTAGAGTACAAATAACGCGCGAATGGAGTAGAAACATCCTGCGATATTGTATGGTTATTTGGAAAGTTGGTTATTTTTACTCGTTTGCTTGTTTTTCAATCGTTGTTTGTATTTTGACTCGCCTTACGGGCTCGTCAAAATACGGCAAAACTCGTAAAAATACTCAGGGATACTCTACACCAAAACGTCTAAGATGTTATAATAATACGGCAAACGAAAGTTTTCGCACGGCAAATCATGTTGGGAAATAACAATAGTTTGTCATCGGTGGCTCTTGTTTGAATGAAGATGTGATTCACAACATAATGCGCATTTGTTTTATCTAAGAGATAAGTCATCGTTTATCACCTAAAGGCAGGGCGGGCGGATTTTTGTTGGGTCAAGATAGATTATACCTGAACCCATATGGGGCTCTGTTATATCTTATGACACTCCTCACCGGCTGTTAAATGGCAGTCAATCTTCTAATGTCCCCCTTCCATACTCCGTTGCCGACGACCGATCCTCCCTTCGTTCCCCCTGGAAACCATGTCATCTCCCTCAAAATCCTCCTCCCCCTCTTTTCAAAGTATGTTTTTAACTATTTGTAAATTTTATCTCAAATTACCTCCCGGAGTACATCTATTTACTATGCATCTGCCCGTCTAGCCTACGGTAATTAGAGTAAAGTAATTGAAGTAGTATTGACACGACTCTTCTTAAAGTATGTTCGCAACTTTTTGTTGCAAACATACTTTAAAATATTTATTTATACTTTAACTTACTCTACTCAACCCCCAGACTATTAACTATGTACCATGTATCAAGACACATTCAAAACACGCCGACTCCCCCACCCCTTAAAAACGCCCCCTGCTCGCTGAATTTTGTTGTTTTTCTCGATTAGGATTGTAATGTAAAAATAGAACTTCGTGAGTAGCTGTCATTGGCAACTTCCCCGCCTTGTTATGTTAAGATTTCCTTGTCATTGTACGGGTGTCTGATACACAAGATAATTAATTTAAAACTTTCCATTAGCAACCTGAAGAGATCATGACTTAACGCGCAATAATAAGGTAAAGTTGTAAAGCGGAAAGCCGTTTGACCCTTTTAAGAGCGCCTTTATTTCAAAGTTAGGTAGGCCTTAGAGAGAAACAAACCACTGCATACTTCGTTTGGCTGAATATAGATTTATTTTCGAGGAAACCGATGATAACTGAATTCCGCCATAATTTAAAGCTCAACTGCCGCTTTTGAAGCTCAAAATTTCAGGCGGATCTGAACGGATTACTTTTGACCTATTTTCAAACTAGTCGAAGTAGGTCGGATAAATTCAATTAGATTGTGTAAATAGGCGGTAAAGAATTGCTCAACTTATTGTCATCATATGTTTTGATGTTGTTTTTCAAGATTTGGAACTTTTCATCAATCCAGGTTTTTTTTTCATTTTGTGACGCGACGTTCCGAGATCCGCCTGAAATTTTGAGCTTTAAAAGCGTCAGTTTGGCGGAATTCAGTTATTATCGATTTTCTCGAAAACAAATCGATATTCAGCCAAACGAACTATGCAGTGGTTTGTTTCACTCTAAGGCCTACCTAACCTTAGAATATGAGCCGAATTGTTTTTTTTTGGCTGTTGCCACCATGTTATGAAAATGTTCGATTTTTGGCTACATTTGTTCTTAATTGTCATCAACTGAAAAAAGTGTAGGAACAGTGGGTGATCTCTCTCTCGAGTGAGCTGAAATCTTTGTATCATATATCTAAAACAAAGCCGATAGATAACCTCACAATTCAAGCGAACTTTGTCAACAGTCTCTATAGAAATAGAACTGAGATACTACGAACACCCTGATTGGTCAAAAACTGCATCAACTGAAGGTAATAAAGAAGGCATGTGCATTATTAAAGATATAAATCGATATAAAGAGCGCGCGAGTGCATTGTTGAGTTATATAAGCAATTGGGAATTTTTAAGAACACGAGAGAAGTGCGGACAAGCACGAGCCGAAGGCGAGTGCTTCTCGCACTTCTCGAGTGTTCTTAAAAGTTCGTAAGTGCTCATATAACTCAACAATGCTCGAGGAACAAGTTTTTCTTAATTTCTTTTGTAAAAGGTATCGTGAATAGCGCGCGCTCGTACTGATGACGTAGGCTGCGTGTATTATATCTCAGCAGTGCACTCGTGTGACGTAAATCGCGTGCTTTATGGGAATATAATGGACTCGTTCTGACCAATCACGCCGCGCGCATTTCTTTGAACATTTTATTTTTAAAAATATAAAAAACAGAGCTTTCAATAGAACTCAAATAAAATAGTATTTTGGAGGGTTGGTCTATTTTAAGGCAGTTCACTTGGATGGTCCATCGTGGTCCGTGGACTGGGGGTCAGTGTTTTGTCCATCATCCTTTACATGAAATGGCGTGGTGATCCAAGAGTGTGTTTCAACAAAAATTATGGAGTTTGAAGACATATAACTCTGTTATCTCTATATCTCCAGCTGAGTTTTCCATACATCATAAAAGATTATCCTTTTTTAACATCTGTAAGATTTGTTACAAAAAATGATTTCAAGTACAAGGTTGTATATATTTCAACAAAGAAGAAAGTGCATCGGTGTATTTATGAGGCCTTCTGTTCAATTTTCTCGTTCTCTGTTGTCAACGGAAGAATCTGATTTCCTTTAAAATCTTCAAGTTCAGTTTCTTCCCTGTCCTCCTCAATCTCAGGTATAATCAACTTGTTCAAACGCTGTGAAAAAAAGGAAGTCTATCAGTATTAACAGAACTTTTACCTGTCCTATTCTAAGATTTTCACCACGATTCACAAAAATACCTGGCCTTGCGCCGGTTAATGACTATCAACCAAGATCATATAAACAAGAGAATATTGACTGATATCAGTTGATATTCTCTTGCAATCAACTGATAGTAGCTTAACTGCTATGTAGACGATAAGCCATACCATCCAATGGTCATTAATACTGTTTTCTTTTAGACGATATCAAAACCGAAAGCGCGATAATTTTGGTAAAGAGATTGAAAGCAAACTGATTAAACAAATGCCTGAAATAAAATTTGGAGTTTTTAAAGAAGGTACGTGATCACTTTTATATCGATTGACCTAATGTAAGGTCTAGAACACTCAATGTTCGTCGAGTTCTTTTGTGTTTTGATGGACCGAGACGAAGCAGCAAGATAGGCCCATATTGCCCGCTCGGATAGCCAATCAGAACACAAGATTCGCTTCATTTTGCCCACGGGCACAACTAACTATATAATTAAAAAAAAAGTTACCGAAGGACGAGCTCCACGCATCACGTAATGCTCGTGCGTGTGTCCTTGGATTTATAATGTGATATAGTGAAACGAATTCGAGAGTGTGTCTGTTTTCGAATGTCTTGGTTGCTGTTCGATTGGAGCTTCACTGATCGCTGCTTCAAAATGAGCGAAGCAAGTTTTTAGAGGAAGGTGCTCTTAGTGTGTTTGCCCTTTTGCACACTGCAAAACAATGTCTGGGTAGGACGCTATGATTAACGAATCATGTACCTCTCTGATTGTTCCTGTGGTCTTGATGAGTTTGTAAATCATCACAGCCGGAATGCAGGTCAATGACGATGCCGTCAACAACCAACCAATAGCTTGGCCCCACGCGGGATAAACGTACTGACCGTAAGTCAATGGCTTATATGTTGCCAGGTTAAAGATGAAGATGAACTGCATATTAAAATCAATGCATAATCATTTAAAGTATTTATCAGACACAGACACGTTTTTTCATTTAGTTCATTCCTTGACAATGCTTTTAGATAAGTTAAAGCTTGGAAATAAAGATACGGCAGCTTAAGGCCTCAATCCAATCACCAATTTAATCAACATGATACTGAAGGACACCTTCAAGCATTTTTTGCATTTTGATTCACCTGTTTAGTATGTTTATTAAATACCAGAAACTTACCGAACAAAACATTGGCGCTAGAAAACACCAACACCAACCAATCCATGGATTGATGCGAAATCCCAGCATGATTTCCATTTTGTCATAAAAACGACGGCGACCTGTGTATAGTTTGACACATTTCTTCAAAGTTTCGTGTTGGAGTATAAATACAAAATGAACGTTACGCTGCACGCAATTTCCCTGTTGACCACTGCCCAGAGTTATTTTTGACATTTATTCAGTGTTAGCTAAGACTTGCTCCGCAAATAATTGCGAGGAGTTTCCATTGTTAAGGGTCTACATGATTGTTTCAGAGGAAGACTCTAAGGTAAAAACTGTGCTATCATTTCAAGGCACTTCTACCCGTGATGACGTGATGAAGCACAAAATAAACGCAGCCTGTCTTTAAGCCTATTCTTAGCCCCCCCTCCCCCTCTCCCCCCTCCCCCATGGGACACTAGTGTATTCCAGGTAACCCTCAGCATGTTGTGACGCTCCCCTTACGATCTTTCGGTGTTTCTTTTATGCTCTTGGATTTACATGAGGTACTGTGAGGCAGGAGTGTGACGCGGGGAAAAACTTTGGCCGCCGTTCATGGCGCAAGCTCAGACCATTCTGAGGAGGGTGGTGGAACACTTACCATAAGACCAACAAAGCTTCTACTCTATATAACAAACCGATTCGAATTTTAAAGAAAAAAAAATATTAGTCATTACTCAAAAGTTGGATTGTTTCTTACCATATAGCCATCCCATAGCCACACATTCACAGATGACCACCAACAACAGTACTGATCCGCTTCCAGAGTAGAAATCAAACAACTGGAAAACGTACATTCCTCCCTGGAACAGGGTTTTCATTCATGATTTGTAAATGGAATTAAAAAGAAGGTAAGTTTTAAGCTCGGTAAAGAAATAGAGAAACATGTTTATCGTCATGTCACGAGCGTGGAACAAAGTAAATATTCTGAGTCCCCATTAGCTTTTATTTGGTTACTATACAGTGAGGATATCTTTCTACAGTAGTACATGGACTTATGTGGAGGACCTGAATTTTTTTGGCCAAGTGGACAAAGGTGAAAAGAGACTGGGGTGAGACAAAAATTAGTATATTTTGGAAGTAACTCCCTGAGTGATATTATTTCTTGCTCTGAGAATTACCTTCCTTAGCCATAAATTATAAATTCCAGCCACCAGTTTTAAGATTAATCTATTTTACATGCATACTGATAAGCTGTTGGGGGGGCAGTAAAGGGTGTCCTCAAGCTTAAGACGCGTGATTAATTAAGGTTACGGCCAAAATTAATATGTGACGCGTGAATTTTACGGAAAAGCGGGTGTGATTTGTTAATTCATAAACAAGCGTGAGGCGTGATTTGCCTCTAGATATATACGTGACCCGCGCATTTTTTCTTTCATTTCATGGAAACCTCTAGATTTCCCTGATGTACACATGAAAAGAGATGTGAAGTTTTTCCTTTGATATATGTGAAGCGTGAATTTTTCGAAAATTACTGCGCCGAACATAATTAGGACGCACTCTTTGCAACCCTCACGGTATATGCTAACTTCCAACAGCTAAGCAACCATGAGTGTCAATATACCTCAGTAACCATAGCTAGCCCAAGGAGGAACCAGATCACACAGACAAAAGCGGTAAACATTTCTTTGCGGTAGCCGCGCCTCAGGTAGTGAGGATACAAATCCACAACGGCGGTCACAACACCCTCAATACCTACAAACTGAAAGTATGAAGAAATACAAAAATCAGTGATTGCAGACTCCAGACGAAAAGTATGGGAAAAGATTATAAAGGAAACTGTGCGTGAAGCATCTGTAGTTTACAACGGTCGGTATCCTTTAACGAGATTTTGACGTGAAATTGCTTCTGCATTATACATCCCTCAGATGAGCAAAAGGTTATCAGATTATCAGAGACCCTCCCTCCCGAACAGCTACTGCCCCCTCCTCCCCCCCGCCCTCTCTCTCGTCCCTTTCAATGTTGTTTTGCATAGTAACATTTGCATTTAAGAAAATTAAAAGGGGAGGGGAGAGGTTGAAAGAAGATTGTCATGGACGTTGTCCTGGAGAAGTATCCCAACCAGTTATTTCTGGGAATGTTGGTCTATGAAAAAAAACTTTGACAATTTGAAACAGCCTCGGCAACCAGAGTAATGCATTTTTGTTCATGTATATGCGTTCCAACAACTGTATATTCTTTTGTTCGTTTGACACAGGATTAATAAATCTTTCCACTAGGGAGAGCACGTTTGGCCGTTGAAAAAATTGTACAAAGGTTGTATATCTTGTAATAGGGTAAAAAGCAGTGAATGAATAGACTCTATTGAAGTTTAGAAGCACGCGCATGCAAGCTCTGTTGCATAAAAATCACAATTGTTTTATTTCACAATTTAAGGAAGAGTCTTCTCTTTATCTTTTCGTATTTTGACCATTGAAATTCACCAATCAGTATCAACAAAAGCCGTTTTCCTCAGGGGTTCCAGAAAAGAATTCCGTCGAATCATTCACAGTTTATAAGTTGAATGCGACAGCTTTCAATCAGGGTTATCTTGCGATATACTCTAACAATCCCAGATTACATTTGAAACTAAAGTGATAATTGCTCTATGGGTTGATTAGTGACGTCTATACCTCACTGTCCAGGCCCAGTAAAATTACCATGAAGAAAAACAGAGCAGACCACAAAGGAGATAGAGGCATTTGAGCTACAGCTTCTGGATAAACTACAAAGGCCAGTCCAGGACCTAAAGGGTAAATAACAGAGGTTTAAAGCAATGTATATCACACGCGTGTCATTTTACACGTTGAGCGTATCATAAAGCACACTGCTAAACAAAAGTTACCGTGTCTGTCTCTGTTCCGCTCATTAAACATACACATATCTGCAAATTTGTGACACGCTCGGCTTAGCGTGTCATGAAGCGCGTGTCATATTTTCTCGCATAAGCGCCACTCCTGAATAAACGCCCCCCTTAAATAAGTGTCGCATTTGGAACGAAAAAGTTGAAAGGCGCGCCCTTAAGGCCCTCGGTCACAGTACAGCGCTTATTCAAATCCTGAATCCTTTAACTTATCTTTAACTTTAACTTATCCCTGTTTCATATGCAGTTGAACATCTGGGGCGAACTGAATGCAAAAATCGTTTCAAATTCACAGATTTAGTTAGATCTAAGTTGAGCGAAGACACCTTGGTAATGCAATTAAAAAGTGCTGGAAGCCACAAATGGTGACAATCAAAAGACGCCGCCGTTTGTTTCTGTAAAATTTTCTATAAAATTACATTTGAAATGAAAAGAGAATATTTCATTGTCGTGTCCAATTTTTTAATAAGCGCTCCTTTAAATAAGCGTCGCATCGAAGGTGCGAAGAGTTAATTAAGTGTCGCGGAGCTTTTTTGAGTACATATACAAGTATAAAGTGCTGTACAGTTTACTTTGTAAAAATGTCAGACGATTTATGTCACATTTCGTCAAGTTTCCTTAGCAACTTTGGAAATATTGTTAACCTGGTTTAGCAACGTCCTCAACTGTCACTCCTTGATTTTTAGCCATAAAGCCCAACACAGAGAAGATGAGAAATCCGCCGTAGAAACTTGTTCCACTGTTACAGAGGGTAAATATGATGGAATCTCTACATTGAGGAAAAAAAAAAAAGAATTCTGTCTCCGATCATAATTGAAAACAGTTTTTCCTTCATTTTCTCCTTCGGAAGTTATGTAACTTATGATTGTGGAGTGTAGAGGCAGGAGGGGAGAATATTTGGCTCGACGCTATGACGTACAGACGTATCTTAAAGAGCTCCGTGCGCCATGACCGAGAGCTGAGAACGTTCCCGTCACGCCCGACCTAAATTAGTCAATAACAATTTTATCACATGACGGCCTTTCTTTTTCTTCCCTTCTTCTCTCCGCTTTTATGTCGCAGGACGTATGGTCCTGCTTATGCCAACGCGTAAGGCTTTTATAATGAGGGATTTTTGTTAAAGAAAGGGCGCGCAGGGTTATAACGGTCATTTGATAAGTACAAGAGAATATTAACTGATATTCTCTTGATAAATGTATTCCTACAGGCTCGTCAAAATTCTAAGCGATACTATACACCAAAACGTCTAAAAAGTTACTTATTATCCAACTGCTTATTTTTTCTGCTAAGTCTTTCTGTTCGTTTCTCATAAGGCGGGAAAAGCAAATCGGATAGAGAAGCGTAGCGCGCGCAGCCGACTGGTTAAACAGGTTTTTTATAGTACAAAATAATCAACTGTCCAAATAACCGTACAATATCGCAAGATATTTGTACTCTATTCGCGCGTTATTTATACTCTTACTTTGTGAAGTTGGATAATAAGTACTATTACAGCCTTACCTGTAAAAGTTGTTCTTAAATTTGTTATAGCTCCCAAGTGCTGTCATGGTTCCCATGCCAATGGAATACGAGAAAAACACCTGGGTGCCAGCATCGAGCCAAACCTGGAAAGATATTTGATTTCAGTTTTCATATTAAATTTTGAATAAGATGTACAATTTGAAAACATGAAAACAAAATCTCACACAAAAGTGAAATTTTTGGGCGAACCATATGAACGAACCATGGATCCTTAACTGTGATCGGGATCAAGATTTACATATAAACATGAAATAAAAAGTTTGAAGCTCAGAATGATTACGTCAAGAATGACTAAGTTGACGTAAGTAAGTTTGGCGATATTTCGCAAGATAGGATAGGTCGGAAGTCGCAACTACAGGATAAGCTGAAACCAGTTGCAGTTTTTAGCGGATTGTTAACAAAATTCCGTCGAAATAGGATGGATAGAAAATATTCCAATTTTAGTTTCACAGCTCATGCCATTTTTTTGCATGTTCGGCCGCGTGCATAATTGAGAGACAGAAGCCAGCTTCATCCTTTCATTCCCAAGATCTCATAAATAATTTTCCTTACTATATGCCATAAAATTTTAATAACGTTTGTTCTGAGATCTTGGTATTAGATCATACGACTAATAATCCACTGATTGATATTTTGCTTTGTTTTCATCAATTGTCTGCTCGATTTGGTATTGATATTGTAAGGAGAAATTAGGTCTTGGTCATTCTTTGGAGCTAGTGGGTTAATTTTAATGCAGAGGGAGGCCTGTTTCACTGGCCTCGTTAAAATAACAGCCTACCTGGCCATCACCAAGTCTTGACAGATCAGGGGTCAGATAAAATTTTATTCCATCGGCGGCTCCCGGTAAAGTGACACCGCGGATCAAGATTGCGGTCAGCAGCAGATATGGAGCTGTAGCGGTGAAGTACACAACCTGCAAAAAATTAGACAAGTGTTTTTATAAGAATAAAAAATATCGCATAAGATTAATCGAGAAACGTACTCCACAAAAATTATCAAGAGACAGACAGCCAAAACCGAAGAGATCTAAATTACAAAGATAGACTACAACTAAACGTGGATGAACGGATTGAGTGTCAAAGATAAAAAGAAAGTACGTGCCTAGCTAAAAACACCGATGTCAAGAAAGGCAGGCGAAGAAACAAAGAGAACGACAGACTGACAGATTGAGAGACTAATAGATTGACAGACTGACAAAACTGACAGACTGACAAATGAAAGACGAACGATGTCCAGACAGATCTTTAGACAAATCGCAGCACTCCGACAGACAGACAGGTAGACTAGACGATGATCAACAGACGAAAAGTAAAAGTCTTAAGCCCTTTTGATTAATGAGCAACTTAAAAAGAAAAAGAACAATTACCTTCCCACTAGACTTGACTCCTTTGCATACACACAAATAACAAACGATCCAAGCCAACAGCAGGCACAAAGCTAGGTCCCAGTTCACTTGCCCCGGTTCACCCAAGCCACCAGAAACTCGCAGAACTCTGTAGCTATTTTGATGAAGAAACAATGACATTTCTAAAATAGCGAAACATAACTACTGAATTGTTTATCTAAATTTTAAAAGTGTAAGTGGAAGTTTTGTATGAAGGGAAACTCCCTCTCCTGTGCCTCAAAGTGTATACGCGTGTCATAAGAGTACAAACACGGTTGTGCAATTGCACTGGACTGAAAGCGTATACAAACCATGTTTTAAACAACTATTGCGGTGTTTAGATGAATTTCACATATTCGGTTTATATAATAGCCGTCAAGAACTATAGGATAAATTAAAATTCAGTGTTCCTCGACTGATATAAACATCACTTACTCCCAGTATTCCTGACTTGCTGAAACACCTGCGATAGCGGAGGTATTTTGTAAGGAGCTGTTTCGTTTTACACTGCCGTCTACACAATTTACTGTGTTCCATTCATTTCCACAATGTGACCACGGCAGCTTGGATTGGAACGAGGCAAACATGTAATAAAAGGCCCAGCCAAGAATCACGGTATAGTAAATGTTAATGTATTGCATAACCAGGACCCCAGCGTAGCCAATACCTAGAGAGCAAACAATTTAATTGATAAACGCATCCTCACTGGTAAATGGTAAAACCATACTAAAATTTTCTGCGAGTTTTGAGCTCTCTGCAATGGTAAGACCTTCAGATTAACATCAGCCGCTAACAAGACATCCTGACGTCGAAATCTTCTCTTGACAGAGGAAAATCACCGCAAACAGACAAAAGGCGTCGCAAAATGGGTGGAAATGGACTCATTTAATCGCAATTTTAAAGCCTGATGAAAACTTCTGCATGTCTAAATTTCTGTAATTTCTTTAAAAAATTTCACTCATTTTCAACAGCCAGAATGTGGCGTAATTCATGCTACATTTGAAGTCAAACTTATTCTACGGGGAACAAAGAATCCACCAAACATTGGGCTAATGTCCCAATCTAGCTTCATAGCTTCTTTTATAGCAAAATCACATCAACAAATCGACAGAACGATATTTTCAGCCACTTTTGCGAGATTCAAAACTGCTTTCAGCTTGAAGCTGACGAACGGCAAGATAACAGCTTAATGAAACAGAAAAGCATAAAATAAACCATGCAAAACAAAGGAAGACTTAAGTTATGTAAGAATAAAGAAGATCGAAACGGAATGATAATGACGAGCTTCGTCGAAAGTTTTCAGGATCCACAAAGCGTGACGTAGCTCCAGAAGGAACTGCCTTGTAAGTAACTTCTTTAAACTGATGTGTTTTACAACTCCGTGACATTTCGTGGCGCGCGAGAGTGGACAGAGAAAGAACGTAAATCAGAATGCCGGATGAGGAGTGAGGTTTTGACGACTTCTTACCTTGAAATATTGGACATATTTTCCAGGCTGTAATTCCACCTTGACTTGTGTACTGTCCCAAACCAATTTCCATGACCAAAACAGGGACACCAGCCACGATCAGACAAATCAAATAGGGAATGAGAAAACACCCTAGGACGTTGAGAAATACCGTAAAAATTAAAAGACATGATTTACAATGGTCATCTTTCTTGGGCTTAATATACGACTGGGCGTTATATTGGAGAGAAATTTGAATAAAAAAATCATGCGCTCCATCTATTCATAAGCAATAGCCTTAAGGTGGTAGTTAACCCTTATTTTGTAACTAAATGAAAAAGTGGCCTGTTTCCCTAGGATTTGACCAAACTCCATGAAATTTGAACAGAATATAGACTTAAGTAAGTTTGAAAGATTGACATGGTAAGTGTGAGACCACGCCCATTGGTTGCCATGGTAACTCCAGAAAACTTAAGTCAACTTCTGAGATTATGGCAAAGTTATCTCAGCAAACATATACCATAAAGCAATGAAACTTTCTAGAGACATTAACACTGTTACAAATTGTGCAATGAGTGAAACAGTTTTTTAGTATCGTCAAATCAATGTCGCTCTGACATAAAGAAGCACGTTTCCATAGCAACAAAATAAAACTTCACAAAAGACTAAAACTAGTTCACTCATTGCACAGTACAGCCAAAACTACACAACCTGTGAAAAAATCATGCAAATCCATTGAAAACTGGCAAAAATATGACTGCCACAAGATAGACAATTCTTAAACATATAACTTTAAGAAAACTGCTTCTAAAGTCCAAGACATGTGCTGTGAGTAAAATTCACCATAACATCCCCCCATTCTGTCAAGAAAGTTATTTTCTTGAAATTGTGTTGCACTAGGAAGTAAATATTAATTTGAAGGCCTTTCTCCAGCTAGATTAGATGGTTAAATGTGGAAAAGTTCAGTCCTCTTCATGAACCCTACTCTTTTGGAGTGACCACAACTTCAAAAATGGGTTCCACATATTTTATCTCCACAGTTTGCTCTCTACTAGTGGATGGTAACTCCTGAATGTGTTTCTTGGACTTAATATTCTTGATTCCTTGTTTAACTGATATCTCAGGCTTTGAATCAAGACCAAAAGCCCCTGAAGAGTATGACACTTCCCCTTTTGACTTTTGCTTTGCCCGTAAAATCTTCCTTTGTGTTCTGTACTTCACAGAAACTTTTCGTCCAGCAGTTACGATCCTTCTTTTGTCTTGATCTCTCAGGGCCTTCAACATACTTTGACCAGGATTAACCCCACTGAGATCCATAATGACTGCTTTGCTGGCTGCCCCAGTGTTAAACACAGCCACAGTTTCACAAACAGCAATTTGAACTTTACGAACTCCAACAAAGGTAGTTTTGGAACATCTGGACCACAATTGAGAATTGACACTTTCATTCTGGTTTTGAGTGAAACCTTGAAGACATCTTGATAAAAGAGCATTATCTGACAATCTTTTAAAAATTGGGTCCAGCTCTTTCATGAAAACTGCAGGAAGACGCTTGCTGTTGTCGTAGGTGTTTGTCTTATTATGCATGTCAGCCCAGAACTTACACCATGTGTCTTTACCCTTTGGACAGTGTCTGTGCTGCTTTTTGAGTGACATGTCCTCATCCACTATCATATGACACTGAATTGCTTTAATGCTTTCTTTCATCCCTTGAAGGTTGCCACAATTCTCTCTTATAGCATTACCATAATAGTTTTGAATGCGGTTGATAACTTTGTCAGTGAGCCTTCCCTTTCCAGCGACACCTTTTCCATCTGCCAGCTTTCTTCCCTTCATTTCCTTTTTAAACTTTCGGAGAGCTGTACCCATTCTCTTCTGCACATGGCCCACACACTCCTCTTTGACTACAGGATATTTGTCTCCAAATTTTGCAGTCATGGCTTCTCGCACTCGACCAAAAGAACTACTGTCACCATCTCCGACAAAAGTTGTATACTTGAGATGCAACTTCTCTACACTTCTGCCAAACATTTCTACTGCTGCAGAAGCCTCCATGTCCTCAGAGCTGGTAGAATGGTTAATGTGGCAATTTGTATGGCTGGCTTTCCAAGCTTTGTATTCCTCAGAATCTCTGTCCATATGCTCACGAGCTCGACACTCATAGCAAACAAGAGATTTGACCTCATAATCCAGAATTTCTCCAGTTGCCACTGAAATGACAAACACCACACCAATCTTTGAGGAATGGCCCCTTTTCTGCCATGTGCCATCAACTGTAACAGCTACTTTAGCCACTTCGGTTCCATTTTCATCTTCAATGCTGTTAGGATGTTTATTTTTTGTCAGATCCGACAGCCTCCCAGCAGCATCCTGCATTTGAGTTCTAGCATGTTCTACAGCTGCCTTTTCAATTTGGATCAAATGATCATTGTAAGATTTCTTGGTCACTGGTGGACAGAAATTCATTCTAGCACAAAAGTCAGCCAACCCAGCCTGGCCAAGTTTCTGAGAAGCCAATACCGACCTCCTGTTGACTTCATGAGCCCCTCCACCAACACCTCCCAGTCTCTTACTTGTTTTCAACTCAGTCTCATGATGACAATTTGAACATCTAAGAAAAAGACATTCAGCAAGTCCTTCTCTCTGATAATCTCGCTGAAAAAGTTGCAAAGTTGATTGAGATTTGCGGCAGAAACTGCAAATTGCTGCTGAGGCGATACAATCTCTAAGTAAAGTGGCATCTTGAATTTTATAACCACTTGCAATGTTGTCACAATTTACTGATGGAACTCCGAGCCCAACATTTATCGACTTCTTACGGGTTAGAATGCCTTCCTGCTCTTCATACATCGAAAACGAAGAATTCTGAAGCTTTGAGGCGGAAACATTGACTTCCATGGGCAATTCTTCACTTTCACTGGCGTCGCTGTTGTCACTAACTTCGAGTTTACTTCCTGCAAGGCCATCTTGATCTGGTTCTTTAGTCAGTTTTGGACGTTTCTTTGACCCAGTAGTGCCGCAAAAACCCTTCCTTTTTTTTCTCCTAACGGATCTGAATTTTCTTTCACCATGCTTCGCCATCTCACAAAGTACAACAAGCAAAAATGTTTGAAAGAATAATCCGACTTCACCTTCCTCTAAGCTTTCGAAAAAATCGAAGAAACGAGAATTTACTGGCTCCCGCTGCATCATGGTTACGCTAATGAAAATCAGCACTGGAGTCTATGGAATTCGGCTTGTGAGGACTGTGGAAACGGATTTCGGAGACTTTTGACCCAGCGCAGGGTCAAAAAAACCCATGGCAACCATAATAAACAAAGTGTAAACAGACGGTTGCTATGGACAATTATTAGGCCACTTTCTGATTAATTAGCCGTTTCAAGCGGGATTTTCAAATTTTTCAAAAAATGAAAGCGGGTTATAAAAGTTGAATAAATAGGGGTTTTAGGAAGCCCCAGTGGAGAATTTAAGAAATTGTTGACTTTTTTCTCAAAATAAGGGTTAACTACCACCTTAAAAACTTTACCAAAATAGTTCAAGGGACAAGAAGAATAATAATGCCTTTTTAGATTGTTCCTAGTTTCCGAGAGTATAAAACAGGCCTGGGGTAAAGATCAGTGCCCATGAAGTAGTCCCCAGGAGTTTTAGAAACACATTCTCTTCAAACACAAGTCCTCGAGATGAAAAACAAGTATAACGCGCCAGGTGGCCCGTGACCCACTTAAACGAATCTTATCCCGGTTTCGTAAGACTGAGGCGGCTGGGGTAAGCACTTTGCAAACCTAATGAATAGGATGCTAAAGTAGCCCACAGCCGGATTACCCCCCCCCCCCTTCCTCGGTCGAAATTCTATATCCAACGTTCACCTACCGAGAGACTGAGACAAATTGTCTCAACTTGCGTCTGGCGTCCTCTTTCCCGCTGATTCTAGCCCCATAAGTTACAAAGACTCAGTATTCTTACTACTCTCACAGAAACAATAACAGGTAAATCAGACTCACCTCCACCGTTCTTGAAGCACAGATAAGGAAACCGCCAAATGTTACCGAGCCCAATGGAAAATCCCATCAGAGCAAGGATGAAGTCGAACTTCGAACTCCACGTCTCCCGTTCATTGATACCTTCTGTCATTTTGACTTTTTTAGAGCAGATTGATTCAGCGAATATATTTCTTCAAGAACCTAAGCATTCACAACACTTATTAAAAGCTATTAAAGCACAATTCTTTTGTTTTTCAAGTTAAGATGTTCGTAGCCTTAATCACATAGGTTAAGTAGTGCAAAAATAGCTTGAAGCCGCCTAAAATTTCAAAGTTATAACTCACAAATGCTCAAACGAAATAAACTGGTCAGTCACGCAGGCTTGTTTTCCGTACTTGTTCCTAGTTTTCAAGTAATTTCTCTCGTTCGTAGTTAAGTTGTCTATTAATCAATCACGAAGAGCCGAAAGAGCGAAAATTGGTTTCTGTCATCTGGTCCAATATTTATTTAAAGCGTTTTTAATTTCCTTTGATTTGACCCTTGAGCTAAGGGAACAGATACACCATTGGCACGCCCCCTTTACGAGACAACATCGATAGCCTTCCCTGAAACAGAGGTGAAGACGTTACCCTTGAAAGGGCAGTAAAGAATATTTCTTTTTCAAAAGGGGAAAACAATTCATTTCTTGCCGTCTGCTTTCAGCTTTGCACCCTGAAGTAAAGGAGTTTGTCGGAGTTGTAAAAAAGAGAATTTTCGTCACTATTCCTATGGTGAAGGTGAATAAAATTAAATCATACGCCTGTACACGTTATTATGCGAAATTTGTTGATTCGAAGTTTAATGCATTGCAGAGAGGAGCGCTGAGAAAACGCTACAAAGTCTCAAAAGCACGTGGTCTACTAGTAACTGTTTAATCGTTGCCACGATCTAGTTGCTGTTAGCCTCATGATTTCCATTTAAAGTCACGTGAAGACAAGAAGAAAATGATTCCCCCGAGACCTAGACATTGCTGAGATATCACGAATATAGCAAAACAAAAAGAAATTACATGTTTTAACTTGCAAAGTTATTAGGCCAAAAAACACCGGAAAATTTTCCAATTTAGATGTAATGTTTTCATTTTGCAGAAAATGTCATAGAGAATTTGCTGTGATCCGCTAGACTATCACCTGGTTGTAAAGTGGTTACCCGCGCACACTGAAAACGCCGGCCTCTTTACTCGGCAACCTCTCGCACTTGTTATTTGCATCTTTCGACAGTGTTGCAAAAGGTAATATCTAACAGCTCGAATCAACTGCCTCCAAACGCTTACCTTCCAATTCCACTGTTAACACGGCACGGTAATTTAAGTTAGCCGGTCACAACTCACAACAGGAACGCAACGGAACCAAATACATCAGATGCGAGCGTAATATAAGCAAAGGAAAGATGAGTAAACGCTTGTTCAGGGCCTGTTTACACGTACGCTGAAAACGCCGGCCTCTTTACTCGGCAACCTCTTGCACTTGTTATTTGCATCTTCTGACAGCGTTGCAAAATGTAATATCTAACAGCTCGAATCAACTGCCTCTAAACGCTTACCTTCCAATTCCACTGTTAACACGGCACGGTAATTTAAGTTAGCCGGTCACAACTCACGACGGGAAAGCGACGGAACCAAATACCTCAGATGCGAGCGTAATATAAGCAAAGGAAAGATGAGTAAGCGCCTGTTTGGGGCCTGTTTACATGGAGGTGGGGGCCCCCAGGTAGGTGAGGTAACCCGCTTAGCCGTGGTCGAAAAATAAAAGCGTTTACATGCAATCTTACAACCCCGGGGTGCTGGTGTGAGGTTTCTTGAGGTTGTTGTTGCGCTTGCAATTAGGGAGTTTGAGCAGAGGCTTCCCAAGTTCACATCTCGAAAAAGACGAAAGATTAATTCTCGGACACTTATGTATTTATTCATGAAAGCGTAACGCATTGCGTTACGCGGTGTTTAACTTCGCAAGGAACCGTTGACTTAATACGTTATACGGAATAGTTTGGGAAACCAAATATGGTCGATTTACAACGCTAAATATTCCGAAATGTGAACATTTTACACTCCTTGTGTGTCCGTTGCGGTTTCTGGTGATTTCCGCCATGAGACGGCTAGAGAGTGTACAAATATTGTACATGTCTCGCTTTTGAGCTTTTTGCCATGAATGCGACCCCAGCTAGGCGGGCTACCCCACCTTGACACGTTTACATGGCAAATTGTCACCCCGGCTGACAGGGTTACCCTACCTGGCAGACCGGGCAACCCGCTTAGGCGGGTCACCCCACCTATCATGTAAACGTGATCAAAATAAAATAAGAAATTATATGGACAGGCGGGTTACCTCATCTTCCTGGGTTCCCCCACCTCCATGTTAGGTGGGGGAACCTCACTCCAGCTCCGGGGTTGTTAGATTACATGTAAACGCGTTTTATTTTTCGACCACGGCTAGGCGGGTTACCCCATGCAACTGGGGTCCCCCACCTCCATGTAAACAAGCTCCTACTTACGTGACAAAGCAACTCAATTAAGGAATCGCATCACAATGTATTCGAATAACAGTTTTTCGCTCTCAGACACAAGATCGAGGAAGTTTACTGAAAAGAGATAAACAAATCATGAATAAAAAACAACAACAAAAGCAGCGGCATCATCGATTCGCAAAATTTTCGGATGCGTGACATCCATACTCTAGTTTCCGGTTGCAATATTAGAACACATGACTGCCTTCGTTTTAATGTACCTGCTCCGGATGCCAACCACTTGACAAACCGAAATATTACACTAAGCGGGTTATGTAACCCGAATTACGCACTGATATAGATCTCCCAATGACATTAGGCTCATCTTCGCTTTCATCGACTTTTGGAAAAGTCCATGAATCTCGTATCGTGCAGGCAACTCGTTGCGTTACCAAACGATCTGGTGTCCCAAATACAGCGAATAATGATCCGTAAAATCGCAAGCTAAATACTCGGAGGAAGAATTGTGTTCGACGCAGTTAAAAGAGACCTTAGTAATTTCACCTTGTATTCGCTAAAGGTATTGCTTTTGACGTCTTTGGTGATGGTTGTAGGTATACCTAAGATCTAATCAACGTTCTAAGCAGACTCTGAAATTTCCGAACCTGTACTGGGCGTTGAAATAAAACTGCGCATTTTGCTTGCATTGCTTTCCGAATCAGCACGCATCAGCTATTTGGATTATATCACTGAATATTGAACTGGTAAGGAAAATTTAAGCCAGCAACTGACTAAGCAACCATCATGGCCAGATGTTGTTTCAACCCAGAAAAATGAAGTCTTCAAAAATGCAGACTTGATAATTTTACTTCAAATGGACAAAAGTCCTAAGTGAATGTATTACTAAATAACCGGAGAAGCAGAACTAGTTTATTGCTTAATTCGTCTGCTGCAGCGTGAAGTTGCTTGTTATCGATGAATTTAACAACCAATGAACATTAATCGGCAAATTTTCCTAGCCGATAAGTTCAACTACCTACTGTATGCTAATAATCTAACTTACGTGAAGATGTTTTACCGGGTAGATCGCTCAGACTTTATGCGCCGTTTCTCGAATATGCGGGTTCATTTTCTGAACAGGGTTTTATCTTTACTACCATTACTATTAACAATATAATTATCTTTATAAGTAGTTGTAGTATTATTATTATTACAATTATATTTTTACTATTATGATCATGATGATGATGGTTATGATTGTTACTATTATTATTAACTCACACTTAGGCTGAGGTGAACTAAGAACAAAAATAACGTTGATCAATGTTGAATATTCTATTTATTCATAAAATTACTATTCAAAACTTAAATTCATGTGCTTCCACGAGTGTAAAAAGAATGCTTAAAAGATACTAATTCAAAAGCTGTCATGACAAAGGTCATATTTCTAATTACATGATACTACCACGAGAAAGAAACCTAGCGCTTATTATTTGGAAGAACTGTTTGTCTTGACTGCTACATTTGCTAAGTAGGAGTTTCTCGGTAACATCAATCAACATTCAAGTTTTATCAGCTCTTCTGATGAATTCTTCTTAGTTAAACATAATAGAAACTAGAGATCGGCCTGGCCACGAGTTTGCCTTATTGTGGTCAAAGCTTTGCAACCCCCAACTACTTCCAATTCTCCCCGGTAAAATAATTTTCGTTAATTGCAAACGGAGAGCGTGAGAGTTGGACGTTTTATTTTTCGATTGTATTTATATTTACATTTTTACGTAATTATATTGATTTGTAGGGTCTGTAAACCACTCTTTCTGTGATGTTGGCATCCTCAATAAAGATTAACTATTATTATTATTATTATTATTATTATTCCATTTCTCCCCGGTAAAATAATTTTCGTTAATTGCAAACCAGTTTTCCTTCTGAACCACCCCCACCCCCCCCCTCAAAAAAAGGATTTTGTTTCCCGCGATCTTTGCAGCGACATCAAGGCAACGAAAAAACCCGCTTGTGAATATCCAACGATTTCAATCCGTGCAAGTTAAAAATTATACGTCGCTGAGATATCGCAGTTGTTAAGAACGCTCAAATTTTATTGCGATCTTGCTACGAATTGGAGTAGAAACTGAAACTTCGCTCGATGATTCTTCGGTATTCACGTTAAAGGTGTTTCTTAGCGCATAAAACTATTACCATCAGTGATTGCATTTTAGAAAGACCCACAAAAACGATGAATCGGCAAACGCACGAATTTTAGGCCCCGTCCACACGTATCCGGATAAATTTGAAAACGGATAAATATTTATACGGTTACGGGTTCCGTCCACACGTAAACGGCGTTTTCACACACCGAAAACGGATAAATTTGAACACGCTCTCCAGAGTGGATAAATTTGAAAACGCTGGCTAAGCGTCTCCGTGTGGACGCCTTATCCGGATAAATTTGAAAACGATTTGAAAACGATGACGTAACAATTCAAACCTAGTCCAACGCGTGCTCTCGGCCGATCGACCATTAATGAAAACATGGCGAATAAACAAGCTCAAGTTTCGGTACTAATGAGTCTCATTTCAAGCATTGTGGCTTATTTTCATATTCTCAGGATACGCCAGACTGCGGGCACATGTTTTGCTCTAAAGAGCATGCTCAGTAGGCGACGTCATCGTTTTCAAATCGTTTTTGCGTTTACGTGTGGACACCGAAAACGATTCACAAACGGCAACGTGTGGACGCGGATAAATTTGAAAACGGATAAATATTTATCCGTTTTCAAATTTATCCGGATACGTATGGACGGGGCCTTAGTTGCAATGAAATCATCATAAAAATGGAAGCTTCGGTCTCCATGCTCACGATTTTTCCAAGCACTCACTTCGCATGCAGTTTAGCGTAAAGGAAAAAAACTGCTACGAACAAGTCTGAGGCTTAGTTAACACAATGAGAAACCTTAAAATTTTCCTAAACTTCCACAAATTTGAATTGCGTTGCATAAAATTAATATATTAGCTTAAATCTCAGCGTAGCCATCTTTCTTGAATTTGCTACTAAGAGAGGAACATCCATTTTTGATCGCACCACCAGTGAACACAATTCCGTCCTGAAAGAAAAAAAAAACGTGAAAAACACATTAAAAAAATATTCACCTTAGCAATTAAAATCCATATATCTATACATCTATATATTCAACAATCACTACCCGCAAAATAGCGAAGCGAATCGAGGCGGGACGGGACTAAACATTAAAATAAATTCTTCATTAACAAGTTTGACTGGACAAAGTGAATAACTGAGAGAGCATGCTTATACTCGAACAATATAAATAATAATAATAATAATAATAATGATGATGATGATTATAAGAAACAAATAAAAATAAATAATTATAATAATTAAAAAAAACACTACGATAAATGATAGACAAGCCAATTAGACATTACACATTACAATTGGAATAAAATTACACGCGAAAAAAGAAAGAAAGAAGTGGTGAAAGAAAAGTCAGTGAAACTGAGGTAGCCAAACCATTGTTCCATACCGTAGGTTCACCAAGTGTTCTAATTTATATTTCTTTACCTTTACAAGGAAAGGAAAGTCGGCCCAGAAAGAGTGATTTGGTAATAACTCTGGCATGCTCTCTACACCACGGCCATATCGGTTTATCAACACTCCGATGATAATGTACATGAGAACTAATGGAAAAAAGCTGAAAAGAGACAGATCAAGGAACTTTAGGAATTTACATACGAAATCTACAACCGACAAACAACACACAAACAAACAAACAAAAAAGAGGTATTGGGAACTTTAGGAATGAAGATAACTCATCACTGCAAAGATCATTCATCATTTATCACTAAACGGTTTTACTAGGAACCAACAAAATGACCAGCTCTTAGTTGGCTTCCTAGATGAGCTGGTAAAGAACTGCATCGATGTCGCAAGGGTCATGGGTTGAAGTCCCGTACAGGCCTGAATTTTTTTAGGCTTCATATTCATCACATTAGCTTTTTTATTCACTACTGCTTTAGTCGTGTTCTTTACTGCGAAGATCACTCTCATCTTCATGACTGAGATTCACCTTTTCAGCGCTAGATTATCCAACAAGAGAACTCATTTTACTTTCCATGTGGATACTGCTTCTTTAAAAATAACCTTAAAATGTTTCAATCTTTAGTGGTTTTACCGGTGCAATGAACGATGGGTTTTTGACCAATCAGGGCGCTCGCAGCATCTCAGTTTCTTTTGGAAAAACAAATAAATAAGCCACCTTCCTTAACAAGAGACAACAGTCGTCGATTCTAGTTAGAGCACGTGACTAAACTTTTAGCATAATCTTACATAATAAGAAGTATACTGCCAACACTGAGACCTCCTGATGATCCTCCTTCGGCACATGCATACTTTGATTTTAATGTTCCACTCTAGGAAAACAAAAGTAGCAAACATGAAATTAATTGATTCCTGGATGCACTTTTTCCTCATATTGAGGTGGTTCCGAAATACATGCTTGCAAACCAGTTGCATAATTAGACTTACTAGTTTGCAACCACTTAGCCATTTATAAAACCTTTTCACAAACTTTCATTTATTCTTCTCCCGTGGATACCATGACGCGCCTTAAAATATGTCTACAATGGTTATTCGGCAAAAGATTGAATAGGGGCACTCCGATATCCGCTATTAAACAGTCAGCTTCCTCGTTAGGATCTGACGTTTTAATTTCAGATCGAGATAACCATATTTATTCCAACAAGCACCGCCGCGCTTCTTAACTGTTCGCACCTAAGGCACGGCCCGTTTTTCGGAAACAGCCGCCAATAACAGTATCGGCAGCTGCTCCTGAAAAAAGTTCAAATTAAAACCCTTGAAGGCCTAAGAATGATGAAAACAACGACACCCTCTTTTTTTCATAAGAATTTTGGAGCGAATGCTTATTTAACCTTTATTTATACTTCTCAAAAAAAAAAAGAAAAGGAAAAAGAGCAAAATAAAGACGTTCTTTGGTGACTCTCAGCCTAGGTATGTTCTTAGTATGCTCTTAAAATTTTAGTTAATCTCAGCCTGAACGTTCATCTAAAATAGAAAGAAAAGAAAGAAAACAGGAAAAAAAAAAAGGTGTAGTATTTGTTTCTTTAGTTTTTCATTCATACTACCCGGCATTTCTACAAGCAAAGGAAAAAAAACAAACAAACAAACCAAGAGGCAGATAATTACATATGTTGAGGTTCCTGTGCTTGCTCCAGATTCTGTAAATTCTGATATTTTTCCATTCCCTGTTGCACTTCGATCGCACACCAAAGTTATTTTAGACATCCTACAAAGTCACATGTACAGCAAAACACAAAGACTGGTTATTGTATTTATATCACTACAAACCACAAATGATAACAATCTTTATGCAGATTTGTTAAAATAAGTCGCCAGTTGCAACCGGCGCATTTTACCCTCTACTATGAGAAACACGCAAGCTATTCCGAATAATGCTTGTGGCTCTCAGAACCTTTGCAGGTGGAGGGACCCTCGACCCCCAGCGCCACCAACCTTGCACACAGTCCGGTTACTCAAAATCTTTGTTAACAACCCTGTTTATTTATATATATGCGTGGTTCTGCAAGCAGGAAAGATGATGCAAATTCTCTATTCTGATTGGAGACTAAAGCTAGCAAGAAGGCTTGTTTTGGTCAACACTTGGTTAATAACGCGACAGACATGCTAGTAAAAAGGAAACTTGAGGGAGGAATACTTCAGTCGCCAAAAATCAAGGACTACCCCTCTACGCGACCCCACCCATACCTCCTTCGTCTCCATCCTTTGCTCCGCTGCTACTATCGCCGGCGCCTTTTCCTATTTCGCCTCGTCACTGTTTTACAAACGAGACGCCTAGCTCAGGCTACTAGGGACCTTAAGCAGTCAGGACAGCAACGCATAAGAAGACTTCGATTAAAAAATGAATTTCTGCCTTCAATAAAAATTTCAAAAATGACTGCATTTGTTTACCGTCTCCAACGGCGCCATACCTCAACTTCAGCATAACGTATAAAAGAAGCGTTGAGTTCCACATGGAAATTAAAATAATTTGCCGTCGCGGTTTCGGTTCGCAGACGACGCAAATTGTGGCGATTTCATGTTGTTGTTTTGCATAGGACGGCTAAGAAATGTACAAAGTTTTAAAACGCACGTGCTGAGCTATTGTTCTGCCAATTAGATCTTTTGTTTTTCCACGTCCTTGTTGCCGTCGCCATCGTGGTTTGCTTAAGGTCCATACTATCTCTCATACAACTTCGATCCTCTTACTGCCATTCACTAACTGAACTCTTAGAAGAGGGTCTCGATAAGGTTAACCGCTAGCCGTACAACGCCGAAAAAAAAAAGCTGTTAGACGTAAAAATTGAAAAATTTTAGCTGTTAGCCGTAAAACAATGTTAACCGTAAAAACAATCTACTGCGACAACAGTGGGAAGATATTTAAACCGTTAGCCGTAAATTGGCCAAAATTTTAACCGCTAGCCGTCACATCCATCACCCAGACCCTCCTGGAGCAACTAATGAAGAAGCCTTTTCTGCGATATTTACCTAAGTGAGATTTAGAAATTCGCCTTTCTCAAAAATTATTTTTCGGGATAGTTGAATTACATCAAGGCAGATGTAAATGAGGTAATTCAAAAGACTGAAGGGAAAGATGTCCACATCAAGAACGAAGAAAAATCCGAAATACTAACCTGTTAACTCCCATGAGTGACCAAGATAGAATTTCCCGTTACAATATTAACACAATATCAAGCAGACAAGGAATGAGAAGAAAGAAAAATATTAATTAGGGAGATATTAGTTGATCCGATACCATATTCACCGAATTGGCTTTCTAAGAATTGATATGACAGACAATAAGGAGAATTAGTAATACGATCTTGGGAATGGAAGAGTTGAGGAAGATGTTTACAAGGGTCATTTTGACTCCTAAACCCGTTGAGGAAATGGATGCACAGTCTTGTCACGCAAGCCTCCATTTAAACGTCACAATGCCAATGAGTCGAGCTGAAGTGTACCCCGCTGAGTTGCGTGTTTGTCGTCGCTTATGGAAAATATCTCCCGAAAGCTGCTCAACAGGTATATAGTACAACTCAGAGAGAACGAGATATAAAGTTTATCATATTCAAAAGAACGTATTTCGTGGAGTCGTTTCAGAGGGAACCGAATTCGTTATGGTCCACGTTCGATCACCAACTTCACAACTTTGTTACAAACGGGATTTCAACTGATGAACATACGTTTCCCAAGAAATAAGCAAGACAGAGATGAACAAAGGTATGACATTTTTATACTTAGGGAATTCTCATATAACGAACTTAAGTTATTTTAGTTAAAGAGAACAGGTATGCTGATTTGCGTTCAATCGCGCACATGGCGTGATTTGACTAATTTCGTGTCTTCAGATGTCTTGCATGCGCTATTTTGAAGAGTTTTCTGTCGGGCAAAAAATTCTTAAAAGAACTTTACGCATACCGTAAACTGTCGCCCATACGTCCTAGGCGAAAACAGCTTCCTAAGGCGGTTTTAGGAGGGCTTATAAACGGAGGGGTTTATAACCGGAATAAGAAAGCGCTCATTTGAAACGAAGTTCACGAGCTCTAGAAATGCTGATCGAAATACGTTTAACATTGATTGTTTCATCTTTTTTGTTTCTGGTTTTTTTTTTATTATAATCATGTATAAATATAAAATTTAGCTTTCAAACGTTATATCAAACCGAATTCGCTCCAATACATTTGGATTAGAATTACAGCTAACATCACGAACTAAAATGAAACTAGGCAAAACGGAAGTTCAGACTTTTCACTTTAGGTTCGTCTCTGCTCTCCTATTCTTTGAATTTTAACGTATAATTCACATAATAGTTCCTATCTCATAAACATGAAAAGCAAGAGGGTGGCTAACAATTGGATGTAATTTCTTGGTACCGGGGTAGCTCTGTATAAGCGGGGGAAGGCGGGCTAATAAGCGGCAGTTTACGGTATTTGAAAATCATTCCTTCCACGGTGAAAAAAATTTATATTCATAAATTTAGAGAGTACTCTGCTTTTGCGAGTGGTTCAAAAATACTGATCAAACCAATTCTTACAAAATTATGTTTTCCACACATGAAAGAGTTCATTTAAGAATATCCTGTGTAAAAACTTCCTTGACTCAATATCTTTGAAACGCCAATCGGGGAGGAGTGGTCTATTTTCGGCCTTGCCTAATGTCGTGATCCCATTCAGGTGAATGCGAATTTCGTTTTTCTCGATAGTCTGAACATATCTCAGGAAAAAAAAAAAAAAAACTACAAAGCATTTCAAATCTTACCCGAGGCTACCTGTATGCATAAAATGAGATAATTTAGAGTATCAGCGCTGTAGAAATTTGTTTATCTTCATTTGATTTTTGCACCGAGGTTCTCTTAACCCTTTAACTGCCATGGGTGACCAACACAGAATTTCTCCTTACAATATCAATACAATATCAAGCAGACAAGTGAGGAGAATAAAGAGAAATATCAACAAGGTGATTATTTATTGATCCAATAATAAATTTTCCGAACTAGTATCTAAGAATTGGATAGCAGATAGTAAGGAGAATCACCAATGAGATCTTGGGAGATAAAAGGTTAACTTCATCCAATAAAATCAGATCAGAACAAAAAATAAAAAAAATGGAAAAAAAAGGCTCCAATTTTTCCATTATTCATGACAAACTTCACTGGCTTACATCAATAATGCTTGTTGCATGTTACACCTGATTATTTTATTTTTCCGTCATCTTTCATTAACCCTTTAACTTCCAATATCTCTTTAATACTTCTCCTTGCTGTCTTTCATACAATTATAATGATGGCAATTTGGAGAATTTGGTATCAGATCAATTAGTAATCCCATAATTGATATTTTACTTTATTCTCATGACTTGTCTGCATAACACTGTCTAGAAATAGTAAGGAGAAATTCTGTCTCAGTCACTCACAGGAATTAAAGGGTTTTTAACAACAGTAAAAAACAGTAAATGCAAGCTGTTTACTAACATTTTTTTCCATGTGTTACAAAAAATGTCTGAAGGATAAAAAACACAATTATAGTCTCCAATTGACATGAAAAAATGCTTGTATTTTTGTCTTTGAACATTGTGAATTCCTTAAAGCTCACAGTTTTCCTCAAACTTCCTTCTCCTAAAACTGTTCACAATTCAGAACAAATACTGTCTGATCAAATATCCATGCCTATTGAAGCCAAAATGAAGGATGTTGTCTGTACATGACATATCAGGGTATCTACATTTATTGTGTTATGAGTAATTGTTGTTGTAATTAAAAGCTTCTGGAAATCTCCAGACTTCTTGGTCATACTGACATTCATATCATAGAACTTTCTAGAACTTTTCATCAAGTCACGGTTATTATGTAATACTACTTAAATAGTTCTTTTGTAAAGCTTCTGGAATGTTCCAGAACACTTTGTGAATGTATATAAAGACTCAATTATGTAATAGTAGTTGTTGTTGTTGTAGGGAGTGACTGACTGTTTAGAAAGCTAAACTGTGAGAGAGAGCTACAGTGGAAGATTGCTAGTTTGAAGAAACGATGGGGAGAAAATTGTGAGTTCACCTCAGTGGTGAACTAAGATATAGACTGTGGCGGTCTTAGGTGAGTCTATTGATGATAAGTGCTGTGCTGCCTTTAGGAGTAGCTCCTTATTAGGAATACTACTCATTGTTTAAAGAAGTAGATAACTTTGTAGAATCGTAGTGTTTTTCTGTCAGTTAGATTATACCATAACAGTTGTCCTTTAAAAATCAATTACATTGATACAGCACAACATTAGAGTTGTTTACTTGCCTTCCATGGGTAGGCTGCCCACCTTCTATGACTCCGTATGAAATAACTACATTGCCAGAAGCATCCACACTAAAACTGGTATCTTTGCTTCCAGCAGGGGTCCCAGTGGAAGTGGCTATTTGACAAACCTAGGTATATATTGTAAGAATAAATACGAGTTTAAGTATAGCTAACAAGTGCAACATCCAAATTAAGGCCAAGGAATACTTCAGGAGAAAAATCTAGGCACCTTGTTGTGCCACTAGCCACTAGTTGCATACTGCTTCCAAGAAAAGTCGCCACTGATATACTGCTGTCAGTCACAAAAATTCAAACTGGTTTGAATTTGTCCAACAATTGTAGCACCAGGAAAATTTTTCATGGAGTATATGCAATGCTAGATCAACTTGTTCAAGCACTACACAGAATATGCAGATCAAGGTCTGAAACTGGGACTAGCTGATTTTCCATGAGTCTCCTTTGCAGCCATTGTTTGGTCTCATCATGCAACCCTGTTACATGACAAGATAAATAATGGCTGCAAAGGATATTAGTCTCCTATGGCACTAAAAATTGACTTTTGGCAACCAGACTTATATTTGGTCTTGAGAATGTTCTTCATGTTAATCAGTGCTCAAATATTTTATTCTAAAGCTCTCAAACATCATACACAACTGATGATTGTTCATGGGTGAGAATATGCTTCCAGCAGAAAAAAAAAATCACATTCAACACTCTGCCTCTTTGCAATTTTCTGAGGCAAACATTTTACACATTTTACTTTCTTTCCAAGCCTCTAGTCTTATAAGCACTATGGAATTTACACAAAATGAGGATCTCCTAGTAAAGCAGGCTAACAATAAAAATCATGAACAAAGGAGATAGGTTCCAAAAAAACTATGTTGATGAATCCATGGGGACTATTACAGGATAAAGTGGTTTACAATATCAATTGGTACTCAAGGAGATTCTAGAGCTGAAGTTTCAAGCTTTAGCCTTTCATCAGAGCAAAATTGGTTCTGATGCAGGGCTTACGCTTGAAATCTTAGCTTTTGAATTTCTCTATAGTAGCCAATTCACCTTACAAAACTGTTCCTCGACAAAATTTTAATGAGTACATTGACAATTTCAGGGTTTTTAAATTTAAGCATTATACCCAAATTCACTCACCATGACTTGTTTACAGCCTAGAGAATCATTTGGGTCATCAAATGGTGTGCATGGATTCCAGTCAAAAAAGCGGCCAGAGCTGCCACCTATATTTGTGAAGCTATTTCAAATTTGAACAAAAAAGGGTAAATTCAACAGTAGCACTCCAAGCTTATAATCTTGGTTAAAATGGCCAAATTAAACCAAATACTATAAATTATATACAGATTTCTTCCCCTAACTCCTTTAACTTCCAGGGGTGATTAACATGTATCTTCTCCCTATCATACCCATGCATTATCCAGCTGACAGGTAATGACATTTACAAAGAAACTGTAGCAGCTAAAAGGGAGAATCATAAATCTGATCTACGAAGTTAAAAGGTCAAAGGATGTTTTGATATTTCCTTGTCATCTAAACTTTTTGCAGAGAACAGATTCTAAAAACATATTGAGTAACATGTATAGTAGGTACATGCATATTCCACTTGAAGTTTCACAAAATAAAACCAACACTAAATGACAGTGAATAAATAAAATTCATGTATGGGAACTACAAATAAAGACGTGCATATTAAAGCGATCTTCGCAGTAATGAACTTGAGCAGTACTGAAAGTGAGGCCTGAAAAAAAAATCCAGGTTTGTATGGGATTTAAACCCGTAACCACCTCTGCGATACCGGTGCAAAGCTCCACAAACTGAGCTAACTTAAGCCAACTGTGAGCTGGTTATTATGTCGGTTCCAAATAAACTCGTAAAGTGATGAATAACTGACTGTGAATAAATGAAAATTAATCAGTGAACTGCGGATAAAGACGTGAATATGAAAGGGTTCTTCACAGTAATGAACACTAGGATCAAGAGCAGTGGAGTGTGTTCTGTCCAGCACCGGCAGTACCACTTAAGATTTTGAAACTTAACACCGTCCTACCTCGGTTTTGAACCACCGTCCGCATCTTTCAAACTGACTGTCGAACCATTCTTGAACTTGCATGTACATACATCAACCTTATCGCAGGACTCTTCCGATGAAGAAATTGCGACCCTTAGTATGATGAATAATAGTAGAAGGCCTTTACTTCCTAATTGCGCCATTTTGGACATATTATTATTATGTAAATGTCTGTTCAGATCATGTACATGATCCAGCCAATCAGGTACTGCGATCTATTTTGCAACAGCGGCGTGCCGAGGTTGTTCCAAATTTACCTTTACCGGGAGGTGGGAGGGGGAACGGGCGAGGTTCGTTAACAGGTAAATGATCTTGCAATTCCCAACCCATTTCAAAATGAAAAAAGAGAGATTATTTAGAGTTCTCCTTGTGAGCGTTTTTTTCTTTTGCTAGTATTGGCTGAGCAAATTTAAAACGGACAGTTCAAATTAAACCACCGGTGGCTCAAGCTTGCAAAATGAGCAAATGTGTCTTCGTTGCGCAATGCATGGGCGACATTTAGGGTCACGATATGCGACTAAACTGTCGCACTCTCAACCCTAGGATTCTATAAAGGGCAAAGCAGATGAGCTCAAACCGAATTAAACGGTCCTAAATTAGCTCAGAAAACCCACACTATACAAAGGAACAATCTCCTACGCGAGGTAATTTTGTTTTGTTTTTTTTCAAAACTAGTTCAGATTTTTTAGGTTGAAGGTGCAACCGTTTATTTTTCTAAAGCTCCTTATATTTCGCCCATTGCGTAACGTAAGATTTTTAGCATATTTACGGAGGCTCATTTGCGAGCTTGGGCTATCTGTGTTAAAACTAGAAAAAAGGTGCCGTTTTTAGATCCTTGAAGCTTCCCTTGCACAAACACTGTATTTCCTCGAATAAGCACCCATGCTATAATCAGCGCTATCCCCTGAATTAGCACCAACCCATAGGCCATAATGTTAAACAAGCACCCCTCTTGAATTAGCACCCCTCCTTCCTCGATTTCTAAAATAGAAGAGTTACAAGAAAAACCTTTTTCTATTGCCATTTTATTCATAACTTTTTAAAGCGTCAACTACGGCGGAATCGTCACAGGAGAATAGACAGCGAATCAAGGTTGGTTCCCTTTCTTAATCGTACAGCTGTAATTTAAGAACCAGTTAGTATTCGTCTCTTGGCTGGCTATTTTGAATACGTATTTTTAGAATCGTAACGTAACACTGAATATGTACATGCAACTTTATCTTATGACAAATAAAGAGTTATTGTTACTTATCAGACTTATCTGTTATGGCCGGGGAGGGGGCCTGGGGAGGGGAGTTGGAGGTTTTCTTGGGATCACATGGTTTTCAGGGGTAACAGTCGTCTCAGTCGTCTCAAACAGAGTTTAAAAGAAGGACTATACAATATTGATTGCCAATTACCTTGCAATGGGGGGTTGGGGGAGCATAAGAATTAATAATAATTCATAGCCTTATGGGTGGTCACGTAAACTTAATCGTGACACAACCAATATCCTGTGACACCCCAGGCGACAAATCATTAATGACTGCTCCATTACACAGTTAGGTGAACCTGCTAAAGTGTTTCCTCTCAATCAATACTTGTGCTTGTACTCAGAATCAAAAGCCGTTCACGCTGAGGGGATGTGCTGCTCGATGTGCTTTCAACGAAGTAAAAGTGTGACTTTTTGTTTTAAAGTAGAAACGTGCATGCTATAAATGCGTCGTCAACCCCGTTTTATCATGCAGTTTTCCAGGCCCCAAAGAGAGTCACAGTATAAAAAGGAGACTTTGTAAATAACCAACCTATACCAAGTCTGAATAGGTAGCTTATAACAAACTAACTAATTCGTAGCTCGATATCATTGAAGTCGATTTTCTTCTTATTGGCTAATGGGGATGTTCCATGGCGCACTTTTGGGATTTTGAGGGCAAGAACATTTTGATAGGTAGGAATTTAAAAATGGTAAGATTAAAAAGCTAAAAAAGTTGTTATCGTATTACCAATCTAAGTAATTAAGATTAGGTCTGTAATTGGCCACAGATTCTACTATACTGGGGAAGGGGTTCTGAAAGGCCAGCGGCACATACCCAGCAAAAGCAAGTACTCCCTTCTATTCCCCTCCCCCGCTCCCCCCCCCCCCCCCCTGCGTAGTCTCGCTGGTCTGTTTACATGGAGTGTCAAGTTTACTCATTGTAGGCAGCTGGGGTAGCCACCATACCCGTTTTCACAACTCATTGTGTGAATAAACGGTAGTAAGCAGCCTGTGGAGATCCAAGTATGTCCACAACACAGGTCGTGTTCATAGCAAAGCTGATTTCGACAACAATTGCCACAAACCCGGGACCAACATGTGCATCCCGGGCCACACATTCCTAAACAATCGTTGTTGTAGGGATCAAAACGCAAATCTTGACAAGTATTGTGTTTATCTTCTTGAAAAAGTGCTCTCTTCTCTCGTGTCACACTGCTGCCTGGGACAACGCTGCCATTAGAGCCGTATTTTGGTTCTAAAGTCATAGCAAGCATGTGGAACCGCATCAAGAGAGGGTGGTTACCTACGTTCTTTATCAATTCAGTCGACAGGTGGTGCAATAACACAAGCTTCCTTGTGTTCTTCAGCCGGTCCAATGCCGAATGAAATTTGTCAGAAAACTCTGAATCTCGGTTTGTCACGGGATAATTGTTTTCCAAGTAGAAGATTTCCTTCCAGGTATTGTCATGTAGGTTGCTGTGTTTTCTTGGAATAAACTTTAGATACACGGGAAATTTAGACGACTTTTTCCTGTTGAAATTGAACAAAATTAAAATCTGTTACTACTTGAGGTATTTTTAACATACAAAATTAAATGCAGCCACGTCACCAAATGTAGTTTTCACCTTTTTTGAGATTAAAGCGGAGCGCGAGTCACTCGCTCTTACCGGCTGCGGTCTTGCCTGGTCGACGCGTGCTCTGCGCTAACCTAATTTTCAAACGCATATAGCAAGAAAGAATCATTTATAACCACTGCTCGACAGACTACAGTTTTTTTAACTTGTAAATCAGACCAAATGTTTCATCCTAGTAAGTTCTTTTGAGAAGAAATGACGCGTTGTTGTGACCGTGTGGGTTACTTCTCTTCCCGGCCTCAATTTTAGCTTAGCTTGGTAACTTTTCTTTTGCACTTAAGACACGTTTCATTTCATTTTAATATCAAATTTGAGACGAATCATCTAAAATTCAAATTATACTTTTGTTTCAGGTGTTAAATTACGATCACTTTCCGTAACCAGGAGGTCTTAGGATTCGAGATGCATTCCTAAGAGTGCTGAAAATCACTTTGACAATTGCAAGGACAAAAAGTTGCTTTCCACCTATTGAATTTTCCTTTTTTTTTTAATTTTCTTTTTTCTTTTGAAGCTGGGAAGAAACATACAAAGGGATCTGAAAAAGCCTGTCTGTTCATTTCCTTTGTTTGCGTTCACTCTTTGAATTTTAATAGACCGAAAGTAGTTTCATTAATTTCTTGCCATTATTGAGTGTATTTCCGCATTACGTATTTTTGATTGCAACTATGAGTAGAGAATGGTATAAAAAGTAAATTCCCTTTGAGTTTACTCTGTTACATAAATCAGTCAGACAGAAAAAGAGAACAAAAAAACTAACCCTTTACGGCAAATTCAAATACTTTCACTCTAGCAATCACACTGCTTACTAGCTTAGTTATCGCGTCTGTCGCAAACTTGATTTCTAAAGAGTAATTTTTAACCCACTCATGTCTTCAAACAAACTAAGTATTCAAGACTTACCCGAGAAACACATAGTCCAGTACTTGAAAGAGGAACATTCCATCCTGTAAGTCCCTGAAGTGGGCTAACGTTCCGTTATCGTTGCTCTTCAACTGAACAAATGTCTCGTTTATGACGAAACACAAAGCAAGGTCTTTCCTTTGACCATAGCAACCTTCAATGTTCTCTGCTGAATTCTCTTTCAAGGTCAAAACGGCGCTCTTATCCGCCGCAGTGCCCATCACTCTAAGAACTAAGAAAGCGAACACGGGAAGTGAATGAATAGAGCAAGAAAACCACATAATGAATATGAAAGTCGTTCGTCGCTCAACGCAGACGTAAGGGAATACTATCTTAAGTAACTGTTGACGTCTATTTCAAAGACTTCCCTTTAGTAAACTGATAGAAAGTGAAAACTTTGTTCATGCTTTTTCAGCTAGGAAAGGGGAGTTCCCCCTAATACTAAATCGATCTTGCGTTGCGTCATCCTATAAGGAACCATGACGCATTAATATTTTTCTGCCATGATCATGGTGGATCCATTAATCAGACCGTTGCAAGCTTCAACACCGACCATATTCATGATGATGGCTGTCCATGTAGCTCCACAGGCCATTTTAAAATTTACATAATTATACAAATTCTAATTCAGACACGCGTCACGGATGCTGGTCACGCAGACTGGTTCGCATTTGAATAAAACCCTCGCACTTTCTATTTTCATAATTTATTCTTTTAAGCAACATTTGTGTTTGTGAAATCCATACAAAGGTGTTCATCAATTTTAGGTTTTGGGAGTTAAGCTAACAATGATATTATTTCGCGCACTTATCTCGATAAAAATCCTACTTCACTCACCATTTTCATTGAAGTCTTAATTACTTATTTCGCATACTGCGAGCACGATTGTGAGAGCACAGGCTATGCTGAGTAGATGGGAGGGGAGGGAAGGGGAGGGGGGGGTTAAGCGGAAAGGCGGTGGTTTTTTGACGGAAAGAGTTTTTCCACATCAACTGATTTCGAGCATCTACGCTCGCTGGTAATGAAGGAAGGTAAACTCCCTAGAGTCAAAATACTCTCAGTTTCAATCCATGGATGGATTATGGTGGAATGATGAGCCAATGAGCCAGGAGCCGTCTATTGTTCAGCATGGGCTTTAGAGGGTTTCGCCCCCCCTTGAAAGTTCGCCAACCCCAACATTGATTTTTGCCTCGTTAAATGTAGCCTGATAGAAGACCTTGCAATTAAAAACGGAAATAAAATTATTTAGAGTTCTTCTTTTGTTTGTTGTTGTTTTTTTTTGCTGGCATTGGTTGAGTAAATTTAAAACGGAAAGTTAAATAACCGGTAGATCAAGCTTGCTAAATGAGCAAATGTGTTTACGTTGCGCAATGCATGGGCGAAATTTAGGGATCACGATATGCAACTAAACTATCGTACTCTCGACTTTGGAATTCTATAAGGGGCAAAACAGATGAGCTAAAACCGAACTAATCGGCCCTAAATCAGCTCAGAAAACTCACTCTATACAAAGGAACAACCTCCTACGCGAAGTTATTTTGTTTTTATTCAAAACTAGTTCAGATTTTTTAGGTTGAAGGTGCGACCGTTTATTTTTTTAAAGCTCCTTATATTTCGCTCATTGCGCAACGTACCGTAAGAGACTTTTTGCATATTAACGGAGGCTCATTTGCGAGCTTGGGCTACCTGTATTAAAACTGGAAAAAGATGCTGGTTTAAGATCCTTGAAGCTTCCCCTGAACAAACACCGTATTTCCTCGAATAAGCGCCCATGCTGTAATAAGCGATCTCCCCTAAATTAGCGCAAACCCAAAGGCAATAATGTTAAACAAGCACCCCTCTCAACCCTCTCGAATTAGCACCTCTCCTCCCTCGATTTCCAAAGTAGAAGAGTTACAAGAAAAACCTTTTCCTATTGCCATTTTATTCATAACTTTTTAAAGCGTCAACTACAGCGAATCAGTACAAGAGAATAAACAGCGAATCAAGGTTGGTTCCCTTTCTTAGTCGTACTCCTGTAATTTAAGAACCAGTTAAGATTCGTCTCTTGGCTGGCTATTTTGAGTACATATTTTTAGAATCGTAACGTAACACTGACTATGTACATGTAATTTTATCTTATGACAAATAATGAGTTATTGTTACTTATCAGACTTATCTGTTATGGCTGGGGGAGGGCCTGGGGAGGGGAGTCGGAGGCTTTCTGGGGATCACATGGTTTTCAGGGGTAACAGTTGTCTCAAACAGATTTTAAAAGAAGGACTATAGAATGTTGATTGCCAATTACCTAGCAATATAGAGGGGGAGCATCAGAAAAATTCACAGCCTTATAGGTGGTCACGTAAACTTAATCGTGACACGACCAAAATCCTGTGACACCCCAGGCGACAAATAATTAATGGGGGGGGGGGGATGGGGGAGCATAAGGGGAGCATAAGAATAATTCATAGCCTTATGGGTGGTCACGTGGTAAATAGTGACTGTTCCAGACTGGTCCCTATATGAGCTTCACGTGGGGTAAAGCTCCTAATTTGACAAGTAAGATCTGGTTTTTAGTTGAACAGTATATATTCAGCCGACCTCCCTTAAATGTTTAGGTTAACAAGTTGTGTTCGTGCTTATGCAATGCAAAACACTCTCCACTCTACAAAACTAGTTTGAGCACGTGCTCAGCAGTTACACAGTTAAAAGGTAATCGGGACGCGGTACTTTCTAGAAAGAGGCTAATGGAGACGTGCCGTTGGACTAAGTCGCATTTTCACCACTAGTTGGGACCGCGCATTTTCGGTATTTTGGGTGTAAGAAAATTTTGGTAAATAGGGATTTAAAAATGTGCAGATTGTTGTGACCGTATTACTAAAGGTAGCTAAGATAAGGTCTATAATTGGCAACAGAATATACTATAATGGGGTAGAGGTTCTAAAAGGCCAGAGGCACATACTCAGCAAAGGTTGACCCTACCTCCTTCCCCCTTCCCTCCCTCCTTCGGGAATCTGTATGCGCGGAGTGTGAAGTGTACTCATTGTAAGCAGCTGGGGTAGCCACCATACCCGTCTTCACAGCTCAATGAATGAACAATCGGAATGAGGCAGTTTATGGTGTACATGTCATGTCGACAACATTTGTCATGTTCAAAGCAAAGCCGATTTTGGCAACAATTGCCACAAATAAAATACCAACATGAACATCCGTAGCCGCACATTCCTAGACAATCGTTGTTATTGGGATCAGACCTCAAATCTTGACAAGAATTCTCTTTCTCTTCTTGAAAAAGTGTTCTTTTCTTTCGAACGTGTCCAAACTTGGTCTTCCTTTCTTTGTATCGTCCATCTTCATTGCTCCATCGTCTTTCAGGGACAACGCTGTCATTAGAGCCGTATTTTGCTTCTAAAGTCATGGCAAGCATGTGGAACCGCATCAAGAGTGGGTGGTTACCTACGTTCTTTTTCAATTGAGTCGACAGGTGGTGCAATAACACAAGCTTCGTTGTGTTCTTCAGCCGGTCCAATGCCGAATAGAATTTGTCAGCAAATGAATCTCGGTTTGTCATGAGATGTTTGTGTTCCAAGTAGAAGATATCCTTCCGGGTATTGTCATGTAGGTTGCTGTGGCTTGCATTGAGATGCACAGGAAATTTAGACGACTTTTCCCTGTTGAAAGGGTACAAAATTAAAATCAGTCACTTGAGGTATTTTCCGACATGCAAAATTAAATGCAGCCACGTCACCAAATGTAGCTTTCACCTTTTTTTCAGATAAACACGGAACGCAAGTAACTCGCACTTACCGGCTGCGTAACGTGGCTAGTCGACGCGCGCTTTGCGCTAACCTGATTTTTAAACATATAGCAAGAATCATTGCTCGACAGACTACAGTTTTTGGACTTCTAAATTAGACCAAAAGTTTCCTCCTGGTAAGTCCTTGTTGAGAAGAAATGAGGCGTTTTTGTGACGTGTGGGTTACGTCTATTCGTGGCCTCAATTTTAGCTTAGCACTTAAGACACGTTTATCAAACTTGAATTTGAGACGAATCATCTAAAGATCAACTATATTTTTGTTTCAGGCGTTCAAGATGCTTAAAATTACCTCGATAATTGCAAGGACAAAAAGTTTCTTTCCACTTATTTAATTTTTTTCTTTTTGCTTTGAAGCTCGGAAGAAACGCACAAAGGGATCTGAAAAAGTCTGTCTGTTCATTTCCTTTGTTTGCGTTCACTGAGCCAGACCGAAAGCAGTTTAATGAATTAATTAATTAATTAACCTTGCCATTATTGAGTAGATTTTTGCACTACGTATTTTTGACTGCAACTACAAGTAGAGAATGGTCAAAATAAAATCCCCTTTGAGTTTACTCTGTTACCTAAATCAGCCAGACAGAAAAAGAGAACAAAAAAAACTAACCCGTCAGTTACGGCAAATTCAAATACTTTCATTCTAGCAACTACACCGCTTACTAGCTTTGTTATCGCGTTTGACGCAAACTTGATTCCTAAAGAGTAAATTTTAACCCACTTATAATTATGTCTTCAAACGCATTTACGTATTCAAGACTTACCCGAGAAACACATCGTCCAGTACTTGAAAGAGAAACATTTCATCCTGTAGGTCCCTGAAGTGAGCTAACGTTCTGTTATCTTTGCTCTTCAAGTGAACAAATGTCTCGTTTATGACGAAACACAAAGCGTGGCCTTTCCTTTGACCATAGCAACCTTCAATGTTCTCTGCTGAATTCTCTTTCAAGGTCAAAACGGCGCTCTTATCCGCCGCTGTGCCCATCATTATAAGAACTAAGAAGGCGAACACGAGAAGTGAATGAATGGAGCAAGACAACCACATAATGAAAGTCGTTCGTCGTTCAATGCACACGCACGGGAATACTGTTGTAAGTAACTGTTGACGTTTACTTTAAAGACTTCCCTTTAGTAAACTGATCGAAAGTGAAAACTTTGTTAATGCCTTGTCAGCTAAAAAAAAGGGGAGTCCCCCCGAATACGAAATCGATCTTGCGTTGCGTCATCCTGTAAGGAGCCATGACATAAATTTTTTTTTTCTTCCATGATCATGGTTGATCCATGATTAGACCGTTGCAAGCTTCAACACCGACCAGATTCATGATGGTGGCTGTTCTATGGACGGCCGCTCATACTGTTCATGTAGCTCCACAAGCCACCGTTTATAATTTATACGTGCAAATTCTAATTCAGACACGTACACACGTCACGGATGCTGGCCACAAAGACTTGTTCGCATTTGAATAAATTTCATGCAACTTCTGTTTTTATAATTTATTCTTTTAAGTAACATTTGTGTTTGTGGATTCCATAAAAAGGTATTCATCAATTTTAAGTTTTTGAAATTCAACTAAATAAGAATTAGAACTAAAAACAGACTCCGTTCTTCGATCTCACCGTCTGAGTTCTAACATTTCCTAGCTCCCTTTTCTTTTCCGAGTACACTAAACATTCTAGGTACTACCCGTCTTTGTTTCGTGTTGTTACTCAAGAAATGTAATTGATTGATTTCTTTTACTTCAGTTTCAATAGTATTTCGCGCTCTGATCTCCATAAAGGTCCTATTTTACACGATTTCCATCCAAGTCTCGATTCCTTATTCTGCATACTGCGACCATGACTGTAACAGCACAGGCTATGTAAAGTAGATGAGGGTGGTGGGGGTGGGGGCCATTAAAAAAACTCGGTCAATATCAAGCCATCTTGACCTCGCGCTTGGTCAATAACGCGTATATCTAAGCGTTTATTTTCTAACCCCTTTAGATATCCGTATTTAAAATCTCTGAGGATGGCTTCCACGGATGGATTATTATGGAATATTATGGAATGATGAGCCAACGAGGACCTCGTCACGTGTTCACTTTGAAAGCCCGCCAATCCCAACAGTAATTTTTGCTCCATCATACATAATAAGCTCGCTGCTAAGTATCAGGTATATCTACTCCTACACCTTGCATAATGAAAAATATGTTTCTTCTTAGACAAACTCACCAGTTCTTTAAACAGTATTAATTACCACTAATGCTTCCGACTAATCTCAACGACTCCCCACCGCTAGGACAGACGTCCTCACAGAAATTACACCCAGCACACTTAACGCGTGATAGAAAATCTTGACAATGGTGTGTAAGGCACGCAAAGTTCACACCATAAGCTGAATTTATCAAAAATTATTTATCCGCCTCTTACCGCGTTAAATTGATTGTAGGAGTTGGGAAAGAGATATGTATATGTATTTAAAACTTTTTGCTACCGGTATGCGGATCTATACTTTTTTAGAAAATATACGCCGCGGCTTGCAGTTGTCACGTGAATACCTTTCGTGACATTATTGTCACGCAGAACCATAAAAACATACCTCAAGATCTACGTCTTACGATGCTGTCTGCAACTTGGACCTCGATTTTACTGTTTATATCTTTTGTCCACAGCTCATCTTCTCGCTCATTCACGATTGACTATGAAAATGACGTTTTTCTTAAGGATGGAGAACCATTCCGATACATTTCGGGAAGTTTTCACTACTTTCGTGTTGCAGAGTTTTACTGGAAGGATCGATTGGCAAAAATGAAAGCCGCGGGTCTGAATACCTTGCAAACGTGAGTGAAAAAACATATCTGTTGGTGACTTTAAGTTTAAAAGTGAATTACTTTTCTTATATAATCCAGACCAAGAGAGTTTCATCGCAAGGTCAAAAATTGCCTCTGGTTTGCCTTAAATTAAACAGCTTGGCGAAGATACATGTGATTGTCAGTACCAATTATATTAGCCCTATCTTGATCCTTTTCTCAACGATTTTTTGTTGCTGTAGAAGCTTAAATTTTCGTGGTCTTCGGCAGGCGTTGTTCGCTGAGAGATTCTTGTCACAATCCCCTGCATGGGAATCTGAAATGTTTACGTTTGCGAAGTTAGTAAATACATATGTTAATAATAAAACCTGCTTCGTGATTTATGTAATTGATAACAACTATATATATATATATATATTGCTTGAGCTAAGATCGAACCAGCTTTTTGGAAACAAAATATCAGGGTGAAAGAGTTTCCACATGAACGGCCACTTAATTTTACGTCTATTTGTTTGGTGGATTCCTCTTCACTTGTTTGTCCCCCTTCTGGTGGTCTAGTGTTTGTTAAACCAAAAACATGAATGGTGTCCTATCTGCTCCTTTTCAAGTCACACAATTCATTCTTCATCAATAAATTATCAGTCAAATGAGGGCTTAATTTTGTGTGTTGATTCATAATTTCTAAATCTTCAAGGCTGAGAAGCACCATTTATAGTCTTCACATACCATATGCAGAAAGATCCTGTAAATTTTCAGATGAGTTGACCGGGAGGAAAAAAAAATGACACCATGAAGCTTTCATGGTCATTTCTAATTGCTGTCATTTTACTGGCAACAATATTTACAGGCACAGCAAGGAAATCTAAAAAAAGGAAAAAGTGTACCCTTAGGAGAAGTTTTAAAATTGACTCTAAGGGGGACCAGTTTCTCAAGGATGGGAAGCCATTTAGATTTATCTCTGGGGATATGCACTATTTTCGCATCACAAGATGCCATTGGAGGGATAGATTTACTAAGATCAAATATGCTGGCTTGAATGCTGTAGCAACGTGAGAGTTGTTGTGTTTATAAACGGTTAAATGTAAATTACAAGTAGAGCATGATTTTCATCATTAACTGCATCACCGGTGGACAGAATTTAGTTTCTAGGAAGTTTTGTTAAAAGAGAAAAGGCAATGTCATGAAGATTTTATTTATCAATTTCATTTTCTGTTATATTTATGGTAGCACTATCACTGATGTATATTTCAGTAACAACAAAAAAACAATCATTTTCTATGAAAGACAAGTCCTATGATTTCTCACTCAAAATTGCAGTTAATTGCGACAAAAAAATCATATTTTTAACTTGTTATTTTAATAACTGGATGTTTACAGGTATGTTGCTTGGAATATGCATGAAGCTCAAGAAGGAAAGTATGATTTTGAAGGAAACAATGATTTGGTTGGTTTCATTCAGATGGCTCAATCTGTTGGACTTCTAGTCATTGTCAGAGCAGGTTAGTTTGTTTGTTTGTGATATTTAGACAGGCCACGCAGTTCAGCTTCAAATGGACGCCTGTATAAACAGTAACAAGGCCAGACTACAACACGGAAAGCTACATGTACACACCTTATGTAAATACTTCCAAGCTGGCCAATCAGCCAGCACAGAAAACAGTATCAACCTGTCTGGTGCACAGTCACTTAAAAATGATATTTGGTAGCCCCAGTCTGCTTGACATGCCACAATTCTTTCTAGAAATGTTAACACCTTTATTATGCTATATACACAAATGTTTAAAGTTACTAATCAGCTTACCATTTTACTTCAACAGGTCCATATATTTGTGCTGAGTGGGATCTGGTAAGCTAATTTCCATGGATCAAAAATACAATTTTTACTACAATTAGCAACATTCTTGCAATCTCAAAGCTGCTTGCAGCAATGTGTCACACAATGATCATGTTATTTGACATTCATATTGTGATAAAAACATATCAACAGTGGTTCAGCGTGGGCTCTACTCATATCTACAACGATTTATTTCATAATGGTGTCAATATTTTTGTGGAGTACCCTTAAGCCAGAGGTGATTGGAAATTATTATCTCCAAAGATTTTCTGAGTAATAAGGCTTAATGCAAAAATTTCCTCAGTGCTTTCCCTTCCACAATTGAAACTTTTTGCAAAGTGGTCATTCACATGAACTTTTCTTCTCTTTCATGTTTTTATTTGAGTGTTGTTTTTTTTTTTTGCCCCATGCTGACATGAGATTGTGATTTCAATCTGCAAGGTTTAGAAATTTTTAGATAAATTAGCAATTCGATTCATCTATATTAGTTAATTCTTAATTGAAAAATGATAATGTCTCTGTCAATTTTCAGGGTGGCTTTCCTCCCTGGTTGCTTAGAAATTATACAACAGCAAAATTGAGATCATCTTCAGACAAAGGTTGGAGAGGAATTTTCTTTTGTTACATAGTTTGTTAGCATATAATTACCCCGTTATGTTCATTTAACATGACAATTACCACTAACAATCATTCACTGATTCAGAAGTAGTTTGAGTTAAAAGTTTTAAGTTTAAGTTTTAATCAAAATGAATAATAAAATTGATTTGAATTAACCTTTTAACTCTAAGATCTCATTAGTAATTCTCCTTACTGTCTGCTATATAGTTCTTGTGATGTTGGTTTGGAGAATTTGGCATTGAATCAACTAATAATCCCCTAATTGATCTTTTTCTTTTTTCTTGTCACTTGTCTGCTTCATAGAGTATTGATATTGTAAGGAGAAATTCTGTCTTGGTCACTCATGGGAGTTAAAGGGTTAAGATTGAGATTAATAAGTGTTAATTAATATTGTTTTAGTATAATAACCACTCAGAAACCAAAGGATTAATTTATTTCTGTCAGGATACAGAAGAAATGATCGGAAATTAAACCTTTGATGCACAATTTTGTTTCTGGTTGCTCAGAGGGGGTGAACAGCACATTTGCTAATCACTTCCAAACAAACATTGGTGTGTGCAAAAACTCCTTTTCACCTGTGTGGTATATACCAATGAATTATACTTAAATTACTTTCACAAAACCTTACAAGAATTCATTTAATTGGTGCATGAAGTTGACTATCATTTACTCATTTGGAGGTCACAAATTATCAAAACAAGCTATTCCCCCCACACCCTCCACACACACAAAAAAAGAAAAAAAACTGGAAAAAACCTGTTATTCACTTAGGTTGTCACCTGCGTGCTTTGGTTTTCAGTAGAATGCCATGGTTTCAAGTTTCTAAAATTTCATTCAGTAACAGATGATGACATAATGACAGTAAAAAACAAAAAACAACACTGTTAGTGTTATTACCCTTTTGCTACCTTGAGTGACTGAGACAGAATTTCTCCTTACAATATCAATACAATACCAAGCAGACAAGCAATGAGATTAAAGAAAAATATAAATTAGGGGATTATAATGTGATCCAATACCAAATTCTCCAAACTTGAACAGTATAAGAGTGGCATGGTTGTAAGGAGAATTACCAATGAGATATTGGGAATTAATTCACCAAATCTAAGTCATTTAAAAAACTCTCATGACTAGATCTGTTTGTAATTTCCTGATAGGTTATATTGCTGCAGTGGATCGCTGGATGGGTGTCTTGCTTCCAAAGTTAAAGCCACTTTTGTATGCCAATGGGGGACCAATCATTGCTGTTCAGGTACCAGGCTCCATTTAAGCCATGTAATTTGACAGCTGTTGTCTATAAAGTTTTCTGCCAGTACAGAGCCCTTTCTAAGTTCTGCAACGATCGTTCTTGTAGTGATTAGGTCATTGAGGCAACTAATTACTTAAGAACAATTTAAATGCCTCCAGGTTCAAAAACTGGCCCAGCATTTTTAAATCATTCAGTCAAGCTCCACTCACAGATGGTAAAATGTGCTTTAAGATTCAAGAGGGCTCTGAGAGCTTACATAATTAAAGATGATGGAACACCTATCACCGATGGCAAATTGCACACATTGATGATCAGTATCACAAAACAACAGCTTATAAATTTTAGCATATAGGTAGTCTCCTTCACAGGGGTTGTTTGGTCTCATCACACAATGCGCTCTCTTGTGTGGGGTAGTGAGTGTGTTGTGTGACAAGACCAAACAACAGCTGCAAAGGAGACTTAAACCTAATGGCCTATCTGGCTAGAGCATATCCAGGTTTCTGTAGCAAGAGACAAACAACCCTTGCGAAATGGCTTTTGGAATTCCTAGGAATAAAGGTGTGAATTTTCACTGTAAATTCGGACTGGGAATTCCTAGGAATTCCTAGGAATTCCCAACCATAACAACTCTGGTTCTAAAAACCTAGAAATTCCTAGAAATTCCCAGAAATTCCCAGAAATTCCAAGTTTATAGCCAACAGGACTTGGAATTCCTAGGAATTCCTAGGAATTCCAACTCAGAGAACCAATGACTTTCCCTGAAAAGCTGTAAATCTAAAAAATTCCTAGGAATTTCTGGGAATTTCTGGGAATTTTTGGGAATTTTTAGGAATGTTTAAGAATTACTGGGAATTTTAAGCAAAAATATGAGGCTAATGATATAAAATAGATACTTTAAATTAAAAAAACCTAGCTAAAATTCAAGTATTCAATGAAATTTATTTAGAAGCTTAATTAAGGCTTACATGTAAAATATTTTTGATTAATTATTAACATCAATGTGTGGTAATATTAGGATGGAATTCGATTTATTTTTCTTTTCTTGAAAACTTCATACGGATTAATCCTCAATTACAGCTATTCATATAAAATAGTTCTAATCAATCATTAAATTTGGTTTGACACAAATTGTGAATAAAATCTGTTGATTCTTTTCCATAAAACACAATATCTTAAGTTATATTTGAAAACCAAGCACTCTTGGGAGTGAAGGGGCTAATTACAGACATATAAAATTGATTTTTTGATTAAAATCTTGTTGTAACTGTAACAATAAATTAGAATGAAGTTATCCTAAACTGCAAACTTAGCTGCTGTTTGTACTGTTTGTATTTATTTTCCTGGGCTCACAATGAGTTGGCCTTGAATGAGGTTGTCAACAAGAACCTTGACCATTTTGTATCTGGATTCCTTGACATCTGAATTTGAAAAAAAAATAATATATTAAAATATGTATATTTAAAGCTCAGACCAGGCTTTTAAGATGGCTATGAGGAAAAGGGCATTCATTGGATTCTCAAATTGAGAAATCTCTGTTATACTGAGTGACTTTTATATTGGAGTTAGTACATCTCTCTCACAATTTTACTAAAAAAGGACTGAATACATTGTTTTGTTTTTACCAAGGAGGGCTTCTTTATGTACTAAGGTTTGTTTAATAACAGTTCCTATTATGAATCTTGAATGTTCCCAAACGTGACTAGAGGAATCTTGAAACCTTATACTGATAGGTTTATTTTATTGTAAAGCATAAGCTTAAGAAACTGCGGCATGCAAGTGACCGATTCGATTCTCAGAATTAGTCTAGTTTCAGTTGCGCCGAGCGTTATGTAAGCTTAATTCAACCCGCTACATCTATTCTTTTATAAGATTTTGATCACGTAACGAATATCGCAATTTTTACTCACCACAAACTTTCAAAATCGTAGCTTTACAGATGGCCACTCGACCCTTGTTTGTACCAGTCAATATGTCAACTGTTGTCCCTTCTTTTAGCTCCACGGCGCCAACGACTTTCTTTTCTTTTACAACACTCACGCTATTCTCGTTTTCCCATTGAACCTCAATAAAAGCTATCTTTAGAAATGTTATATTAAGCAAAACAGTTGAGAAAAGCGATCAACCGATGAAAAGTACATTCAAAGATGAGCGCCAAATGGAGTCTTCTTTGTTTCCGATCACGGGCATGATCACGTGGATCTTTTAGGACTTGTCATTGGCTAGCAAAGTGAATCCGCTGGCTTGCCGATTGGGGAGTTACTACATCACGGGCGACGAGCGGGGATAGAAAAAACGACCCAAATACGAGTGGTCAGCGGTGAAACAACTTTCATACCTCATATATAGACAGATCATTTATAGTATCAGGAAACAATCGTGTTGTAAAGCCGAAGTGTAAACAGTTTACTTCGCTAAATAAAATGTTAAGCAATTCAAAAGTGTTGATTGTACATATATCTTTTACTGCTTTAGTAAACAATGAAGACATCGGTGGCATCCGAAAGGTACCAAGAAGAATTAAATGTACGTTTTGTAGTTGCAGAAAACAATCGTGTTGTAAAGCCGAAATGTTACCAAGTTACACTTCGCTACTTAAAAGTTAAGCAATTTTCCTCAAGCTTTAACTGGAACAATACTTTTAATGCCCTATTAACCAACGGAGGCATCGGGAAAGGCATTGGTGACACCGGGAAAGGCATCAAGAAGAATGATATTCACGTTATGTAACTTGTTGTGTGACGAAAAAAACGTATCTTGACTTGTTCAAAGCATTAATCACAGTTGGCTTCCTTTTCACTTGAATTTTGTATCCACAGCCTAAGATGAGAAATTTAAAATTTCTATCAGCTGAAGTTCTTTTACTGCATATTATATCTATTCAATCGCCCCCAATTCACGTGGAAAAAAGGCAAGTAGGAAAACACTGAGCTTCGAGAAACAGCCATGTTAAGGCTAATGTATTTACCATTCCTTAAATATTTACAATCAAGACCACTCGTTTAGGAGACCTTTTCTCAAAAGATCCACACGTGCAAATAATGCTGTTTTCCGTTCGAAATGTTTTTCTTCCTATTCAATTGAACAACTGACTTAGCGTTTAAGCCGAGAAAAAAATCACAAAGTTTGAATTCTGGGATGTTGTCCACTGTTGGCTCCATCAAGTTACGATTCTGCACCATTGACGCTCGTGAAAATCTATCTTAACGTCACGCACGTCACGCAGCTAGCTACAAACCATATATATAATTACTCTTGGTGCCTTTCCAAATGCCACTGACTCCCTCTCCGAAGCCTCCATTGTTTATTAAAGCAGTAAAAGATATGAGTTCAATCAACACTTTTGAAAAATTGCTTAAACTGTGAAGTAAACTGTTAACATTTCGGCTTTACAATACGATTGTCTCTGGAACAACAAATTATGTCTCTATATGAAGTATAAAAGCTGTTTCACCGCTGACCGCTCATATTTGGGTCGTTTTTTCTATCCCCGCTCGTCGCCTGTGATGTAGTAACTTCCTGCCGATTGCAGTGTTAAGAGAAGCGCTCAACTTTATTCTGACTTCTCCGACCGGTTCTCTGCCTTTAGAAGATGGATAGCTTGGTGATATAAATAAAGATGTGAGCTCACTCTATGTAGAAATAATCGACAAGAATCGATCGTATTACAAATGCACGATTTGTGGCCGAAAGTCGTCGAGGAAACAAAGACTCGAAACTCACTTGAGTTGTGTTAATGGCAAAGGTGAGAAATAACACAAGCCAATCACAGTTTTGAATGCGACTACAAATCGTCTTTCACCCTCATGTTTATAAAAGAAGGATACCACATTCGGAAGTATAAGAGATACATAGATGATCCCAGTGTACCAGTACCTAAATCTACAAAGCTTGACCGTAGCAAGCGTTCAGCAACACGTTTCAACACCGCCATCTCGATTCCTCAGTCAGTCGTTTTCACTGAACTTAAAGCAGTATTGACAACAGAGTAGAGTGCGTCTTACAAAGGAGAAACATTTGTACAAGAGACAGAAGTAGCTATATGCGATTACAGAGGTGTGTTGGAACTCTGGTCCACAAATAGTTATGCGCTGCCCGAAGTACAAAACAATTTTGTTGATAGCTGACAGACAGAGAAGAACAACAAGTAAACTTAAGAGCTGTTATTATTGGAGTGTGACAAGCACTTTTCATTTTTATATAAAGAAGGACTTGTAATTTGCACCAAAAATAAAAAGATGTAATATTTTTTGGGAGATCCAGTGATTGGGACATTTAAGAAATTAAGTTATGAAAGGAAACTTGGTTGGTACTTCTCACTACTAACAAGTCTTGTTGACAAATATTTTCAGATCAGAGTTTCAAATAAAGTAAATTGAAGACATCATATAAAAGGTGTTTTTCCTCAAAGGGAACATTGACTACCTCTGTCTTGTCTGCATGCCAAATGTTTGCAAAGTGTGTGGATGATCCACAAGTATTGGAATATTTCCTACAAAAATGTTTTGTAAGAATAAAAACAGCAAAACAAATTACAGCAATTAGTCATGAAAAGAGAGCAAAAAACTGAAAAAAAAAGCAGCAACAACAATCATGAAAAAAGAAAGATTAATTAGGTGTTGAATTTGTTTGTCTAAGGCATGAAATTTCTACTAAAAGTATTGTCAACAAAAAGTCTCTGACAGCGTTTGAGGCAACTGAGCTTGACTGTTCCAAGGTTTTCTAACAAAGGCAACCAGTAATGTAGGTTAGGGAAGTAAGATAACAATGTAATTATTGTTAATTATTGTGGAAGTTGGCAATTTCCATTTAACATAACTGACAGCTGGTTCATGAGAAAATCCATATTAATGTAAAGATTTACTAAAACTTAGTTTGAGTAATAAATTTCATGATCTTTAAGTTATAAACATGTACATGTATTTATATCTCTTGGTAAGTTTTGCATAGCATACCCTTTATTGAGCCAAAGTTTTAGGTCTCTGAAATTACTCTTTTTCTTAAAACCTTCACATTCAAGGTATTGAGAATTTCTTAGAATTTATGTGGACCTCAGGGTATTAAAATTGCCTCAAATTAAATTCCCAGAAATTCCTAAGAGTTCCACACTTCTTAAATTATAGGTAGTTTGTAAAGCTGAGAATTCCTAGGAATTCCTAGGGATTCCAAGTCCTCACAAAACTGGAGTCTTCCTTTCCCAGAAATTCCCAGTAATTCCAAGCTTTTTAAATCAGAGTTAATTTGCATAGTTGGGAATTTCTGAGAATTCCTAGGAATTCCTAGGAATTCCTAGGAATTCCCAGAAATTCCCAGAAAACTGGGAATTCAGTTTGCAAGGGTCATTTGCATAATTGGGAATTTTTGAGAATTCCTAGGAATTCCTAGGAATTCCCAGAAAACTGGGAATTCAGTTCGCAAGGGAATGTCAATGCAACCCCCTTGGATAGTATACATATTACCAATCCAATTTGCTGGTTAACAAGGTAATTTGGTATGATCAACTGAGTTGATTTAAGAGTAAATTGACCACTGTAAAGAGTTTCAAAGCTGACATTTTGAGCATTAGCCCTTCATCATTTGCTCTGATGTAGGGTTAACGCTGAAAACGTCAGCTTTGAAACTCTTTACGGTGGCCAGTTTGTTATCAACCCAGTTGATCATACCAAATTGCCCTGTTACCCTCTCTCAATGACAAAGCACCACTGACAGTTTCTTTAGAAAGTCATCCCCTTTATCAATTTGCTGGTTACCTCTCAAAATTTTATAAGGTCCCCTAGACAGTTGGTAGGTACTCATTTATAGTTCTGGTTAGAGATATGCACTGTCAGTATAGCCTGTGCTAATTTACTTTAGAACTTGATGTTATGACGAAGAAAAGAGTTAAGTTGGGACCTCTCATTTTATAGTCCATGCAGTGCACTGACCATTGTGCTGTTTTTATTGAGTGTACACGGTATCAAGCAAATTTCTGTGCTTGTGTGGTAGAATGACAACAGAATGAAATTTATCAGATTGAAGGACATAAAATATGAAACGTAAAGAAAATGTTTGTCAATGCAATCCATGTAGTATCATGAATGAAAGTGATCCTTGCAGTAATATGCACTACTTAGGCAGTAGTGAAAATAAGGCCTGAAAAAAATTTAGGCCTGTACGGGATTTGAACCCATGACCTCTGCGATACCGATGCAGCGCTCTACCAACTGAGCTAACAAGCCAACTGGGAGCTGGTCATGATGTTGGTTCTAAATAAACCCATGAAGTGATGCCTAAGTAGTGCACATTAATTACTAACTACTGCCTAAGTAATGCACATTACTGCGAGGATCACTTTCATTCACGTCTTTATCCGCAGTTCAAATATATGACTTTCATATATTCTTAACCGTCCATGTAGTATCAATGCCACTTGAGAATTTACCTCATGCAATTTTTTTTGTTTGCACTTTTAACCCTTAAACCCCTAAGAATGACTAGCATCTAATCTCTTCCTACATCATCACACCTGAATCAAACATAAAAGTCTTGAGAATAGAGGAAATGATCACCAGCTATTAAGCAGCTCTTGATTGTTAAACAAATTCTCCTTTTCAGCACCTTAGGAAATGTATAGGGAACAGTATAGAGAATGAGCATACTGCAGATGTTAGGGTGTGGAGGGTCAATGGTTTTCAATATCTTTTCAAAGGTAGAGAATGAATATGGTAGCTACTTCACCTGTGATCACCAGTATATGTCTCATCTTCAAGAAGTGTTTGAACAACATCTTAGTAAAGACGTTATACTATTTCGATATCTTTTCACAGGTAGAGAATGAATATGGTAGCTACTTCACCTGTGATCACCAGTATATGTCTCACCTTCAAGAAGTGTTTGAACAACATCTTGGTAAAGACGTTATACTGTTTACCACTGATGGTGCTAACGATAAAATGCTTGAATGTGGATCACTACCTTCTCTGTTTACTACAGTGGATTTTGGGCCAGGTAAAAATAAGAATCTTCAATTCCATTATGATATATTAACTGACTCCCAAGATCTGATTGTTAATTCTCTCCTATTGCTGCTACACAATTCCTTGTATCTTAGTTACGAGAATTTGGTGTAAGATCAAGATAAAAAACTTCTTCCTGATAGGTTTGAGTATTCTCATTAACCATTTCCCAGAAAACCTATGGGTATCATAGAGAGAAGTTACGTTTTAGTCACTTCTGGGAGTTAAAGGGTTAAACCCTTAAGTGAGACTAGCATCTAATTTCTCACAACATCACCCCTCATCATCACAAGAATAAAGGAAATGATCACCAACTAAAAGAGATTTGTGATTGATATACAAATTCTCTTCATGAGCACCTTAGGAAATGTATAGAGAACAGTATGGAGAATATGCCTCGTGATGAGGAGTTGATCGATTATGGTTGACAGTAATTTATTATGGAGTTACCCTTTTCAGTCATGCCTTAAGAATTTATATTTTTTTGTAACCAATAAGACCCCATTTGAATTGCGTTTTCTCATGTTTGCTAGTCGGTAGCCTCTATGTCAGTGATTCACGTGCTGCTAATGTAGAGTGCGTGACATGTTTTGTTGAGTTCATGAACCACAAAGGGTGTCGGGAAAAAAAAGAGAAAAGCATGTGCTCGGAGTTTTCGAATAAATACCACCTTGTGTTTAATTAATCTGGTGATTTGAGTGTGTAACATTGGCGACCCTGCCAGGACTCGACCGAAGAGGCTTATCATCGACGAAGAACTGCCTTGGGTTGTGAAGGACAAAGTAATTGGCACGCTTGGTTGATTCGTCGAGCGCGAGTTGGTTGTGGTCGATTGCTGTCGACGGCGGACTGATCTTGACGTAAAGTGTCGCATTTCTTTTGTGAACGGCTGATTGCACTATTGGTGAGTACGAAAGATTATTTTTGGAAGTATGATGGATACCGAGAGTCTGCAGATCGAAATTCAGGCCGCGTTGTGTTCCTTGAGCGAGGAAAGGCTTAAAGAAGTTTGTAGTGGGCTGAACATTACTGTACCGCCTGAGAGCAAGGGAAGGTTGGTTTTTATCCGAGCTCTAAATAAATACCTCGAAACGGAAGAATTAGATAATGAGAAGCTCAAAGTGTTGTCGTCGTCTCTAAGTATGCAGGGAAAATTTGTACCGGAACAGAAAACGGAACCGCCGAAAGCTTCTGAAAATAATAAAGCGACCGTCAAAATAGAGCAAAATCCCGTGGTGTCAATTTCAAAATTCAAACGCGACTTCAAGATTTCGGGCCAGATTGGCGACGCGTCGCAGAAGGATCGTTTGAGTTTTTCCTCGCTAGTGCATCAAATTGAGAATGGTTTAAAGAACGACTATACAGAGGATGAAATTAAAGAGGCTGTGATAAAAGCGATAAATCCGGCGTTAAGCCTAAGAAGTTATTTGGAGGGTAAGGTAGATTTAACACTGGCCAAATTGAGGAGAATTATGCGTTCTCATTATCAGGAGAGAACAGCAACCGAACTATATCATCAGTTGAGCTCAACTGTCCAACAGCCAAAGGAAAAACCTCAAGAATTCTTGATCCGCCTTCTCGATTTGAAACAGAAGATCTTGTTTGCATCTCAAGAAACTGACTCGGACCGGAAATATGATCCTACCTTAGTACATGGCATGTTTGTCCATAGCTTTTCCCTTGGCCTGCAAAGTGAGAATATCAAGATCGAAATGAAGCCTTACTTGGAAAAGAAATTTATAAGCGATGAAGAACTATTCGAGAAATTAAATGTGTGTTTCAGTGACGAACTGGAGCGATCACAGAAATTCGGTTCACAGCTAACTCCCAAGGTAAATGCTGTTCAAAAGGGAGGGGACAAGCAGGAGACAAAGAATAATGGGGTGGAGGAAGGTCTCATGAAAGAACTAAGGGAGCTCAAGGCAGAAGTGGCCGCAGTCAAAGAGAGAGTTCGGGCCCCACTCCGGGCTCAAACCCCCCTCACACAACAGCCTATGAGACAACCCCCACTGTGTAGGACCTGCCAACAAAGTGGGAATGGATGGCCGTGCAACCATTGCTTCAGGTGTGGGGCGAGTGGCCATTATGTACGCGAGTGTAATGCCCAATTCAGCCGACGCTCTCCGGCAGAATCTCAGGGAAACGGCCAGAGGTCACGCCCATGGGACAGGGTGTGACCAGGCAAGAAAATCAGTCCCGTTACGTGCAGTGTGGAAAACAAAGCACAGACCATGTACCACTTAACCGCTGCGGAGCCTGTAAGATCAATAGATATTATTCAAAAGAATGTCAAGTAAAATACAGAACTGTGCATAAACCAGTTTGCATGGCTATACAGGAACTTGAGAAACAGAAAGCAGCCGGAGATGATGGCGATGATTTGAACACGACGTTTCCCTGCCACCTGACGCCAAGGCAGCAGCTCGGACTGACGAAAATCGTGGGACGGAGGTGCGTGGTAAAATGCCTAATTCAAGGAAAGGAAGTGGAGGCATTATGGGATACAGGTTCCCAGGTTTGTGTTGTGTCAAGGAAGTGGCAACAAACTCACTTACCGCTGGAGGTGTTAAGAAATGTTGAAGAGTTGTTGGGAGCAGGAGAAGAGTTGAATTTGGAAGCGATGAATGGGACAAACATTCCATTTGACGGTTGGATTGAGGTCGGGTTTAAGTTGGCTGGAGATGATACAACTGCTCATGAGCTGACAGTTCCAGTACTGGTGGGACAAAAGGAACAAGAGTACCCAATCATTGGCTTCAATGTTATAGAAGAAGTCCTCGCTCAACATGGTGGAAACCACCAAGCGGCAAGTAACATCATTCAGCAGTCATTCCCTTCAATTCATCATACTCGCGTAGGTACCCTGATCAATCTGATCCAGTCAAGAACACAGGATACCGGTACTGCAGCTGTTAAAGTCGGAAAGAGAGATGTTATGCTGCCAAAAGGAGAGGCAACGACAGTTAAGTGTCAAACTCACCTCGGACCAGTTCCAGAGGGGATGCCAGTAATATTTGAGCCCAAGGAAGACAGCGAGCTCCCAGACGGACTGGAATTGGGCGAGGAACTTACTAAAATAACCCCGGGAACCTCTAGTCACGTGGCCGTCGTGGTCCAAAACAATACAGACAGAAACATCTTGTTAAAGCGCAGAACAGAATTGGGCCGGATACACCTGGTAAAGTCAGTTCTACCAATTCCAAATACTCCCGACTCGTACTCTCGAGGAGACGAGAATTTTTACCCTGAAGCTACCTTGCATCCTGGTCAGGAACAAGATGGATGGGAGCCACCAGTTGACTTGAGTCAGCTAGAAGACAATGAACAATTGATCGTCCACGAAATGCTACGGCAAGAAGCTGGTGCCTTTGCAAGAAACGACGATGAGGTTGGCTGCGTGGAGAACTTGGTGCTTGATATCCAGTTAAAGGACAATGAGCCAGTACAGAAGAACTATATCTCCATCCCCAAGCCACTCTATGGGGAAGTGAAAGAGTACTTAGAAGACTTGATTAATCGAAATTGGATCTGCAAGTCCCGTTCGGCTTACTCCTCACCCATGGTCTGTGTTCGCAAAAAGGATGGAAGTCTGCGACTTTGTATTGATTATCGAGAATTGAACAAGAAAACATACCCAGAACGACAGCCGATTCCCCGTATACAGGATATCTTAAATGGCCTAGGCGGCAACAAATGGTTTACAGTTCTGGACCAAGGGAAGGCCTACCACCAAGGCTTTATGACAGAAGAAAGCCGCCCCCTGACTGCATTCGTGACCCCCTGGGGATTGTATCAATGGAATAGAATACCGTTTGGGCTAATGAATGCACCGGCGGCATTCCAAAGGTGCATGAATGAATGTCTAGATGGCTTACGTGACAACATCTGTATTCCCTACCTGGATGATGTCTTGGTGTATAGTAAGACCTTTGAGCAACACGTTCAGGATGTCCAACAAGTCCTGCGTCGACTGCAGGAACATGGGATAAAGTTAAAGCCATCAAAGTGCAAGTTCTTCCAACGACAAGTTAGATATTTGGGGCGGGTTGTTTCCGGCGATGGCTACTCTCTAGACCCAGAGGACACGGCTGCCGTACACAACTTGGCGAAACAGAAACCAGCAACAGTGGGTGATGTGCGTAAATTGCTAGGGTTCCTGAGTTACTACAGGCAATACATCCAGGATTTCTCACGCATAGCTAAGCCCCTGTACGATCTAATGGCTGGCCCTGATCTATTGGCTAATAATCATAAGGTAACATGGACAGAGGAACATCAGAAGCGGCTTGACATGCTGGTCGACCGACTGACTTCTCCTCCAGTGATGGCATTTCCCGACTTTACGAAGCCATTTGTACTTCACACAGACGCCTCGCAAGAGGGACTTGGAGCTGTATTGTATCAAGAACAGGACGGGAAGCTCAGAGTTCTAGGTTATGCCTCTAGGACACTAACTCCAGCAGAGAAAAATTACCACATGCACGCGGGAAAATTGGAGTTCCTTGCCCTCAAATGGGCAGTAACTGAGAAGTTCCGTGATTACTTGTACTACTCCACCTTCTTCACTGTTTACACCGACAACAATCCACTAACTTACATTCTGTCGTCAGCTAAGTTGTCTGCAGTAGGGCACCGGTGGGTGGCAGAACTGGCAGATTTTAATTTTAACATCAAGTATCGGCCTGGCAAATCTAACATTGACGCGGATGTACTATCCCGCCTACCGCTAGATTTCAGTGCATACATGGAAACCTGTATTGCAGAAATGGAAAAGGACGCAATTTGTGCAACAAGTCAAGCAGTGATCCATCAGGAAACAGACGCCACACCCTGGGTGGCAGCAGTTTCAGCAAGAGTTGGCATTGCTCACGCAGAACCGGGCGTCACAGATTTGGTTTTTCGCCAACTTACGTTAGAAGAAATATTAAGGGCTCAACGGGAAGACCCCGACATCTCACGAATCCTGGCCTACAAGAAACGGGGATATCCCCCATCAGGAGGAGAGCGGAAAAATGAGACTCGTACAACATCTTGCTACTTGAGAGCATGGAATAAACTCCATATATCAGCGGACGGGATCCTGTGGCGCCAAATTAAGAGTCGATTGCAGCTAGTATTACCTACAAAGTTTAAACAGTTGGTTTACCAAGAACTTCACATTGAAATGGGTCATCTGGGTGCAGATCGAGTGGTGGACTTAGCGAGATCTAGGTTCTATTGGCCTTACATGCAAGAGGAAATCGAGTATTTCATCGCCAACAAGTGTCACTGCATCCAGCAAAGAAGCCCCAAATCTCCCCTAGAGCACCAATGGAGAGCATTACGACGACTGCCCCTTTTGAGATGGTGTCTATAGACTTTCTTCATTTGGAGAAAAGCCAACGGGGATTTGAATATATTTTGCTGATAGTAGATCACTTCACAAGGTTTGCACAGGCCTACCCAACCCGAAACAAGACAGCACGAACGGTGGCTGAAAAGATTTACAATGACTTTGTACCACGATTCGGATTCCCAGCCCGTATACACAGTGATCAAGGAGGAGAATTTGAGAACAATCTCTTCCATCAACTACATAAGTTGTCTGGCGTTTCCAAGTCTCGCACCAGCCCCTACCACCCCCAAGGGAATGGGCAAGTGGAGAGGATGAACCGCACGCTATTGTCTATGCTGCGAACACTCCCAGATTTGAAGAAACGAAAGTGGGATGAATCACTCAACAAGATGATCCACGCGTACAATTGCACTAAGCATGAGGCGACAGGATACGCTCCGTATTACTTGTTGTTTGGAAGAACACCCCGCCTGCCCATCGACCTGATTTTCAATTTGAATCAAGAGAGTGCAGAGGGAGATTATAACACTTACGTCCAAAACTGGCAGCATGATATGAAGGAGGCATACCGGATAGCTCAACAGAATGCAAAGAAGACTGCCGAGCGCGGCAAGCAATATTACAACAAGAGAGTCTCAGGTGGCGTTCTTCAGCCAGGCGATCGGGTGCTAGTTAGAAACTTAACAGAGCGCGGTGGACCCGGAAAATTACGATCCCATTGGGAGTGCGCTATCCACGTTGTGGTTGAACGAATGGGGGCTCAAAGCCCAGTCTACAAAGTTAAGCCCGAGAGTGGAGGTGGCCGCGCAAGAGTGCTTCACCGGAATTTACTACTGCCTTGTGACGCTTTGGAAGCAGATGCCCCAAACCTGGGATTTGGTACGCGACCCCCAAAAACAGCAGTAGAGAAACGACCTTTGTCTGTTTCGGGAAATGACCTACAGAATTCGGGGAAAGATGATGATGATTTCGGTAGTGTGGACCTTGTAGAGGAAATACCTACTGAAGTAAGAACTTCAAACTCAGTGTCTCCAGGACGCGATTTGCCTTCAGAGTCAATTGAGGATTCTGCGACTACTGAGGGCACCAATGGGCCATCCAGCGAAATACAACTTGCAAATGAAGGAAGTGCTGACAATGACGGATCAGGGGGAGAGGACATTGCTGAGCAGGACATGTGGACTCGGCCGCAGCGCCAAAGGAGACCGCCGCAGATCTTAACTTACAACTCCCTGGGAAATCCACAGTACCAGTCGGCTGAGCCAGTATTCAGCAGTTCACGCGTTAACGCCATTCAAACTCCAGCTATCACAGCTATTCATCCGGGAATACCCCTGTATTTCTGGGTGTGGCCATGCTGTTTCCAACCTGTCTACTACCCGAGGGCTTGAGAGGAGCCTCTTATAAGACCCAAACATAAAAAAAAAAAAAGAAAATCAAAAGCACGCAAGGTGCTGAAGGAGACAACGTCAAACAACAATTACAGTAGCTGCAGAGAACTCTGATAAATAGTTTTGTAATATTTAGAAGAACACTTTCATTTTCGGCGGGGAAGTGTGTAGAGTGCGTGACATGTTTTGTTGAGTTCATGAACCACAAAGGGTGTCGGGAAAAAAAAAGAGAAAAGCATGTGCTCGGAGTTTTCGAATAAATACAACCTTGTGTTTAATTAATCTGGTGATTTGAGTGTGTAACACTAACCTCACAACACATGAGCTACCCTGCCGATAGATCAAAACAATCTGACCTTATGAATAAAGGGGGTAAGTTTCTATAGAAACTGTGATGCGGCGTCAGTGGGAGAATATAACAGGGCAGTAATTTAGTTTATCAACCGAGTTGATAACATAAATTGGCCACCGTAAAGAGTTTAAAAGCTGACGTTTTGAGTGTTAGCCCCTCGTCCATCGCTCTGATGAAAGGCTAACGCTCGAAACGTCAGCTTTTAAACTCTTTACGGTGGCCAATTTACATTTTCAAGTCGATTTGACCTAAGATCAGAGTTTGTATATTTATTTCTTGCCCCACTGAGAGATAAACACCCTAATATCTCTTATTTACAGGAGTTGATCCTGCAGTTCCTTTTACCCTCCTGCGAAAATATCAACCCAACGGACCTCTGGTGAATTCTGAGTTTTATCCTGGCTGGCTTGACCACTGGGCTGAGCAACACCAGACAAGGAATGCAGCAGAATTTGCAATTTACCTTGACAAAATCCTTGCACTGAATGCCTCTGTTAATATGTACATGTTTGAAGGTGGCACCAACTTTGGTTTCATGAATGGTATGTAGGAAAACATGGTAGCTGGCCACAGCTACCAGCAAACCTGTCCCGATTCGTCTCAGATCTCCCCGCAGGCGGAGAGATGCGCGTCCTGCAACGCTAATGAGGGTCTGCTGGCGTAGATACGAGCAGTCCCCCTCTTCGGCGAATTCCGTTGCGCAAGTCAAAAAGAATCAGGGGAAAAGGGAGGCACTACTTTTCGAGCGTCTCACTCCAAGGGCTCCCCGCGTCGCTGATTTTTTTGTTTTGATTTGTTTCGCACGACGGACCTCGCCGAAAGGAGGGACTGTCCGTGGTCTACTACTAGCTGGCAATTTTTTACGTTTTTCTAACAAACCACCATGGTACGGAGAGAGGCTTAAAATGTCTTCTAAACGACACAACACTTTTGAAAAAAGAGTCTAGTGCTCTTGCCATGAAGAGAAGTTTTGTGTCTCCTTTACCTACACAGGAAAGATATCCTTAGATGAAAATTAAGAAATAGTTCTTTGAGAGGGATTCGACTATATTTGTTGTATTTTTTTAACTTTCTTGATAAACTCTTAGGAGCCAATGGCTATCAAGATAGTCGCGTCTTCCAACCACAGCCTACCAGCTATGACTACGATGCTCCACTGACCGAAGCAGGAGACCCTACTACAAAGTATTTTGTAATCATGGAAACCATCGCTAAATATGCCACAGTCCCCCCAGGTCCTGTCCCTCCCCCCACGCAGAAGTTTGCGTATGGAAAGGTTAATATGACCAAAGTAAGTATACTCAGATTCTTCTTGCTTGTTTTGTTACTATTGTCTGGGTTGACGTTACGGTTTTGGAGTTAGAGTAGATACTGGAAGGCAGACCCACTGTAACATAGAAACTACTTGTTTTGTGTTATAAAGAAGCAAATAAATTGCTAATAGTGACGTCATTTATGCATCTGTCCTCCAATAGATCATAACTGGGAACCAGTTAAATTGGTATAGGTAATAACATGATTTCGACTGCAATTTGGTGTTAATAAGCACATATAAAATTTCAATGACAACAAAATTGCACGAGCCTGTAGCGTTCGCGCGCTATTTGTAATTTGCACCCATTACAACTTTGCACTCGTGTTGCACGAGAATGCACTCGTTTTCTCCCAATCAGAAGTGCGTAATTTTTCCATGAACATCATTACGCGCGTAATTCAGCCTATCATATTTCAAAGTTATTGGTCATGCAATGGTTTCTGAAAGGACCAGCACGTAGAAAAGTGCTTAGAGTGTTTCTTCGGGGTGATCATAACTTTTGTATTTAATTGCAGATCAGTTCTATTTTTGATGCCCTGCATTTCCTTACACCATCTGGACCTGTTACGAGGAATGACACTTTGAGTATGGAGCAGATCGGGCAAAACTATGGATTTATCCTGTATCGAACGATTATACCCGTCAGTGGTCCTGCAGCAGACCTAGGAATCCCTGGACTACGGGACAGAGGAATTGTCTTTGTGAACCAGGTATGTAATACAAAAGTTGTTGATTCACAATTTCAGCGTAATGCATTCCTTTGAAAATGCGAGTTAAGTGAACTTGGAATTTTCTACACACATTCTGCCATTTAGGTCACATAATTACGCGTTGCTTCGAAATTTGTTCTTTTTGGTTACAAGAAAGACGAGTAGTATTTAAAAGATGAATGAATTGGAAAGAAAAGCGAAAGAATCGGGATAAAAACGGAAGTGTAGTAACTTTAACCAGGGTTATTTCAGGGTTTCCGTCATCACAAACTTTACCTCATTTTGACGCAATGCGTCTTTTAAGGAGATTGTTCTCCGTGTGCCCAGAGGTTCAGCAGGGCAACTCTTTAACAAGCAATAAATGAAAATAAATAAATAAATAATTGATATATTTATTGAGAAGTTCTTATCTGTGTAGGTCCGTCAAGCGACACTTATTCGAGTAGGTGGAAAGACCAATGCTACCATAGAAGTTAAAGAAGGCGCAACCTTGGACATCCTGGTGGAAAACATGGGCCGGGTTAACTACGGCCCCCATTTACAAGACCCAAAAGGGATCCTTGGAAATGTGACCCTTAACGGCGCGGTCCTCAGAAACTGGACCATATACCCTCTGCACTTAGACGATTTTGTTGGTCGTAAAAAGTCTTCATTGATCAAGCTCAAAAGCAAAAGTAGTGTTCAAATCCCATCGTTTTATCATGGGAACATTCCCCCTGCACCAGAAGGTATCCCAATGGACACGTTTCTCAAACTTCCTGGTTGGTTTAAGGTGAGATAGACAGTTGCCTACCTCTTAAAACAAATGCAAAGTGTGTATTTAGTTAGTTTTTTCGTGTATGTCTTTTAAAAGACGCAGTATTTATTTGCAAAGGTTGACAAACACTTTTAGCCTCGTTCCCACACTTATCTGATTGCAGTTGTGGGTAGATTGAAAGCGCAGAGTGTCCTAGCAGTCACTCCTTCCCTCTTTCTATATATGTATATGTTTAAGAAAGATGTTTTTCGTCTTGTCACGAGCGTGGGACAAAGAAAAAATTCTGAGTTCCCATGAAGAATCGAACCTCAAACCTTCGGATTCCGCGTTCCTAAAGATGTTCTTCGTCTTGTCACGAAGAATCCGAAGGTCTTAGGTTCTATTCTCATGGGGAATCAGAATTTTTTCTCTGACCCACGCTCGTAGCAAGGCCAAAAACATATTTCTTTATTTCTTTACCGAGCTCAAAAACTTATCATCTCTCTTAATATATTATGTATATGTTGTCAGTGCTTCTCAATTTTTTTTATCAGCGTACGGAAAAGTCAAATGTTAATCACTCCTAAAAGTTTTCTCATCTTTTATCTTGCTTTTACATGTCAGGGTCAGGCTTTTGTAAATGGATTCAACATTGGACGTTATTGGCCAGTGGTTGGACCCCAGATCACCCTGTATGTCCCAGCGAGCATCCTTAATTCGGGTAAGGAGGTAACCGAAGTTGTTCTCTTGGAACTAGATAACGCTCCTTGTGAGGACCCCAAGGGCTGTTTTGTGGACTTCGTGGAAACACCTGTGATTGATGGACCTGTGCGACCCATGACATCAAAGCAAATGTTGCCAGATGCGGTTTACGACGACTGGACTGCGAAATATAAGGACTTTTTACCCTCGTACGTCAAGACAAAGAAGCAAGTTTTAGATATCCTCAGTTCTCGGCTATAGATAAGAACGATTTAAAGTTGTGTGAATCCTTTAAACCCGATGAATGACCTGCTTGTAATTTCTCCTCACGGTAATACAGCTGAGTCATTCGTTAAGATCACGAGAATAAAGGAAATGATCACCAGCTTGGATTGTTAAACAAATTGCCCTTGTCATTAGATTCAACTAGATTAGAGTATAACGAATATGGATACTGATGTTAGGGTGTAATGGGTGAAATGAATATTTTCAACGAAGATACGACTGCAGACAAATTGGAAATTCAATTGCTGCTAATCCAATTAAATAAGATAAATTTATTTTTGGTGAGGACTTGTATTAAATTTTACTTAGTAATTACAATAAGATATAAGGAATTTCTCCCAAGGTGAACTACAAACAAAAAATGTGAAATAGTAAGTGAGGTGATAAACTCTGAAGTGATAAACTCTGAAGGGGTTTTGCGATAGTGTAATTCTAATATTTATGGAAACGAAAATAATTGTATTTGTAACGTGATAAACACGGGTTGTAATAATATTTGGAACAATGATGCGGTCTTATTACGTAAACAGAGATATTTTTATGCTTAACATTTTAGGAAAAACTTTTGATAGGATCAACAGTAATAAAATGGGTAGTAATTTCATGATTTTCTGTTGTTGGTCAAATTCTTAAGCATCCTTTACTATGGCACGTTATCGGGCTCAAAATTACAATGCAAACTTTTCTTCAGTTTATATTTCGAAACCTATCTTTTTATTTACAGTGATTTTCGAACCAGTCTTGTAATTACTTTCTAGTACGTTTAGTAGCTGTTAATGCATGCTTATTTACGAATAAATTTTCCCTCGACATTTCCTGCTGAAAACATATTCTTGCTGCGCGTTTGTAGGGGTGATTGACGCACACTTATTGTTCTAATTTTGAATTGTAAAATTCATTAATTTATTTTGCGCGCACGATTGCTGAGGTACAGATTAGCACTAAAGCTTTTTATGCGATTTTCCACCGAACGCCTTAGGTCCTGCTTCTCATGTGATCAAACTTTTGCAAATCGATTGACCATTTAAATTTCCTGCGAACTAAACCGGTCAAATTTTCTGCGAATTCTTCGCCGCACTGTGTTAAAGCCAAGTAGTTCTGTATTGCGTTGAATAAGCAAGTTGCATTATGCTGTATTCAAACCTCTTGCATGGTAATGAAACTAGAGAAATCAGCTTCATGAAAAAAAGTTGCGTTGCATTGCTTCGCATTCCTTTTGAGCGTGGTTGCGTTGCGCCTCTCTCTTCTGAGCCGAGCTGGGATGCTTCTGCATCGTGTTGCGCTTAACAGTTCTCCATTGCGTTGAATCACCAATTCGTTTTTTTTTAAGACTGCCAGTGTTATTGTATTCAGATCTAAGAAGCCACGATGCATTAAGATTCAGTAGCTATAGCATGTTAGTGTGTATGACTGATCTTAAGCTGCTCCGATACTTAAGGTTGTGCTCTGTACTTACCTGGTGGCCTGGGACGGAACCTTGGCGGGAGATGGCTTTAAAGGGGATTTATTGCCTAAGTGCAGCCGCACCCTCCCCCTGAGGAGCAACGGAAGCGTTACTCCTTGTGGGGGAGGGAGGGTGCCTCCCCGCAAGCTTTTGTGGAGGACTGCATGATTGCATCCGCCGCCGCTCTTGGCCTAGTGGCTCGTCGTTACTCTTAACAATTGAATATTTCTTTTTGCGTTGCACTTCTTTACCTGGAAAAGTCTTCTATAGAGAAGCTATTATTTGCAAGAAGCTCGTTAGGATATCATTTCTCCTCAGTCACATCTAAATAGGATCGTGAAGCTCATTTTACGAAGACTGCTTTTATCTCAGTTTTGATATTAAACATTTTAATTTCTGGGTGGAGATTGTGGATGAAAGGGGAATTGGTTGTCTTTCATTAGATAAAGAAATGACCCAATACAAGAAAAACTAAGTTCTTTAAAAAAAAAAAAAGATTCCTGCAATCTGAGGAAAGTGAAATTCCAACCCCATGATGAGGTGGCAGACGAAATAATCTAATCACAGGGGCATCAAAGAGGGCAATTAAAAACCGTTTAAGAGTTTTGACTTGCTCCCTTTGATACCCCTGTGAAAATACACAAGACGAAGAGTTTACATGTTTCAATAAACTACTACTATAATCAACCATTCTGAAAGAAAGAACTATTTTACTTCGCTGTGCAGTTGACATCTGTTATTGCAGACACCCGCAGGGGGAGATTTAGTGTCCACACTAGCGAGAGGCCGTAATCGCGGGGCAAGAGAAATAAATAAATTATTTTGTCTTCAAAAATATGAAATTTATATGTAACTACGCAACGATAAAGTTTGTAACGTGGCCTCACGAACCGGAGAAAGATCTGGCCGCAAGTAGGAAATTCTCATGTTCTCACCCAATTGAAGAATGGTCTCTTTATTTTTCTTTATCCTGATGTCGCTTTGGATTAATTGAGTCGGGATTTTGGACGAAGTACTTAAGTGTACGCAATAACGAGAGAAAAAAAAAAGAAATATTGCGCAGGGGGGAGGGGGGGGGGGGCATGAAAGTGTCCACATTTCCAAAAGAGCGAATGTCCATCAGAATGGGAGTGTCAGTTTCAGTCACTTGGTTATGCATTTTGTCAGGGGGCTGGCGCTTGTTTTCAATTAATAGAGGGGATGTCTGTAATAGCGAGGAGTCTTCAGGGCGAGAGTCGACTGAACTTAAACTTTTCACACTGAGGCTCAATCATGACCGTGTGGTATCGTGGTTTAATTTTTCAGATTTAGGCTTATTTCCTCTCAGGCATTCGCATGTTGTACTCCTTGACCTGAAAGCGGTAAATTTCTTCAACTATTTAGCATAATTAGAGAAAACTTCTGTTCACACATTTTTGCAAAGCAGCAATTATTATTAACATTAGAAGTACCATTCCCCGAATGAGCCAATGCACATTTGGTGGATTGTTCTTCCAAAGTCAATAATATATCCGTTGACTAAGAACAAAATGTGGAGGCTTAATCTACCTTCCTTGAAAAGTAAAAGAGCTAGTGTAAACGCAATAATATCATGGTCTTCTGAAATCTATCCTGACACTTCAAAGTTATAGGAAGTACCTCTTTCCTGTTTGGCTCTCGTATATCGGCACACCTCTGGATTACAACTACTATCATCTCGTCTTTCGAGGTCATACACCTCGATCACCTGTGTGGAACGAGGAAACAAACGTGTCGTTGTGATTTGCTCGGTACCAAACATTAACACTGCGCCTTAAACGCGAAGGTCATGGGTTCAAATCCCGTACAGGCCTGAATCTTTTTCAGGCCTTATTTTCACTACTGCTTAAGTAGTGTCCAACACTGCAAAGATCACTTACAAATTCATTTCTTAGACCGCAGTTTACATAAATTATTTTTATATATATTTACAGTCATCGTACCAAACATTGCCACCCAACTTAATCTGGATAATAGATCCTTCACTTCAGAACGAAATGAAGACCTTGGAAAAAAGTTGAAAATGTTAAAATTGAATGAACCCGATACCTGCGATGAGAATGATTCTGCCATGCCGAATCTTTCTCATCCTTGGTGTTGGGGCTCATACACATGGACAACTTTCGAAAGTTGACACTTGTGAGAAGTCGAAACATTAATTTTAATTTCTTCCACTGTCAATGCACGATCCAGTGCGTGAGAAACAAATGTAGGGTTAATCTACGTTTCCAGAAAAATAAGAAAATATCATGGTCAATGACATTTCTTTCTTGTAACTTAAAACCCGGCAAACGAAGATAATCTTAATATTTAAGTTACTTAGGTTTTGCTTCATTATACTACGTGGTAGTTTCAGAAAGCTGGCGCCAAGTGCTCAACCAATCAGATTAATTCAAAACTTAAACACATCGCTCTCGTTTTCCCGCGAGTGAGCCAAGGGTTATTTTTGTATACCCTAATTACTTCTCATTGCTAGCCTTTTCCTATATCTTATCAGTCGCTGTGATTGGCTTGGAGTTGGTATTGCAACTCTTATTCAAGGCGCTGTAATGCTGCCCATTTGTTGTTGTTTTTTTTTTTACAACTGATTGATCTGACAGTTTTAGCATATCCCCATTGCATTATGATCGGGGAAGTGTTACTCCTTGTGGCCGGAGGGAGGGTGCCTCCTTCGCGAGCATTTGTGGAGGACCGCATATTTCTTTTTGCGTTGCATTTTTTTTTTAACTGGAAAAGTCTTTTTTTTTTTTTTGCAAGAAGCTCGATAGAATATCATTTCTCCTCAATCACATCTAAATGGGATCGTGAAGCTCATTTTACGAAGACTGCTTTTATCTCATTTTTGATATTAAACATTTTAATTTCTAGGTGGAGACTGAAGATGATAGAGGAATTGGTTTTCTTTTATTAGATAAAGAAATGACCCAATACAAGAAAAACTAAGTTCTTTAAAAAAAAGATTCATGCAATCTGAGGAAAGTGAAATTCCAACCCCATGATGATCAGACCATTTCACAGGGACAACAAAGAAGCATTCGAATTTAGGGTTCTTTGATACCCCTGTGAAAATACACAAGACGAAGAGTTTCGTCTTCCAATAAACTATGACTTTATAATCAACCATTTGAAAGAAAGAACTATGAATTGTTAACACATTTTTGCAAAGCAGCAATTATTATTAACACTAGAAGTACCATCCCCCGAATTAGCCAATGCACATTTGGTGGATTGTTCTTCCAAAGTCAATAATATATCCGTTGACTAAGAACAAAATGTGGAGGCTTAATCTTCCTTTCTTGAAAAGTAAAAGAGCTAGTGTAAACGCCATAATATCGTGGTCTTCTGAAATCTATCCGGACACACTTCAAAGTTATAGGAAGTACCTCTTTCCTGTCTGGCTCTCGTATATTGGTACACCTCAGGATTACAACTACTGTCATCCCGTCTTTCGAGGTCATACACTTGGATCACTTGTGTGGAAAGAGGAAACAAACATATGCATGTCATTGTGATTTGCCAAAATCATTACCAAATCATTACCAAACATTAACAATGCACTGGAAACGCGGAGGTCATGGGTTCAAATCTCGTATAGACCTAAATATTTTTCAGGCCTTATTTTCACTACTACTTAAGTAGTGTTCAACACTGCGAAGATCACGTTCAAATTCATTTCTGACACTGACACTATACTGAGAGTCTGTACTTGGCTACAAATTACAGATATCCTTGTAAAGAGTGTTGTGAACATACATTTTGTTTTCGCCTCATATGAGGAAAAAATGCATTTTCAGTGGCTAATACCGTGCTAAATTCGATAGTCATGTTGGTGTGTTTTTTCGCTCTCCAAAAACTCTGGCAAAGCTAAATTAAGCATGTCAAGATATACCTTTTCTACTCCGTCGCTTGAAGGATCGTTTTCCATGTCATCATACTCAACGTTTTCCGTGTCATCTTTTCCTAAAAAAGACGAAATGGAAAATGATGAGTATGATTTGACTTCAGCAATAAAAACCTCAGACACCAAAACGAAAGACACAGTCGTAGATAACGAGAAAGGTTTAAACGTGTCTTTGTTTATTGACGTAACAAAGGCTAATCAAATAAACAAAAGAAAATTGATGCTGTGCGCGCGGTTTTCTAATCATTATTTAGTGAAATTAGTTGACTTTTCGTTAATAAAGCTGTGCGTTACCGAGGTCACTCAATCAAAATTAGCCAATCGCATGGCTCCAACTTCAGTTATATTACGCACCGCTTAATAATCGGTCACTGACCAAATCCCCCAAATTTATCTCCGATGTGTACTGTTTATTAAATCTTCTTAAAACGGTCACCTATATCATTATGAAGTGGATGGCTTTCTAGGTACCTAATTATTTCGCTACGCATATCTTTTAAACTCATTTATTCTTGTTTATTTCGTTACCATGTTCCCACCGATGGCGTGGCTCCATTTTTCTGCATACATACATACACTCAACCCAAAATTCCTCTATTCGCTCTGACGAAGGGCTAATTAAGCTCGAAACGTCAGCTTTGGACGCTCTCTCTTTACGGTGGCCAATTTAAATAATTTGCACCACAGTTTCTTTAGATAGTGGGGATAATGCATGCGCAGAGGAAAATCTTTAAGTTTGTACGGTTCTGCTTGGCTTTAGTTAAACGTTGAGGAAAAAGAACAACCGCGAAAAAAATCAGCGATTAAAAAAAAAAAGAAAAAGAAAAAAAGAAAAAAAAATATATATATATTAATAAAAATGATATTTACCAAACAATTCCTTGATTTACCCTTTACATTATATCCTTCACATATAAGAAGTTATGAGGTGTATAATAATGTTTATGTTTATCTCGATAACATCGCTTGACGGTTGGTTAATTAGTAATTATGTTAATGCAATACTCTTCCACTTTGGGAAATGGACCAACTCAGAAACTACTCAATTGTACCTCTTGCCGCGGTAAAACTCGGTCCCTGGGAGCGACTCTCACTCACCCTCACGGTTAGGCTTGGGGCCTAACATAATTAGAACTTTTCAAGATGGCGGCCAAACAAGTTCAAATTTGATATTTAGTAATATTTCCGGTTACAAAATCGTAAACAAAGACGATGTTGTGCTAACTACATCGTAGAATAGTCGGTACCAGCAAAAAAAGAGACATTTAAGAGCTGATAACTAGAAATCTGTCAAACGAATGCCGTGCCACATTCTTACGTCCGCCACCAAAAATAGATTTTGGTTACGAAATGTGGTGGTGCAATGAGGAGGAAGGACCGATATAAAAGCCACAGTGATTCTGCGATTCGTTACAGTTCGATAAGGAAGGGACATCTATATAACCAAATTGATTTGATTGCTCAGTAGGTCGAATTCTTGAGGAATTTTTTTTTTTCGTTAAATCAATGGCATTTAAAGCAAGGTCGTCTGCTGTGTCAGTTTTTGACGAAGAACTAATGAATGACTTCCTGCGAAATGTTCGCATTGTCGGCAAAGATCTTAAAAGTGGAGACAGCGATGAGAAACAAGAGCAAGTGGTGGAAAAGAAACTTATTAGGAAAAATGGTAATTTTAGCTCTACTTTGTAATTGAAGAGTTTCGTTAACACATCGGCGAACTCTTAGTTTAATTAATTAATATTCCCTCGTTTGAAACGATGAACAGGTATTGCCAACGACAAAACGAAGTAACTAGGCTAGTAATCGTTTAAATCTTAATCTCTGATCTCCTTTTCTAGCTGCTAAAATGCTTTTAAATTGGCTAACGGAATTTGGTGTCTACATTTGTGTCTTCTCATCACCTGTTTGCAAAACAGTGAATTAATATTCTATGGAGAAATTACCAGTCAATCATCTCTGAGAGTTTAAGAGTTAATTATTCAGACTGAATAATGATTCAAGTGTGATGAAAGAAATGTAGTTTTATAATCTTTTGCTTTGGTATCACAGAATCATATGCTGGAGAGAAACTTGGAATGAGCTGCTCCATTTGCCAAGTAACTTTTGACTCAGTTGAAATTCAGGTAATATGATTTGATTTAAGATTTGTTTGAGAACTAGTGTATGCAATTATTCATGGCCATGATTGGTTTTTGATTTTAAATGTTTCCATTATTTTAAAATACAGTTATCTGGCATGAAAATGCAATAGGCCGTCAATAAAACAATAGAGTTTATAGAGAAAGATGTTTTTGTCTTGTCACAAGCATGGGACAAAAAAAAATTCTGAGTCCCCAAAAGGAATTGAATCTTAGACCTTCGGATTCCGCGCTCTGATGCTCTACCACTGAGCCACATATACTTCATGCTAAGTGAGGTCTATCATGAAGGTTATATGACACATGTACTGCATACTGCTAGGATCAGCAATGTTGATAGCGTAATGTTTGTAGGGTAATGTTTGTAATAGAGTTTATGTTGGTCCTGGGGTAGGCATAAAGAGATCATGAACCTGACTCAGACTCATGTTTGCAATTTAGGTTAAAATGACTCTGTGAACTGGGTCCAAAACATGTTCACCCCAAACAAGAATTATTATTATTATCATCAGTTTGGAAGGCATTGAGAAAATAAAAACTGAAAAAACTGACCATATAACAGTCTAAATTGCTTAAAAAAAATTAACCATAATTGCTTAAAAAAATTATACAGTTTTCACCATTTACCACTGTAAAATTTAGTAATTCAACTGTAGGACATGTATCTCATTTTATTTATCCTACTTTAGCTTTTCTTTGATTTGTTCCAACCGTAATTAATTAATTTTAGCTAGATATTAATGGGTAAAGAGTCACTTGGTGGAAATACTGTTAATAAGATCCTTATTATTTTACATTATTATTAAATTGTGACTCAAATAGGCAAGAGCTTGATTCACAACCTTTCAATTGGGAGTCTAGTGAGAAAATAATTTTGCTCTGTGGAAAATTGAGTGAAGTAACAGCTAATGCAAAATACACATTTTTTACAAAGAAATTTTTTCTTTATTTGGCAGAGAGAGCATTTCAAGTTAGATTGGCATAGATTTAACTTGAAACAGAAAATTCTAGACAAGCCTATTATGTCAGAGGAGGCATTTGAGGAAACTATTTCAGGTATGTTATTATAATTGTACATTTATTTCCTAAATGGAATTTAATTTTCTAGTACCCAATGTTACGCAACCAGTTTTCCACATTTGGATTCTGTACATGACGTTGAATTTCTTGGCAGATTATTAAAACCACCATCTTGATCTTGTCTCACTAATCTTGTCTTGTTTTTTTGGACCTTGGGCTAAATACACTACAACAATTGACATGTATTTTTCTGCTGTTCTTCTGGGTGTCAGTGAAGGCAATCTAAGGACTAATGACATACTACTTAAATTTTATTTAATTATTGTGTCTATGCAATTTTAAAAGAATCACATCTTAATTTGGCATGACTGCGGCAGTGTTGTTGTTGTTTTTTTTTTCATCTTTTACGCTCTAATATTAATAATATCAGTCTGCATTTTCTTTAAACTGCTTTCTAGACATTTCTTATGGTATGAACAATGATAATTTGTTTCACCATTTGATAGTTTTTTTTTAAGTCAGCTATATATCATTTCCTTTATTCTTGTGACCTCATTGTTGGATTCAGCAGTGATACCACAATTAGAAATTAGGTTTAGTCACTCTTTGAGCTTAACCCCTAGCTTCTAAATTCTCCTTACAATATCACCCCTGAATCAAATATAAAGACCATGAGAACAAAGGAAATGATCAGAAAGAAGCTCTTGATTAGTAACCCTTTCACTCCCAAGATCTAATTAGTAATTCTCCTTACTATCTGCCATACAGTTCTAATGATGTTAGCTCAGAGAATTTGGTATTGGATCAACTAATAATCCCATAATTGATATTCTTCTCTATTCTCATCACCTGCCTGCTTGATATTGTATTGATATTGTAAGGAGAAATTCTGTCTTGGTCACTTGTAGGAGTGAAAAGGATTAAAAAATTCTGATGTTAAAGTGTATGGGTTTAAATAAAATTAGGCTTATTAAGAATTTTTAATCCACATACACATATATATATATTTTTTTAAAATTTTTTTTCACATTTTAGGAGAGCTATCAAGTATTTCTGGTTCTGACAGTGATACAGACAATGATGATGGTGATTTGATGCTAGAATCAAGTCAGTGCAGTAAACCGTCCATCAACAGTCTCCTGCCTGAGCAAAATATTAACAGTGAGACACACACAAGTCTTAGGCGGCAACACCCAAAGGTTTTTTTTGTGAATGGAGATGGAGAAGTGATGTCAGTTTATCGCAGTGTTTTGTATTCCATTCAGGTAAAATTTTATTGTTTTTAGAGTGGCACATTATCATTGTCATTATGGTAACAAAATTTATTTGTAAGGAGTTCAGCTGAGTTACTCAGCCTTTTAAGCTGTATGTGGTGCATGTAAGCAGCAGCATATTAAGGGGTTTCCAGCCTGAGACTTGGTTCTTATTTGAAAATAGGGCAAATACCCACGGCAGGTAGAGTCAAGCCAAGTGACCCACAAGGTGCTAAAGCTTATTATTTGGTCTCAGTAGCTTGAAGTGACAAGCTAAGAAATACTGCCACTCCCCTTGGATGAGATTCTAGTCCATTGCAGCTTACCCTCCCCTACCCCCCTGCCCCCAGCATTTTGTCAGGCTTTCTTGGCAGTGTGCAGGAACCCTTGAACAATCTTGGGTGAGAGAGGCAGAGCTAGAGGTAAATGTCTTGCCCAAGAATACAACACAATGATAGGAAAAGTGTCAAACCTGTGGTACATATTGACATTGAGTCCCCTGTGTGAACTTACTAATTTCTCACTGCCTCTCCTGCTGAACCTTTTACACTTTAACATTGGTATTCATATTCTCCACACTGATCTCTCTTCATTCCTGTGGTAATGACAAGGAGAATTTGTTGGACAACCAGGAGCTTCTTAAATTAGTGATCATTTCCACAATTCTTGTGACGTTTACATTTTCTTTGAGGGTGATACTGTAAGGAGGATTAAAATAGTTGATCAAAAAAGCACCAAATATGCCTTGTGAAAGGAAATGGGTCCCTAGTTATTTGCTCTGATTACTCTCCTCTAAGGAACCTCACTGGTTCAACTGTACAGAAGATCCAAGTTTATGGCTTAGCATGGCCAAAGAATTGTTACCATATGCTGTGTCAAAATCACGTCTTCTTTGTTTATCAATTGAATTTAGGACAAAGTGACATTCAAATTAAGTTTTGTATTTGTGTTTTGCATTCTTCTTCAACTGCTTTGTTCCAGTTAAATTACCATTGCTACTTCTTAAACAAAGGGAAACACAAATCAACTTATTTTGAAATTGTACAATCTGAATTTTCTTTGAACTTGCAATAATTATTGATGACATAGGTTTTCACTCTTTAGATTTATCTTTCTCAGGAATGTTTTAATTGATTTTAATTCACATCAGAACATCCCAACCACTCCACAAGACACGTTGTCACTGTTTACAAGTCTAACAATGAAATGTTACTGGATTGTGTTGATGACGGCTGGTGGCCATTTTGCTGGAGCAGTTTTTAAAGGAAACGAAGTTTTGATCCACAAAACATTCCATCGATATACAGTCAGAGCAAAACGAGGAACAGCGCAGGGTGCCAGAGATTCACAGCAAGGCGGGAAGCAACCAAAGTAAGTGAAGGGTTGATTAATCTGATACAAAGAGCTGAAGGAAGGTGTGACAAGCACGAGGCAAAAGCGTAATGTGTGTTTATGTTGTAAAAATTGGAACGTCAACCAGTTTTCACTTTGTGGTCGGATCTAATATTGCTCGTTCAACTCAGCTACACAGACCATGTGGGTGAGTCAGATCAGAGCCCTGTGTTCTTGCACACTTGTGGAATCAGCCGATGTCATAATCATCCTGTTTAAAGATAGAGTCAGAGAGATGACGGTAAATTTTTAACGTGGCCACCAAACTGAAGAAAGATGCCGAAATTTTGTCGCAAGTGTGGCACAAAATAAATAAATACCTTCCCAATGAGTGCTAGAGGAGATATTTTTAATAACCGATGTATCTCACGCAGCTGTGAAGCTGTTTAGTTATCGTTAAGGGACAAGTTTAGATTGTACAACTGTTCACTTTGTGATGTTTGTACTGATCGATGATGCAATCAATGGTTTAGCGATTATTACTTTGTACAGTATCATAGTAATAGAATCAGGTTGGTGAATTATATACCTTTTATTTGTCCACGCACAGGTCTGCCGGGGCTAGTTTAAGGAGACATAATGAAGCTGCCCTCTTCCAGGTGAGTTTGTTATACACCCCCCCCCCCCAATCAACCTTATCTCCTACTCCCGAGATCTGACTTTTAGTGTTCTCGTGTTCTCCCCACTGGCTGCTACACATTTTCTAGGTATTCCCTTTGATTCCTTAAGAGTGACTAGCGTCTAATTTCTCCGCACATTATCACCCTGAATCACACATTAAGATCACGAGATCACGAGAATAAATGAAATGATCATCAGCTGAAGAAGTTCTTGATTGTTTAACAAATTTTCCTTGTCATGACTTCAGAAAATGTATTTGAACTTGTCCAAACTACATGATGGTCCATGATAGTCGATGATTGTGCATGAAAATTCGTGTTCCAATACGCGTGATCGTTTAAACTATCATCAACTATCATGACCAATAGAACGGGACTGTACATTGAACTGTGCAAAATTCTTATAAACAGGAGGTTCAGGATCTCCTCGAGGCGTGGTCACAGCACGTGGAAAAATGCCACAGGATTTTCATTCGAACACCAGCTTATAACAAAGCGATGTTCTTTGGAGGAAGAAAACCACCCTTCAAGAGAGGTACGGTCCAAAGAAAGATTTCCACTTGTGAGTGAAACTATATGAACAAACAAGCAACCGTTGCGACTTATTAAAAAATTCTCGTTACTTCTGCCATACAATTCTTACGATGTTAATTAAGAGATTTTGGTATTAGATCAACTATCAATCCCCTAATTAATATTTTTCGTTATTCCCATCACTTATCTGCTTGATATTGTAAGAAGAAATTCTGTCTTGGTCGCTCGTGGGATTTAAAGGGTCAACTTCTTACTTTAGATGATGCGCGCATCAGAACGATCCCATTCGCAACCAGAAGACCGACATTCAACGAAGTGAAGCGAGTCCATCAGGAGTTATCCAGTGTGCAGTTACTGGGTGAGACTTTTTTTTTTTCCTCTTGGAATTGATAAGAATTTGTGGTTGCGCATTTGGCTCAATACATTTAAGGAACAACTACTTCTTGTTATTATAGGGAAGGACAGTGATGTAGAACTACAAGACCTTCTAATGAATTTGACTCATAATAAAGCAAAGGAAAATGTGCCAGCAGTTGACGACGGCGATAAAATTCGTTCATGGCAGGCAAGTCAGGCCGTCGCCAGCGACAATGAGGTAGCAATTGACTCTCAAGAACGAAACATTTCACTTGAACGCAGTGATGAAGGTCAGCCTGATTCAGGTTCTACAACAAAAGTTCAAGAAGCGCCGAAGAAAACGAAAAAGAAGAAAGCAAAAAATATTAAGAAGGAGTCCGTTGATGGGCTTCAAAATGCAGAAGGTTAGTTTGAAGGCGTTTTAGCTCTATTCCTACAGCGGACTCAACCCTGTAGCCTCCGGGATTGACAACTGGCTAATTTCTCCTTAAATTATAATCCCCGGCTGAGATAGAAAGGTCTTGAGAGTTAAGGAAACGATCCGGTGCCATCTAAAGAAGCTCTTGTTTGTTAACAAAATTATCCTTGACAGTACCACGGGAATTCTATGGAGAATAGTTGGGAGAAGATGCATATTGACGTTAAGGTGTAAATGGTCAAAATTCACCTTTTTGCCTGGCTTACTTTTCCTTGTATGTTAACTCTTAATCCTTAAGAGTGAATGGCATCTAATTTCTCCATACCATATCATTATTGAATCTAACATTAAGGTCAGGAGAATTAAGGAACTGATCACCTATGAAAAAAGCTCTTGATTGTAAGACAAATTCTCCTTGTCAGAACCTTAGGAAATGTATAGAGAACAGTAGAGAGAGTGTACTGAGCATACTGATGTTTGGGTGAGAAGGGTTAAATCGGAGAATCCAGCGTCACATCATTCAATACCCATCCCGACTCTGGTTCATAACTCTTTTCTTTCACTCTCTCTGCATGGTAGTTTATAATGACTGTGTGAATAAATGTTTGCCTTCAAATCAGGGTCGTTTACATGCTGTAATAGATATAATTTTATATTTTTTCTTTCAGTTTCCCCAGAGAGGCGCCTATGGAATCGGCTTTACTGCGCTATTGTGTCTGCAAATATAGGAGTAATTTCTTCACTTCTTGGCGGAAGTGTCCAAAGCAACGGAAAAGCTTGTATAAACACTGAGTCAGCAAGCGTACTTCAGGAAAAAAATGAGAGTATGGAGGAAACCACGAAGTCTGGTGTATTAGAAATCGAAATTAACGATTCAGTAACAAGTGAGGATGAAGGAAATAAGACAAGTGATGATTTGAAAACTGACTCTAATATTAATAGGAGTGTAAAATGCACGAAAACTGATACAATCGAGGAACTGGCAAGTTCAGGGATTAGTAATGAATTTGAAGATTCTCCATCGCGGAACGGAGAATTGTCTTCCGCAAGGATTTTGGACGTTATCAATGAACAGTTTGGCGAAGGAGGTGACACGCTTCTTCACGTAGCATCACGCTCGTCACGAAGGGAAATTGTGTTGCGGCTGCTGGAGTGTGGTTCTGATCCTGCTGTGAAGTAAGTGGCTCTAATGATGGACAAGTAGCGTACCCTTGATATGTTTCATTAGAAGGTTGTCCGTTGGTTCTGAGAATACCACCGCTGACCAACTAGAGAGATTAGGATTTGTGAAGCATCGAGATGATCTGAATCAGATCAGGGTAAACCTGATCTGATTAATAAAATAGTAGAGTTTATGTTCGCGGGCCTAAGATGAATCAGCCCCTACTCAGAGTCATTTGAGTCCGAACTAATGGTAGAGGATTAAAACGACTCTGAGAACAACCCAAAACACCATTATACGCAGGAACATGAACTACATTACTACTTATCATAACTGTGAAGATCATGTATTACCATTACCTCACTTTGAAGGGCATTGATAAAACAAAAACTGAAAAAATTGCAAACAATACAGTCCGAACAATCACGCGAACTTGCGGTTGGGCTAAAATGCATATTTGGCCGTCAAAAACTCTCTTTAAGCCCGAAAAATGCACCACGAAGAGATAACAATTGCTGTGTTTATCGTCAGGGATGAAAAGGGGAGGACTCCATATGCCGTCGCCGGCGACAAAGAAACACGGAATGAATTCCGACGGTTTATGGCTTGCCACCCAGATCGTTATGATTATGTTAAAGCACAGGTATGTTTTGTGAAAAGCCCGGTGTCTTCAGTGATTTTTTTGTTGTATCATGAAAGAGGCAAGTCTACGCACGAGACTGTCCAACTCACATGGTTGCCGAAACTTATTCTGGCGAATAGGAGAATGACAGTCAATGGCACTTTTTATTCCAACACTCCGACAGGTTTCAAACATGACATTTTCGATCACGTGGTGAGCAGTTTTGTAAATTTTTTTTTAAAAAAACTGTTCACATAAGAGAAGACTTCAATTCCCCCAGGAATGACTCGGACATCGATATGGCCGCCGCCATTCTGTTGTGTTATAACCAATATGGCCGCCGTGACGTCATGTGTGAAAACGATTTTTCCAATTTAAGAGTGCCTAAACGACCGAAACACAGTGACTCAGGGTAGGATTGAACGCCTACCTCACGATTCGCTCTCTTCTAGGCCATTTATTGGGGTGCACCCGACTGATGCACCTGCCATTTTTTGTTCGTGGTTGGTTTTTATGCTGTATAAAATCCTATAATAGTTGTTGTTACCTTACCTGAATAAGGCGTCCTAAGGAATTTTAAGGGTACGTTTTGGATAACTTTGCATCGCAGACATGAAAACAGCTGTGCATCAGGTAATTTTTATGAGAGAGAGAGAGAGAGAAGTTGGGTCCCTCGCTAATTGCTAAACGACCATCGATGATATTCACATGATTTGTTTGATTGTATTGATTACGGGGTTTTCTTAATTCCGTTATTTGATGTGTTGTTTTTGTTACTTTTTGTTTTGTTTTAGATTCCAAGTGCACTTACACCAGAAATGGAAAGTGAAAAGGAGAAACGGAATGCAGAAAGGAAGAAAGCGCAGAAAAAGGCGCAAAAACAGAGGGCCAAGGTAGAGCAATGAAGAGATCACTCGTCTTGTTCAGTAATGGACTGTTTTGCGATCAAGTTGTGGTTTTAGTAAAAGAACCGTTTTTAATCACGCGACTCTAAGGAATGGTCGAGTGGTCTGACTATTGACGAAATCTATCCTGTATGGTTTGAAAGCTATTAACAAGGCGAAACTTAGGAGACGTACATAATGTATTGAATAATGGCCGATTTATATTTAAAGGAACAAAAGGCTATTGAGCGAAAGAAAGAAGAGGAGGAAAAAGAAAAGAGAGCATATCAAGCTTTAAGCGACCGAGAGAAGGTAGGGTTAACGAAAAAATAAAAGATAAAAATGTACGACATCATTTTTAAGACTTGAGAAGTTATGGATGTTACTTAACCCTTTACCTACCATAAGAGATTAACATGAAACTTCTCCCTGTAATTTCCCCAACATTATCCAGCAAACAGGTAATGAGAATACTCAAACTCATCGGGTAGATTTTTGTAATCCTCATCTAACACCAAATTCTCATAACTAGTTTACAAGGAAATCTGTAACAGCCAGAGGGGAGAATTGACAATCAGATCTTGGGAGTTAATGGGTTAAGGTCATGAGAAACGCGTGGAGGATGGTTAAAAATATTTTTTTTCACAATAACAAATTAAGAAACATCTTCCTTAGATGATTTCGACCACTATTCATGATGGACATTAAAAAAATATTTCGTGAAAAAGGTCAAGGAGAGTCTGAAAACAAGAAAACTTGGGGTATGGTCAACACTGAAGCACTTGTACCAATCGGGTATACAGCCCTCGTGTCTAGGTTGCTGTAATAACGTGAAACGACTTAGAAAGTGTCGCTATCGTTTCTCTCTCCTCGCAAGACATAATTAAGGACCCATTGGATAGGGGCGGGGAATCTAATGCTCATCAGTTCGCTATTCATTATGTTACTTTTCTTTGTTTGTAGCGGGCCCTTGCAGCCGAGAAAAGATTCGCTCAACAACAGGCAGCCAAACAAGCAGGGGTCACCTCTAGGTGAGCTTTTTAGAATAAGTAGTTTTGTTCCACCGACCGCGAAATCGTAAATCCTCAGGTTCAAATCCTGTGGGTTGTTCAGATTGAATTACTTAATCTTGTTTATAATAAAGTTCGGATATAACGCGCGCTTTCATTCGTTGAAACAGCGTGCTCTGTCAGAGTATAGAGCATGCTTACGACACTGTTGTTCGCCTTGGAAATAAAGTTTGTTTTAAAAATTGAAAGTAATGCGTGGGGAAGTTAACGGATTCTTTATTACAAAACCAGTAGAGAAGCCTTGACTGTGCTCTGTTCTGTTTTAAAACACTTAGGAAGCGACTAGGGCACTCAAGAAGTGGGGGCTTGCGTCTCGGGTTTCTCCTCACACTTCTTTCGTGATCTAGCCGCTTTTTGCGTGCTTAACAACAGAACAGAGCACAGTCAAGGCTTCTCTATTTATTACATTGTCTTTATTTCCACAAATTCAACAAAAACAACGAAAACAATGGATCATCTTGCAGCTGTGCGTGGTGCAGTAAAAGTTTGGTTGGCCAAGTTCCCTTTGAGCGGCTCACGCATAAGTACTGCTCTACAGCTTGTGTGAAGGCTCACAGACTGGAAATAGAATCTCAACAAAGATAGCAGGGCGTTGGCAGTTAACCAGCCTCTCTTATTCCAGAAACTTTATAAACTGAGGATAACCTTCTGTCGTTGCTGATGTATAATTCTCGAAAGAGTTTCGCAGTGAGGAGCAAGTGTGTTGGAATGCTAAAATCTAGTCTCTTGGAAGGTTATCTTGAATAAATTGTATCACAAGAGTGACATGACAAATCATTACACATTTTCTGTATATCGTGAGAGGTATATTAAGAGAGGAAAATGATCCAGGGGTGGGGGGAATAACCTAATCGTGTAGTCTAATTGTCCGGGTGATGTTAACTCTGAGTGATCCGACTACCAACCCTCCTTCATTGAACAATGGAAGGAACCTCACAATAAGACTGACTGAACACAAACGACAGACTATAAATATTGATGTCGACTCATCGCTATTGACTGAGACTCTACGTAGTGCCTAACCTACAGCCTACTGCACTCGCGTCTTTCAACGACTGACTCTGGAGAGCTGGTTCCGTAACTTAGAACACACTCCCCCTCGACAGGTGTCAAACTACTGGCACTATTCAAACTAACACGGTATTCACGACATATATACAAGAAGCGAACCGAACAGAACGACCTCATTTTACCGACATATCAAAACTGACCAATCTCGACCGACTTACACCACTTGAGTCCTCTAGCCAATAACTGACCACACGAACTGGACTCATTACACTCGACTGACAACAACTCTTCAATTTACTCTGATGATGATTACTTTCGTTACGGTTGCCGGCACGTCAGTCACCACTACCGAGAGAAGTCCTTTTCAGGACCACTGTCACTCAGACGATCAGACTACACGATCGTATGTGTCTTTTGTTTCTTCATGTAAGGCTGCTGTCCTTAAAAGACACAAGCGCAGACATAGTGTACTGTTGAAAGACTTGAATGATTTCTCTTAAAACAATTTGTTTCATTCCGGGATTTGCGCGATTGTTAAAAAAAATGGACGATCATGCACACATTTTCTCAAATCCTGAGGAATTTCTTTTTCCATTCGGGATAGTAGCTCATCCACTTCACTTCTGTTCATCCGGGAACTGAGCGAACGAGCAACGCGAACCGCTTCACCCTGAAAATATATCTCAATGTTAATCAAAAGTCTGAAATGCTAAGGAAATTTGATATACTTTTCTTTAAAATATACTGTACAAACCAATGCACCAGGAAGAAACAAAGAGGTAAAAGGGTGTCCTAATGTCTCACGCGTGTGAATCGTGTTTCCGTTATTTTCCTGTATGAAATATTTTATTGAGAAACTGATGCAATACCTGGAGATAGTGGATAACTTTAAAAGGTCTGCACTTTGACAGAGAATTGGAATCGCCGCCGTCCTTTTGACAAATAAGCTCTGAAAGAGAGAAAATATGTGTGAAGAATAAATTCAGGTGACAAATACAAACGAAGTTCACAGGAAACGCGAACAGCAAAATTTCCTTCTTAATTTTTTGTGTAGGCTTTATGAGATCCAATTAAGAAAGGAGAGGCGGGGAATAAATCTTTATTGCACCGCGTGAGGAGGGGAAGGAGGGAGTATCAACACTATTAGTAGCTTAATCCAGCGGAGACCCGAATAAGCTCAGGCGCAACAACAATAACCGAAAAACTACAACAAAAAATAACAACAATAACAACCACAACAAAAACAAAACAAACAACGGAACAAATTAACACGTTCTGAACTGAAGCTGAGCTTGAGGTATGTAGCATGTTCTTAAACTTAAAACACGTACACAAGATACGACTAAATCAAAGTTACGTGGCACAAGACTATGGGTTCGTGACAAAGACGATGACGGATTACAGGGCAAACTGTGAGGTCGCATCTTACCGAGAACTTCTACCAAATCTGGCACTCCATAAAAAGGTATGCTAGTAGATATTCTATGTAACTCCACTTTGGTCTCTCCACTTTCAACATCTGGAAACAAACGTAACTGATCAATAGGTTCAATGAATATTTCGTTAACAACGTTAAACAGCTTCATTCAGTTAAATTTCAATCAATGAATCGTTGTCGCAAACAGTAAAAAAGGCTCAATCAGCATAAAAAAATTATGCCCTCTTGAGTACCAAAAGAGTCCTCGTGATTATACTTCTTAGGGATTATTCCTAAAGCCTTACCGTTTTTTAAACAGATATCGAATCCATTTGCTGTTAGTCGTCCGTCATCGATCCATCTATCAGAGACAAAAACATTTTATCCTTGAGCTGGAAAATAAAATTCCTCAGTTTCCCAATATTCTTTCTTACACTCGGCTGACAAAAAATTCCGGATCAATGTCAGTATCAACTTCGCACTAACCCTTCCCCTAACCCAACAACCGTCAAATGATAACAAGTTTAAAGTTTAATGTAAGGTTAGGGGAGGGGTAGGTGCGCTGTTGCTTAGATACTGACATCGATCCCAAATCTTTACTTGGCTCTGATGATGACTTCCGATAGGGTTATCAAAATATCACTCACCACCACCGACAAGAGTCCCTCACGGGGCTACCTTCACTCGGTCGACCAGAATACCCGATCGATTGCTACTCCTACGCTAAAACACTTTACTTTGAATACGAGTATATGAAAACAGGTGCATTTTCTTATTAAGGAGTTTAAGAAAACCACGACGACAACGACAACGGAAACGTCACTAAACAAAAAGGTTTAATGAGCAGAACAATGGCTGTGCACGTGCGTTAAAAATCTTTGTAAATTTCTTTGCTTCCTCTGAAAATCAACAACGTGGAATGACCAAACTTTACGTTGTCTGGAGAACGTGAACGACGACGGCTAATTTTGTAAATTTCTATTTCTAATTTAACGCTGTGTTTCATGTTCAGTTTCTAAGGTGACTTTAGAGTGTTGCGAGACTCGTAGGTAAAGTATAAGTTCATTTTTAAACCGACTTCGTCCATGGCGTCGCCTTCGTCGTTTCTTAAACTCCCAAATGAGGCAATGATGTTTCAATTCGAAAAGGTCTCCTTTCATGTTGCGTTATTTTCTTCTGCCTAACCTACGTAACGTGGTAACGTTTGACCGCTGTGTTCTTCCCGTCATACCTTGTGGTGTCCGGTGGGTCACAACTGACACTCAAATTACACAACATTTTCCAACAATCTGGACCACCGACACTTCTGAAAGAAAAGAAAATGCGAAAAGAAATGTAATGTCTAATTAAATCTAAACATCATTTCGCAAACTGCACCGTAAATTTGATTCACTGAAGCCCTGAAATAAGTGAAGTGATTTCAAAACAGACTTTAAAAAATTTTTGCCATAATTATTTTATGATTAGATTTTCCGCGCTCATAAGGTGCACCCAAACAGGTTTCATTTGCAAGGCATCGGTGGATTCCTGTTCTCTACACGTATAGTCTCCATAAAAAGGTTGAACATAATTAAGCTGATGATAAGTTACTTTCTCTTTTTCTCTAGGATAAGTCTCTTCAGCACCAAGGGATCAATGAGAACATATGTAAACAAACGTTACTAACCTCAAGTTAAACTTCACTTGAGATAAGTTTTTGTTTTTTTATCGTATTGACTACGAGCAGTCCCTCTTTTTAGACGAAGCCCGTTGCGCAAGGAAAGAAAATCGTGCCGTGTAGACTCAGAGAATCGTGTGAAAAATCGCGCGCCTCGCTCCCAGAGTTACGCGTAGCGCACTAACATCAACCTAACTTTTTTTCGCTGACTTTTTAGATACGCGCGACGGAATTCTACAAAAAGGAAGGACTACTCATAGTCTGATGAGAGGCTGGCACAGATTTTCCATAGCACTATGAATACGATATTTCAAACCAAAATAGTCCAGGATACATAAACACTTTATTGAAAGTCGATCTATTCAGTGTCACAAAAACGTGTATAAATGTGCGTGTGTACCTCTCATTTAAAATGACGGGATGATCCAGCCTTTCTTTTGGAAGAGAATGACAAGCCATCAGCCGTTGGAAGAGAAGCTGCTCTTGTACTCTGCAGCGAAAAGAAACAATTGATAAACCACAAAATTCTACCCAGCTTAGGAGCAGTGCCTTTATTTTTTGCGAAATCTGTTACGCGAGTTAAAAAAAAAAAAAAAAAAGGAACAAAAAAAATATATATATCGGCGTACCGCGTGGCAATCTGAGATTGGAAAGCATAAAAGGTAGAGACCATTTTGTATGTGCACCTCACTCCCACAGTTTCGCGCGCCGCGCTAACATCTTTTTCGCCTTTTCCTCCTGACTCGCATGACTAACTTCGCTGAAAAGGAAGGACTGCTTGTTGTCTAAATTCTTTACTATCATTTTGAGTTAGACAAATTCCATGACAAACTAGGAGAATAACCATTTTTTTTTTCTTTACCTGTACTGATTGACACAAACAAGATCCTTTCCTTTCTGCATTAGCCAAACTCCCCAGGGATCCAGCCGACCAATCAAATGGTCTGTATTGGAATGATCCTCTAAATAGCTACGAAGAGACATAACACGAAAACAAAAATTTAAAGTGACCTGAAAACATGACTAAATAAACAGAAGTAAATAGAAAAAAAAAAATTATAATTTCTGAAAGCTTCAGATTCAAAAGCCAACAAATCAAATATATAAATCAATATTGAGTTTAATTCTTACTTATGGAAATTCGATTCCCCCACCAATTGTTCTGATAAGAAAATTCTAATCATTGTAAATTACTAATTTATTAACCCTTTGACACCTAAGAGTGACTAGCATCTAATTTCCCCTTACAATATCATCCGTAAGTCAACACAAGTCACAAAATAAAAGAATGTTTAACAAATTCTCCTTGTCAGCATCTTAGAAAATATTTTGAGATCAGTAAGGAGAATATGCATACTGATGTTAGGGTGTAGAGGTTTCACAATTACTATGTCATGAAGCCCAAAAGCTCAACAACCTATAGCATTATCCTATCACCTGTCTAAGATGTGTTCATACCTTGCTGCTTTAGCTCTCCTTTTTGCCAAGTTCTTTAAGTCACCCAGGCTAAACTGAACTTCTTTTTTCTTGTAGAGAAGTTTTCTTTGAAGAGGATTTGGTGACATAACTTTGTTTATCAGGGGTTGATTAGTTATCTAGTGATGAGATGGTAAAAATTAATTGACAAATTATTACAAAATGAGGTATTGAGGTACATGCAAACTTTATGAAGGTACATATGGGCATTGATGTCATGCTATGGAGATCTAATGACACCTCATGCATTCCCTCCAAATATAGCAAAATCTAGAACAACACCTTCCCCTCCTGAGAGTCTGCTGCATATCCTAATGGTTCAGCTAGTGTGAGTGACAAATGTTACCATAGTGACAGGAAAAAAAATTAAAGAAAAACAAACAAAAACACTTACACTCAGAACAAAAACTAGACCCAGGAAATGAAGAGCAACTCAGAAAGATATGTAAATAATCTACTTTCAGGAGAAAATTTTGAAAAATCACAATAATTGGTATGATTGTTAAGAGCAAAGAAGCACTTGGTTGATCATTAACTTAAAGCCGGTACATGTACAGGCATATTGACCATTGTTGGAAAATTACTTTCAATAGATGATGTTCTAAGTATTGGACATCCTTCAGTGCAAGTCAGTACTGGTAAATAAGTTGAGAGTCAAATGGCCAGTTGAAGAGCAACTTTATACAATGGTCATGTAATTTGAAACTGCAAAACTCACTTCTGGCATTTTCTTTATCTTCTTGCTGGATAGGGACAGCCTTGACTTGTCCTACAACCAAAAGAGAGTAAAAAGGACAAAATTTTCATTAATGTATTTCAAAAACTATCTTTGCTGTTCAAATTGATAACTCACAAACATCCTTGATTTTCCAGAAACCTTTTTTGGCATTCTTCAAGATCTAAAACCTTGAAGATGCTTCAAAAATGATGTGAATACAATCGTGTATTGACGTTTTTATTATCATTTTTTTTGTTGTTATTTTTCATTTTTCTTCATTTTTCTTCTGCATACCTGGGAGCTTATTAAATATTTCAGCTAATAGGAGGGGTGCTTATTGGAAGGAAGATGTAGACTGGAGACACATACTATATTCCTGTACTAATTCCATTGCAGTTGAAGCTTAGAAAGTTATTTTTAAAAAGTGGCAATAGAGACAGGTTTTCCTTGCATATGTACTGTTTAAGAAGGCGAGGGGGGTGCACTTACTTGAGCACTGTTTATTTGACATTAGGGCCTAGGGGGTGGGCATTCCATTGAATGGGGGGTAATTTAGAGTAGGGTACTTTTAAGAGTATGAACACTAATTTGAGGAAACATGGTAACCAAATCCTATGACTTCCTTAGACATAGAAACTTATAATTGTGGAATTCCATGATTTTCCAGTTGTTTCAGTCCTTGACTTGACTTCAGGTTGCTTTCAAGCTCTTGAAAGAACCATCAGTAGTCTTAAAATTAAATAAAGGTGTCTGGTTTTTTTCATTTTATTTAATTTTTTTTTTTTAATTTAATTTTTTTATCTGAATGAACACTGTTGATGAGTGCACAGTAAAAATCACCTGTTCAGATGAGTGTTTCCTCTTTCCAAGATGAGGTAATGGAGTCCTTTTCAAAGACAGTGTTCTCAAAGGACCAGGGGTCACTAACGACACAGGCTGCAACAGCATGAAACCCTTACAGTTTAGATCAACAGACATCTTGTATATAACTTTATTCTATGAATTAGGTATTGCTTTGTTGGAGTACTTATGTCAATGGACAATCTTGATTAAAAATAATAATCTATGGAAATAATTCATCAACAAGTAATTGCCCTAAAAATATGACTTACAAGCACAATTTTTCATGAAATAAATTTCATTTGACCTGAGGATAAAAATCAAGTAAAACAATGATCTTCACTGCGAAACTTCAAGGAGCCTGGAAATAAATTCAAGCTACTACAACTACATTTGCTCCTGGCCTCCCAAATACAAGTTGTGCACTTCTATATTGTACCTGTCTTTTGTGGAGGCACAGTTCACCTGTGTGATCATTGTGTTACCTGAGAAATGGAGTAACTGGATGGAGGTAGGGTGGGGAGGGTGAATTACTTCCTTAAAGACACTAGAGGCCGAAAAAAACATTCAATCCTGTACATGTAAGTTTGCCCATGGAAAAAATGATCATGATGCATTCTGACCCCGATGGTTTGAAACTGGGAAAAGATTTGGTCCAAAAACATTTGGTCCAAAAATTGGGTAAAGGTTTGCATGTTCTTCAGAAGTGGGTCTGAGAACATGAATGGTTTACTGTTCTCAGCTCGTAAAGAGAGTGTGGGGGATCACTCACTTTGATCATAATTGGGGTAATGGTTTTAAGAACCCCACCACCCCCCCCCCCCCCTTTCGTTTGCCTCTCCAGAAATTTGGGTAAATTTTTTTTGTGTAACAAAGAAATTACAGTATGTCAACTACATTTTTACGGGGATTGTTTTTCACTGCCTCTATTTCTGCTACTATTTTCAACTCAAAGTTCAGATTGTAAGAATGACATTGCATACAAAGCATGATTTTTGTTTTGGAACTTAGCAATGCTTACTGAACCACTGTGAATGAAGTTTTACAATAAGGAGTTTGACCAGATGAGAAATGCTTACAAAGCTTAAACTGGGTCAATTAGTATTCATAGCTTTAGAAAGTAACACTGTTTCCTTGGAAGGCAGACTGTATTTATATATGTCTCTAATTCACACTAACGGTGTTGATTTTTTTTTGCTTTGTTTTTGCCAATGTGTGACTTTTGTTAAAAAAAGGATGGCATGACAGTATTGGGAACTTCGAAAATGCTAATGTTTTGTCTTTTAACTGGGTATTTAAGCAAAATTTTCAGTTTGTCAACTTGAAAGAAACAAGTCATAAAATTCCAAGTGTGTCTTGAGTGCACCTTATAGCCGAAAAAAATTATGGTATATTGCTTACTATTTTTACCTGCACAGGATTCCCTTGCTTGTCAACAATTCCACCTCCCATACTCCATTGCTTGTCAGTATATTGCACCTTGGTGCCTTCAAATGAATGTCCTTTAGAGATTTCCTCACCACATGTTGTGCTCTCTTTATTCAAAGTCAACGTCAAATTTTGTTGAGTAGACTTCTTGGCAGAGAAAACATCATTCAATGGACCAGTGGTATCTAAGTCAGAATCCTCAAACAAATCATCCAGACTAAGTGAAAACAAGTTTCTCTCTGAAGGACTGCTAGCAGCAGCAGATGTCAAACTTTTATTCCCAGACAATTCCTGTTGTTTTTCTAGTAATTTCTCCTTATTGGCTGCATCTGGGCCATTTTCAGAGGGAGTTGTTTTAGCAAATAGTACTGATTTGTTGCCGTTAGCATTGTTCAAAACTGAATTTCTCACAGCAACTTCAATGCCACCATTTTCAGCAGTGTTTCCAGGAATCTCTTTGAAAGAATTAACCAATGTTTTGTCAATATTATTAACTGATTCATTCATTTCAGCCAAGGTCTTGTCACTTAATGACTCACAGAGTGCTTTAGACGGCAAAATATGTGACTGGAATGAGTCTTTGTTATTCAAAATTCCTGAGTTTTTCTGTAAGGGGGAAAATAAACATAACACAGGAACATCATCTACTGATTCAGCATTTTCTGTTGATTGAATAGAAGATTTTAGTGCTTCTTTCCCTTGGTTGCTTTGACTTGTTGGTTCATGACAAGATGATTCCTCCAGCAGCAAATCTTTCTCCTTGCTTGAAGTACTTGTGGGGATTCTATTGCCAGTTGTACCAAAAATGTTTGCTAGCTTACTATGGTTATTGTCAATATCTTGTTCCTTGTTTTGCATGTTATCATGTACAACGTTGCTGTCCAATTGAATATCCATTCCTTGTTGATTGTTTTTCACTCTGGCATCCCCAGATGTCTTGGTTCTTATCTCCCCATTCATACCACAAGTGTTAGTAATGTCACCAAGTTTATCAGTAGCAACTATTCTGTTCTCTAAAGCAACATCACAACTAGAGAGTGTGTTGTTCTCCTCTGAATAAAACTCATCCAACAGCTTTGTCAAAACTGTCATTAGTTCATCTTGGTTTGTTAACATCACACTAGTTTTATTGGGTTCCAGATTGACGTCCAGGCCTTCAGGAGGTATCATGATGCTTAGGAAAGCAACAGGGTATCTGTTTGATGCAACAGGTGCTTTTCTGTTGTAGTATTGCTTGATCAACTGTGATTAAAAACATAAAATTTGTATAAAAACCTGCAGCTACAGTTTGTAAAGCTTGTCTTCAAACTCATTCCAAAGCATGAAGCTACAGCTGTACCAAGTGCATAGCTACCAGTAACATTTGCATGGGAATAATCCTTATACTCTTGTGCAAAATTACACTATTTCCAAAAAATTAACACCATCCGAGATTCCCACCACATTTTTTCTCAAGCAACAGAAGTTTTCTTGTTGTTTCCACATGGTTATTTTTATGAACTGAGACAGTGCTTTTGTGATATATTCTTATCAAAATTCACTGCTCAGCATTTTGATAGACAGGCTTAGAGATAGTTATTTTTAAATTCTGATTTTAACCCTTTGACCACTAAGAGTGACCAGCATATAATTTCCCCCCAACCTTATCACCCATGAATCATACATTTAGGTCACGAGAATAAAGAAATGATCACCAACAAAAAATGCCCTTGATTGCTAAATAAATTCTCCTTGTCTGTACAGAGATCAGTATGGAGAAAATACATACTGATGTTAGAGTGTAAAAGGTTAACCCTCTAACCCCTGCAAGTGATTAGCATCTAATTTCTCCTTACAATATCACCTCCAAAATCACACACAGAGGTTACAAGAAAAAAGGAAATGATCACCAATGATAGAAGCTCTAGATTGTTAAACAAATTCTCCCTATCAGCACCTTAGGGAATGTATTAAGAACAGTATGGAGAATATGTCTACTGATGTTAGGGTGTAAAGGGTTGATACTGTATACACAACGAACTTTTCACCCAGATAGTTTACTAGTACAGGAGTTAATCGTACTCCTTAGCAGCGAAAAGTAGTTTAAAATTTAAATTTCTTTCACAAGAACAGATCATAATGGCCCGCAAAGAGCTTGAAGCTGAACTATCCAATGACCTGTTGTTCAATGATTCAAAATATTTTTTAAACTATATCTAGCAATAAAGATGCATTTTCTGTACCTGAGATATTTGTTTCATGTAAACAGGCCTTCCATTAAAAAATATAAAACATCGATCATTCACTGCACGTCCAGTAACTTCCATATCAGATCCTGGCCTTGGAAGGTATCCAAGTATATGAATGCCACTCTCTTCATCATCATGATATTCTACTGAACCCATTTGTGCCAACAAAGATGTTCCAAACACAGTCAATAATGCTGTTCGCTCATCTGCAACTTTACTCTTCTGCCAGACGACTGCCTTGTTATGACGCAAAATGATCCTCAGAGATGGACGTATAATTGCATATGCCATCACCAAGTCCTCCACTTTTTTCAACTCTTCTTTACATTTTTTGGTGTTGCTTGAAAATTGTTTTCTCACAGGGAGGTTTTTAAATAAATTTGCTGCTGTAACTGTTGTCCCAGTTGTTGTAGGTTTTGGTTTGGTGGCTACAATCTTCCCATCACGTTCTAATGTATACAACATGCCAACTTCTTCAAATTCTGTTTTTGTCAATATAGACAAATTGCTGACAGATGAGAGCGAGGCTAGAGCCTCACCGCGGAAACCGTATGTATGCAGGGATTTCAAGTCATCATCAGTTAAAATTTTTGACGTGTAATGGGGTTTGGCCAAGTAGGGAGCATCATCGGGTTTCACACCAGAACCATTATCTCGAACTTCAATTCTTTCCAATCCCCAGCCGTCCTGAAAATAGATAAAGTAAGAGCTACCAGTAAAAACTTTGCTTCAAAGGTAATCATCAAAACAGCTGTTAGACACTCAAACACCCTTGAGGGTAACAAGGAAAGATTGTCAACCAGTAGTTTTTCCTCTGGGGAGAAAATAGTTGCAATCCAAAACCAAACAAACTTATTCGCAAACTGAACCTTGGTCGAGAGCGATATATACTTTTAATTAGTTAACTTCCCGGAGAACAAATTGATCTCACTTACATGTAGCTTATTAATTTATTTGATGAACGAACATGTACAACATGGATTTCCCAGTAATGAGAAAAAAATATATTATAAATGCAATCAAAAATGAGCCAAAAAAAAGGAATCTTACCAGTTTGATTTCAATGCTTGATGCTCCAGCATCAAGAGAATTCTCGATCAGTTCTTTCACTACTGAGCTAACGGAGGTTATCACTTGTGAACTAGCGATCAGCCGAATTGTAGATGAAGGTAAAAGATTCATTGCATTCTAGTTTGTACCATGAGTTCTGCGTAAGTGTCGTTTATTTTTTAGACCTTTAGATTCATTCACTTGCTGACAATCTCTTCGCAGGCAAGTCTGTGCTGCTTGCCGCCATATTTGATCTCGAGCGGGAAAACGTTCGAATCGTGTGACTTATCTTCGGATAACCCTCGTCATTTCCTACGAACATATACGGACCTTTACGAACATTACCGGTAACTTATCGGACAGAGTCAAATGACAGAAATAATAGATACATTAATATTGACGGGAATTGTTGACTTCTATCATATTCCATAATGACGCATTAACAATAAGCTAGGCTCAATATCCAATCAAAGAGAGTTTTTTCTGTCGTTTAATTTACACAAGGGAATAAGCCCCAGGGGACGATTATTCACATCAAGTGAAGTGGTTGTCAATGGTGATAGCAGGGCAAAGCGGACTCACAACACTCGATCGCACTTCAAAAGATAGATTTCACCCATTTCCTCGAGTTGTTTTCTTATGAAAGCAATTTACCGCTGATTTGTTTCAAGGTACAACTACCTGTTTTGTTTAGAGTTATAACCGAAGGAAAACGATTGTTCTAAAGCGAACGATTGTGCGAAAAGTCACGAATTTCAGTTCAGTCGAAGGGGAGTCGTTCCATGGACCACGCTAATTTCTGCTGTGTTTTATTTAGATTTTGAGGAACAAGGAAAAGCAGTATGACTGCCCCAAGGATGTATACAGCCGAAACAGAAAAACTATTGAAAGAAAAAGGGCTGCGATGTGTCTGCGAGTTATGCGATTGTGGGTAAGTGAATTGCAGGTGAAACAAGCATCTCTAAATGTAATTAAGACTTTCGTCCGACTGAGATGAATTATTGATTCTGCAACAGCCCTATAGAATGCAACCAGCTGTTTCATTGTAATTCACACAAAAGGAATGAAAATTTTCGCGATAAATGAATTTAATAGTGCTAAAGGACTTTAAATTTTGACTGTGAAGATGTTGAAGTTCAGCCGCAGGAATGCGAGTTGTCACGACTGGGTTTGCACGCGCATTGACGATGTGGGCACAAGAGATTTATTTGTTTATTCGTTTATTCATATTTTCTGTTCGTCTTCTGAAACACTGTTTAGAGGTTTATTTATGTAGAAAGAGAAAATGTCATTCGTAAGGTTAAAACAAATTTATAGCGTACATTTATTTAAAGGTCGAAGGGGTTACACCATAATATTCTCAAAATGCTCATAAAATGTCCTCGATGTTGCTTCCAGTTAACGGTTTATTTGAGATACTATCATGAATCAACTTGTAGTATAAACAGAGCGTTATTTTATATCATGAGTTTCATGATATCGGTTGTTATTATATGAAACTGATTGAATACTTCGAGAGTCTCGATTTACTCGTTGCTGTTGTCGGGCTTCTCACATATCACGAGTTTGTCTACGGATTGTTCCACAGAGGAAAATATTGAGATTTTAATTAACTTCGTTCAAAACTCCTGGAAGTCGCATTATTTGAATTTTTGAGATGAATTGCTCTCTGAAAATAGTAGCTGAGAAAATTTTGAATATCAACAATGAGGTTTCTTCGCAATGAAGCGTAGATTATTTGTCACGAAAGGCTGATATGACGACGCGCGAAACACATTGTCGCGCGTGGAAGAGGAGAGGAAAGATGGCGTTTTTTTTTTTCTTCTGAGATCCATGATAGACATGCAACGTATTTCTATTTTGAGAACACGCAATAGCTCCATTTTTTTTTCGGCTGGCAAAATATTGAGGGGTGGGAGTTTGAAATCCTCTCAACTGACCTGTGCTTTAAACTTCTGTTGAAAAAAAATCAAAAAATGAATGAATAAATAAATGCATTAATTAAGGAATTCTAAGGAAGGAACGATGATTATAGACCAGAAAAAGGTGTCACATCCTGTCGACTAGCCGCGATATACTGCTTGCTAGGACATAGCTCAAGGTCCGTGAGGGATATAAAATTATTGTGAGAGATTATTCAGCGTTAATTGATTTCCGGTTGATTTTTTGCGATAAGTGACAGATGATTGAACAATAGGATCATATTATATATTTAAAATGAGAGAGACCAGAGCGAAAGACAGAGAACGGTGAGACGAGAGAGAGGGAGGTTAAGTTGATTTTATAAAATAAAACGTGAAGTTTCGGAACATAGCAGATTCTTTAGTCTCATTTCCGACACAGTGGCACCTCCGACGGGACGCGCGAAGCATGGAGGAACTAACCAAAGAAGCAGAGGCTAAATTGCAGATGTTGCTGTACACTAATGGAAAAACACGTGGCATTGTGGAAAAGGGAAACCTAGGAGCGGTCGCGCGACATCGCGACAACCTACAAGCATTAGTAAAAGAAGTAGACGCGCTTAAACTAAAGGTTGAACAGACCATGTTCAAGGCCGGGAAAAGTGCAGAAGACGTTGGAAGTTGGAGCAGTAGCATTGAAGAACCGATCGCCGAAGCTGACGAAGAAGTTTCGCGACTAGAAAAATGGCTCGTGGAGACGAATGGAGAGATCGAACATCGAAAGCACAAGGACGAAGAAGAAAGGAAAGCCCGTGCTCGTGAAGAGGAGCTTAAATTCGAAAGAGAGCAAATGGAGATGAAGCTAGAATTCGAACGCCAACTGGAAGAGACCAAGGCAAAACAGCAACCTGTTGAGAAGGTTAATCAGACTGAACAAAGGACAACAAAGCTACCGAAACTACAGATCACAAAGTTTAATGGGACGTATGAAGCATGGCTGCCGTTCTGGAACAAATTTCAAGCTGAAATTGATAAAGCAAGCCTTGCGTCTGTGACCAAGTTTGCATACCTAAAAGAGCTGGTAGATCCAAAGGTTCGAGCGGAGATAGACGGACTGCCTTTCACAACAGAGGGCTACGAAAGGGCAAAGAATATCCTCATCGGCGAATATGGGAAAACGAGCGAGATCGTGAATGCGTACGTCCAGAACATCGCGAATTTGCCTGTCATTACAGGAACACAACCTGCGCCTATCCACGAATTTTACAAGAAGCTCGTGTACAATGTGCAATCTTTGGAGACACTGGGCAAATTGAAAGACGTCACTGGAAATGTAAGGAGTGTGCTCGACAAACTAAAGGGTGTAAAAGCAGATCTAGTGAGAGGACAAGTGGACTGGCAGGACTGGGACTTCCCACAGTTGATAAAAGCTTTGAAAAGTTGGAAGGAAATCAACCCCATTGGGAACGGCGCGGATAATGCGGGGAAGCAAGGTGCTAAATTCCGCGATCGCGAGAAAACATTTCACGCAAACGAAACTACGCCAACACAAAGAGGGTGCGTCTACTGTGACGCAACTGACCACAGAGCTGTGAATTGCGACAAGTTTGTGACAGTTGGAGACCGCAGGAAACAATTAGGACTGAAACAGCTTTGTTTTAACTGCACAGGAAGTCGACACCGTGCTTCTGAGTGCAAATGCCGTTCTGGCTGCCAGATCTGCAGTCGAAGACATCATACGTCGATCTGTGACAAACATACATCGCGAGACCAGCTGATGACCACAACGAGCGCAGAAAGGAAAGGAGTGGTGTATCCTATGGTAACAGTGGACGTGAACGGTGTTAAATGCCGAGCATTGTTGGATACAGGAGCCGGAAGTTCCTACGCTTCATCAACGCTTCTGAACTGTTTACATTTGCGCCCTATCCGTCAACAATTCAAGCGCATTGAAATGATGTTTGGTACTTCAAACAAAGCGATAGACATCTATGGCCTACAAATTCGAAGCGTTGATGGTAAATTCACCTTGGAAGCCGAAGTAAACAAAGTCGACCGCAAAGAGTTGTTGACATTGGAAAACCCAAAATGCGCAGAAATCGTAGCTCAGTTTTCTCATTTGAAGGGCGTAACCACAAATGATAACGACGAGAAAGCGATGTTGCCTGTTCATCTGATCCTTGGAACAAACGAGTACGCTAAGATCAAAACAGGGGCAAGACCAAGAGTTGGGCGCTCGGGAGAACCAGTAGCAGAATACACGAAGTTCGGCTGGACGATCTTGTCACCTGGGACAGAGTTGGATCTCAGCAACATGTTGTTAACGCAGACCTCCGCAATTGATTACGAAGAATTGTGCAAGTTAGACGTCTTGGGGTTGAAGGACAATCCAAGTGGAGACCAGGAAACCGTTTACGAAGAATTCAAAGAGCAACTAACTAGGAGTTCAGAAGGCTGGTACGAGACGAACTTGCCCTGGAAAGGAAATCACCCCCCCCTACCGAACAATCACACTGGAAGTTTAAAACGTCTCAAAAATCTCGTGCGGAAGTTAGAGATACAAGGCGAGCTGGAGAGGTACAACGACATTATCCAGACTCAACTGAGCCAAGGGATCGTAGAACACGCTGACGAGGTGGTCAAGGACGGAAAAGAGTTCTACATTCCTCATAAAGCGGTCGTGCGCGAGAATGCAGAATCTACAAAGATACGCATTGTTTATGATGCTTCTGCAAGAGCTAATGCAAGTGTCCCCTCACTCAACGAGTGCCTCGAAATCGGCCCTCCACTACAAAACCAGCTTTGGAACGTGCTGGTACGAAATAGGTTCTATCCCGTGGCAATAGCTGGCGACTTAAAACAAGCATTTTTGCAAATTCGCGTCCGAAGAGAAGACCGAGATGCCTTACGCTTTCATTGGATAAAGGATCTGGCAAGCAAACAAGTAGAAACCTTGCGATTCACTCGAGTACTCTTTGGTTTGGCACCGTCTCCATTCCTCTTGGCCGCAGTTATCAAAGAACATCTACAGCGATACAAAATGGTGAACCCGGAATTAGTAGAGGAGATAGAGCGCAGTATGTACGTGGATGATTTAATCAGTGGTGGGGAGACAACAGAACAAGCGTTAGAAATCAAGATGACAGCCACGACCATCTTTGGTGAGGCGACTTTCAAGCTGCACAAGTGGCATTCCAACGATCGGGAACTAGAAGTTGAAACTGCGACTGTAGATGAAGAAAGTCAGAGTTACGCCAAACAACAACTGGGAACCAGAAAGGGCGAATCAAAACTGCTAGGAGTCCCCTGGGACAAAGAAAAGGACGAAATTCAAGTCAGCTTCCCGATTTCAACCGCTGAGCCGACAAAAAGAGGTATTCTTGGAAAAGTCGCAAAAATCTACGATCCACTCGGTCTGGCTTCACCCGTGACCCTCTCTGGAAAAATGCTCTACAGAGATGCCTGCGACACGAAGATCGCATGGGATAGGCCCTTACCAAGTGACTTACAAGCCAAAACAGAAGGAAAGGCCTATCTTGCATTGTACGCGTGCAGTCTTACCCGAGGATTATTCCTGGAAGTACTACCAAACCTGGCAACCAGTGAATTCCTAAGAAGTCTAAAACGGCTCATCGCGCGCCGTGGGCGTCCGAAGAAGATATATTCCGACAATGGCAAAACCTTTGTTGGCGCCGAGAAGTGGCTCAAACAAGTTATGCGTGACGAGAAGACACAAGATTACTTAGCACATGAGAACATCAAGTGGCAATTCAACCTCAGCCGCGCCGCTTGGTGGGGAGGACAGTTCGAGCGCCTCATCGCACTGGTAAAAACAGCTTTAAACAAGACTATCGGATGCGGAATGTTGACCTGGACAGAGCTGTGTGAAGTGGTACTGGATGTGGAGATTGCTTTGAATAATCGCCCTTTATGTTACGTCGAAGACGACATACAGTTACCCGTGCTTACCCCTAACTCACTGCTATTTCTTCGATCAAACCAGCTACCAGAACTGGAACCACACCATCTAAGAGAATTTGATCTGCGTAGAAGAGCTAAATATTTGCGAAGGTGCAAGCAGGCTTTGTGGACCAGGTGGACTACCGAATATTTACGAGGGTTGAGAGAACGACACCGGATGAAACACAAGGGTCAAACCACGCCCTTGGCCAAAGGAGAGGTAGTCATCATCAAGGACGAGGAACGAAATCGCAATAAATGGAAAATTGGAATCGTGGAAGATTTGATTCCGGGACGAGACGGAATCGTTCGAGCTGCCAAACTTCGAGCGGGGAAAGGAACACTTGAACGGGCGGTACAACACCTTTACCCACTGGAGCTGTCCTGCGATCGGGAGAATGTACAGGCTCCTCTGCAGCTCAACCCCTTAGCCCCGACATTCAGGCCCAGGAGGGATGCAGCGGTAGCCGCTCGTTATCGCATTCAAGATGCGAACATTGATGCCGATTAGAGATATTTAGGAACACTGAACTGATATACTGGACTAACTTTCTGTTTCGTTCATTGAATTTCAAATTTTATCGAGCGCGCCATTCTAGTGTTTTTCTCCGTTGAGAAAAACAGGGGAGTGTGTGAGAGATTATTCAGCGTTAATTGATTTCCGGTTGATTTTTTGCGATAAGTGACAGATGATTGAACAATAGGATCATATTATATATTTAAAATGAGAGAGACCAGAGCGAAAGACAGAGAACGGTGAGACGAGAGAGAGGGAGGTTAAGTTGATTTTATAAAATAAAACGTGAAGTTTCGGAACATAGCAGATTCTTTAGTCTCATTTCCGACATTATACTTATTTACAGTGTAACTATTTATTAGTTTTTCAATATCTTTTTTTTCTCATCTTTAGCGGATACCATCCTCACATCGGCTGCACAAAAGAGCCACAGAAAATGAAATCAGTATTTAAGCGACCGGGGCTGGCAGATGCAAAGACTAACTATCAAAACACTTACACTTCACATGATGGAGCGAAACCTCGCAATACAAGAAAGCCACTCCCGCGCCTTAGGAACCCGAACCCTCCCCCTATGGACTTCAGAACGGTTCAGAGAATGGAGTTTATCCCAAGGAAACCTGAACCACAAGGAAGCTGTAAGGTAATAAGGGGTTTTAAGCTTGGGTTTAATGATGACATAACATTGCTTATTTTACCATGTTCCTGTTGATTATATTAGGCTGAAGTCTTAGCTATGGTGTGAGTGTAAAAATGACGCGACCAAAAACGAGCGAGTGATTTTGAGCCAGTTACGCGAGTAATAGCTCAGATTTAATCGGGTTTGAATCAAAATTCGCACGCGACTACCTATATGCTTCGTGACACACATTCCACACGCAAAGTGTTATAAATCACCAAGTTTTTTGCGCTTTCTGGATCTTTCTCACACCTGTACGTTACCTCAACTTGAGACGCAAGTAGTAAAGGCTTCTCATTCAAATCTCCTTATTTCGCATAGATGATGGATAATTACAAGCCACCTGACGAGAAACTGGACGGAAAGACAATCTATGCGCAAGAGTTTGTAAACCGAGGCCCTCCAGAGTTGGTGAAGATAACGCGACCAAAAACAGTCACGCAAAACCAGGGACTGAAATTTCAGTCGGCCACCACTCACAACCAAACGTTCACACCCAAAGTGCCCAGCCCCCAAGCACCGTTTGGCGAACTCCCTTGTTACACGGGGGGAATCCTCTATCCTGAGAAAAATGGCAGATATGACGTAACAACCTGGAATCAAGACGTCTACCGTGGTAAATTTGCGGCGCGCCCCGACGCCTTCAAGCCTAAAGAAGCGCAAGTGACCATTGGTATTGAAGGAGATCACCTCTTACAAACGGTTCATAGGGATGCTTTCAAGACACCAACGAAAGACGTCAGGCCGGAAATGACTATTCGCCAGCCGACGCTCAAGACCCAGAAGCGCGCCAAGTTTCAGGGCGAAACTCAAGCTAAGAGCGACTTTCCAGGTTTCGGCGCGAAAATGCCGTTGCCACCTAAACCCGTTACACCACCACCCGCCACTCTCCGATTGGCTATGGACAACGGGCGTGATTTTGAAACAACCAATAATAGCTTTTACAAGATCACGTGGGATCCAAGGAAGATTGAACGCACAAAGGCCCTAAAGCCGGATAGCGACGAGTATGTGCCTCCAGAAACAAAATTTGCCACCACCACCATCACCAAAGAAGATTTCAAAGAAAAAGAACCCGTGAAAGTCACGAAAATAAGGCCACCTTCCAAAATCGAGCCAAACAAAGCGAAATTCTTCGACGAAACTGCCTACAACGCTCAGTTCAAGCCATACAGCAAAGTTCCTTACATCCGCTACGGTGATTTCCACGAGACAAACTTTTACCGCAAGCCTCTTGTGAAATTCTACACAGACGGATCAGTGACAACGCAAGACTTTAAGGGCGCTGAAGGTGGACGGCCGCGCACTTGTATTAAACCAGAGGAGAGGTTTGAAAAATCAACTGAAAAGATGGATGGTGCAACAGTTTACAGTGAGGCGTATAATCGCAAGAAGCTCCCGGACTGTTCATATTTAGAATGGATGAGCAAACACTTGGCGAAAAAGGCTTTGGCTACCGTATGACAACTTACACACATGTACTACGAGTAGAAGGAAACAATTTCATTACGCAAATCTCAATTTTTTAACCGTTTGGTTAATTCTTAAATCTATCAAAACATGATTATCTTATGTGTAAATATTTCAAATGAAATCTCGTAAACCAGGTGGTCGGTGTCAAGGATTTGATGTGTTGTCAAGACTGAAATACCATAGACATTAATTGTCCTTTTTTTTACTGAAAGTTGTAAAAAACAGAAAGGTAAAACTATAACAAGATGTCAGCTTTAGAACAAATCAATCGTATTTTGAATGTGGTTGCAGTTTGGCTTATTTTACTTCATCCTCACAGTAGTAGATCCTTCGCGCATGTTTACGCTACTCAGGGAGACTTCTTCGGTGTTCGTACGATCCAAGGCCCTCTCCGCTAGGACCTCATTTCCTAATAGGGTGCTTTAAGACTGAAAAAAAGGCCCATGGTCCAAATAAATATCTCAGTTTAAAAATTGCACTTCAAAGACTGTTGTGCCCAACATTTTGTACCATTCGTTTTGCTTGTTTTTTTCGCGTTACACATCTTTTTTTTTACTAATGAAATCACCGAGATTTGCATGGTCTGATAACGGAAAAACTGAAGACAAAATTATTTAAGTTTCTATTTGGACCTCAATACGTTTTGCTGAAGTTGAGGTATGGTAACGCAAGAGATGGTAAACACAACCAGCCATTCGCGAAATTCTAACTAAATAGGTAAATTTATTTTTAATCATCTTTCTCGGCGTTGCCGTTCTGACGGCTGAAGGTCCCTGTTCCCTTGTTTAGCGCCCATCAGCCATCAACAAAACGTCCTTTATTACTAAACACCTCAACAGATGATTTTGCTTGACTGTCATAGGTATTCATGGGCGCTTACCTTTGCGGTACGTATCAAAAAACCCAATAAACCTTTTAACCCCCGAATGACTAACATCTGTTCCCCCCTTTCTCCATGTCACTCTTGAGGCAAGTATAATGGTCATGAGAATAGACGAAATGCTCGCCAATATAAGAAGCTTCTGGTCGTCAAAAACATCTCCCTGTCAGAACCATATAAAATGAAACGAGGACAGTGGGGAGAGTAAGAATATTGAGTTATTATTTATTATTATTATTAGTTATTATTTATTATTATTATTAGTTATTATTTATTATTATTATCATTAGTTATTATTTATTACTATTATTACTAGTTATTATTATTATTATTATTATTATTATTAGTTATTATTTATTTAGGGTGAAAAGAGCCAACGAAAAGTTGTCAAAATGTTCAATCAAAACACGTGAACACTTATCACATGGAGCAACAGAAAATTTAACGTTAACGGCGTCAGCGTGCAATAAAGAACCCTGGGAAATGATGTTAATGTGATCCTTCGTCTCCTAGCAAATGTCATCACGAAAAATTTAACAATATTTTGAAACATAGTTCAAAAGTCATGTATATTATCTCCAGGCAATGAAACAACAAGGTTAAATCGACCTTAGACGGAGAAATCTCCTATTTCCCACGCGTCAAAGGAAGTTCCCATTCGATTAGCAACAAAGGAGATTCACCTATGCAGACAAGTTGGGTAGCCAGGATAACCATTTTCGCAATCAAACCCGTAAACAAACGGAAGAAGGCAATATGTCGATAAATACTGAGGATTTGCATAACGGCAACATGCATCGTGTTGCAGACAACCCTTGTGCAAACAACAATCGCCGCACACCCAGTGCCAGCACCAGCATTTCTTCCCGCACATTCCAAAACATTCTTGGTCTGATCCATTGCGCATGTCTTCGCAATCGTGCGATTTCTCGTTTTTATTGGCCCCAATGTTACTATCGTACCCAGTCCCTCTTGGAGGTTTGTGAGATTTTCCTGATGGACAAACGCGATTAACAACATTGACTTCATAATCCATGTGATTCCTTGTAAATCGTTCCATAAAATGATCCTTTGGAGTGTTCTCCAGTGGTCCTCTGGAGCGGATGAGACCCAAAAAGAACAAGTTGCATCTTTCCATAACTTTTGACAGGTGAGAACTCGACAAGTATTTGGATAAAGTTGCTGAGATTTTCTCCAGCGTTACAACTTCGTTTTCAGTAAGAGATCTTCTTCCTCTCCTCTTAAAATATGCACCATGTTTGGTTGATCGCAAAATTTCTTTGACGAACACTTGATGATCTCCTGGGGAATTGCTTTCATAGGACAGTTCTTTGAACTTGCGTTTGATGATTTTCCGTGCGAGAGATCTCGACATGAACATCGGTACTCTCCTTTCCACTGCCTTGTGTCTGAGGTAAGTCAAAACATAGAAATGTTTATCTTTCAATCGAGGTGTAAAACTATGAAATTTCATAAGGATTGGCAACCCCAGTTGATAATAACAAATTACCTCGTTATACTCTCCCACCGACGCAGCAGCACAGTTTCTTAAGAAACTTACCCCTTTATTCCTTTACCAGATGTAAACTTTGACTCATAAAGATCAAAATGTAAAATTCTTCTGAAATGTGGTCATTACACCGAAGGACCAAGTACACAGAAGGAAAAAGACATGGTTTTACTCCAGCTACTCGTACTAATTCATTATTATTAATTATTAATTAACTAATTAATTAATTATTATTAATTCATTATTATTGTCAAATCATTTCTAGACTAACCTTGATATGAAAGCTGCGTGTAAACTTTTATTTACTAAGCGATGGAGCAATTGTTTGTTCATGAGAAAATTTCTCGGGCGTAAACAGCAAAGCAACGCAATAGTATTATAACTCAGTGTAACATCTATTCGCTGCCTACCTCAACAATCCAGCGCCGAGAACTTGTAAGTATTGGATATCTTTCTCCTTATTAGTGTGATATATCGCCAAAGTACGCCCGTTCCGATTATACGTTATACGTATTAGCCTCTCAGACATGTAGAAGCAGATCGGTGAAACTGTCTCAGCTTGGCCCTGGCCTTTCCAGCAGCCTTTAATAATACTCCCAGCAGCCCTTGTAAATTCAAGGCTCTGTGTAATTTTGGCCTCCATGTCCAAGTTAAAAAATCGGAGGAAAAAAATAAGCAAACAGCGAGAAGACAAAGATTTCTCCATCGTCTTTGTATAAGCGCTGGTTTTCTTAAAGTGGTATGGATCTTAGACCTTCTACGATTGCTATCAGAAGGTGGTCTCTGGACTTAGTTCATGATTAGATCCCTGTTATGGAGACAAAACAAACTGTCGGTGTGACTAGGGCTAGTGTTTTTCACGTGCATGAGGTATCTTGGACTTTGTGTCGGGAAAATACACTGAAATGTAAACACCACAGTTTCTTTAGCAATTTATCCTCTTTATTCATTTTCCCATAAATATCCTCATTAAGTGGAAATTTTAACAGGAGCTAACTTCATTCAATTACATCTTAAATATTAGTACAGCTTTCTCTCTAACTAGACTCAGAACTATATTTATTGAAAATGCTAACTATTTGTCACTGCTAGAACTTTTGGGAGGGTGGTCCCAGCAGGGGTTTATTTGAACACCCTCCCCTCCCCTCAACTTATGACATATGACAATGGAAATGACACAACATGATATGCCTTGAGATAACGGCAAGAATGTTTTTCCCTTGCTGTGATCCCATCAATTTTTCTTCTACTCTTTATGTGGAAAAAAACCCGCAAATTTACGCTATTGCAGAAACAACTGAGATGTAGATTACCAGCTTTCATGTCTTGTTTTTCTATTTTCAAAACACGAACAGACATGAACTGATAACATTTCTAAACGCAGCTGGGATATCCCCCGTAGCTATCACAATTGAAGCCATAAAGAAATGGAAACAGACAGTATCCTGACAATCGTTTTTTCCTGCAACATAAATCGTGTTCGTAACATCCCTGATGATAACAACAGTCATTACAAACAAGATTCCAGCACCAGCAGCCTGCTCCACACATTCCTAGACATTTGTTTCCATCCGGATCTCCTCTAAGATCTCTACAAGAGCTCCGCTTTCTGTCAAAAAGTCCTAGGTATCTGTGGGCGGCGGTTTGTTGGTCACGCGCGTGCGCAGCGACACCAGGCGTTCCCAGCAAGCTCATGGACATCACATGGAAGGCTTTTGTTGCGGCATTTTCTCTTGCTTCGTCGTGTAGGGCGTGCGAAACATCCAACAGAAGTTGCATTTCTGGTTTCCTTCGAAGCCTCGTCATAGCTCTTTGGTACAGCTCAGAAGAACTTTGTTTCATACCCTTTGGCAGATCTGTAACTCTCTCAGATATTGAGTCTTCGGTCCAAATATTGGATTCCTTTCCGATAACAAACGGCTCGGAGCCAGGATGGGGCCTACCATGCAAAATGAAAACCAAAATGTATCCACCTTCTCGAGGGACTCAATAGTATCAACCGTTAGCCGTACGTAAAACGGCCAACAAAAATTAACCGTTAGGCGTAAAAATGGACAAATCTTAGTCGTCGGTCGTAAAAAATTTTAACCCTAAAAAAAACTTTCTGGCTACAACAATGGAAAGATATTATAAGCATTAGCCATAAATTGGCTAAAAAATCGGGGGGGGGGGGGGAAGAATGTTTCTTAGTGCCATGGATCATGGGTTTTATAACAAAGTCTTTATGAGTTTTGCTTTCTATAGAGATTAATTTTGGCGAGAATCAAAGAGCTAGCAATTTTTTTCCTTGCAAAATTTTCACTCTCATTTGCAGTCCCTCTACCCTGCTGCGCCTCCAACCTTACCTTCTCTGCTTTCACAAGTAAGCTGTTAACCTTTGGAAGGCGGTAGTTGTCTGAAATTGTTTTAGTTTAGCTCAGTTTTGTTTTTGTTTGTTTGTTTTAACGCAACAGGTTAAAAGCATTGTGAAAACTTTACTGGTTGTACAAGCATCGTGCTAAATGATTAAAATTTCATTGGGCGAAAATCACTCGCTTGTTAGTACAACAATGAAGTAATGAATATATGACTGACACTTCAAGGGGTATTTCTAAACAAAAAAATTATTACTAAAACTTACCACAAGAAATTGTGCCCCAATACTTTTACGTGCGTTCTTTGACGATTTGGCTTACTAAATTGCACCAGTACATTGTTGTTTGTGTCTGTCAGTTGTACAAACCCGCGCTGAATCTCGAAGCACAAAGAAAGTCTTTCGTTTTTACAATAGCAACCCTTGACGAAGCTATCTGAGCGATTCTCTAGCTTGAGAGGGGATTCACCAGGAGTACATCCTAAAGTTGCATCACAGAGGCAGACCAGGAGTAAAATTTGAAGCAAAAAATGTTGTAAAGTCATCCTGGAGGCGAATGTTTCTCCGTAGATCCTTGTCAACAACACCTTTGAAGAAGAATAGAAAATTGGCGTTTTTTTAATGTCATTTGTGCGAGTATTGCACCATGACCACGGCGCCAGTAGGAAGAACATGCATTGTGTCAATATAACCCATTTTTCCAGTTTCCCTTCCCCTTCTTTCTTGTGGCTGAATTTTCCAACGAGGAGTTTCGATTACTCAACGTAGAAACTAAATAATTGATATTTCAATCTTGTCTTAAGATTTTGAAGCTACGGAAAATGTTTGATCTCGATGACCTTCATGGCTGCAAAGCGGTATATTCTATATCTATATTGCTGCTAACATCAACGGAATATCGTTTGTCTACAAACAACAGAAAATTTTATAAGTGTAAAGTAGATTCATTGGTAACTTGCCTAATGGCGCTCCTATTTGGGCCCGCTAACCAGCAGGAATTCCTAGTCAGCGGTTCGAGTCTTACCCCGGATAACGACCTGAAATTTATTGACCATTTCTTAAGTTTTCATGTTCAAATTGTCAACTAACGTTACTTTTACGAGTTGAGCTCCAAGGTGGATATAAATCAGCGGAACTCTTTTAAGAAATGATAATGATAAAAAAATGGTAGATAAAAAAAATAAAAATAAAAATTCATTCATTTCGTCAGTCAAGATTCGCCGTGTTGACTGATTATGGCGGCCACTTCCTATCGCCGGTCACAATAATATATACCGCATATTGATGTCTGAAGTTCGCCCGGATTTTCAATTAATTAATGATCAATACACATTCCTCGTCATTATTATTTTTATCAACTGTTTTCAAGGTTTATTCGTCTGACACAATGTTTACAGCTAGTATCTTCCAAATATACAGTTTTCAATCTGTGAATAATCATAAAAAGAAAGCTTGACCTTTCACAATCAGAAAAAAAAAATAAAACTCGTCGAAGTAGAATTCTAATGGAGTAAAGGGTTGGCTTAATATACTTGAAATACCTATCATTTGACAAAAACTTAATTAACATGTAAACGAACCTTTTCAATAAAGACTTGCTTGGTAATTTTCCTTGCAGGAACCCTCCGTTGGTGACGAACTGAAAATGGATGGCCCAGAGTTTCTCCTTAGGACAGAGAGAAAGTTCAAAACGTGGGCAAAAAATTGTCGAGATTCAACACAAAGTCAAGCTAATCAAACCTTTCCTTTCCGTTTTACTTTAGGCCTTGTTAGGTCACTGCTTTCCTTTCCAATCCCCTGCCACTCTTGTTGTCATGCGATTTACCTTAAAAGCAGCCCACATCATTTTAGCTTTCTGAAACACGATATATCTATACAACAAGAATATTGGTTATTTTGTTTAAAGTGGTTCCCATTATAAAAATTTCAAAATATTACATAAATAGCTAGGTTCATAGTATTGTGCTTTATTAGTGTCTATACTCGAAGTGTGGTTGCTTGCCAAGATTTTTTACAGTCTGAATACTCCTCTTGATACAATACACGCCAAATTATTCGACTATCATCGCAGGAAATGAGGTTGATCATATGGCAGCTCAAAATAAATTTTCATGCCAAGAAGATGAATTTTTCCTCTTCGCATAGCACCAAATTTAGTTCAGTTTTTAATTCTTCTTAGCATATACTCAACAAAATATCTTGCTCTTGATTAGATCTCATAAGTCAATGACGAAAGCCGAAACCGAGTTGAGCTATATACAATACGGGATTTTGACTTTCGTATTGAGGTATTGTACTTGATATTTTAGCTTCTACGGTGAAAAAAAAAATTAACTTTATTTGCCTATAGTCATTGTCGTAAATGATCAATAACATGGAAATTAAACATATGAGAATCGATCTTCAAAACTCTGAACAACTCTTTCGAGTAATCTACACCTGGCACGTGCAAAGTAGCGTTAAGAGATGATTTGATTAGGAGTAGTGACTAGACATATTTAAAAAAAGCATGTTTGCCTGTGCAATTTAGGATTTATGGCCTATCGGCTCGTGAAACTTGTAACGCAATGATGACGTAAGTTTTTAAAGTATTGGAGAAATCTTTTATTTGATTTTCTCTGAAAACACAAAAGTAGAATTTGATTTGATTCGGGCCTTTTGTTATTCCCAAAGAGGTTTACATCATCGAGAAGTACGCAAGGACACAAGGACCCTTGATTGTCGGACGTCATCGTCTCGTCTGCGGAAACCAGAAGTGGTTGGTGAAGGAAATATGACGTAATACCACACAAATTGGCTTTCAAGATAAATACCAACATATCTTAGTACGAGGCCTGCAAGTAAGCATGGATAGCATGGATGGAGGATGGGGGCGGGGGGAGTGGTCCTGTGCCCCCTCCCTATCATTTTTTGGGTAGAAAGAAACTGACAATGCGCCAGCACCGATGTGGGTGGTTGTGATTAGTCAAAGTGACAAACCCGGTTAATATACGCTACATTTTGTAAGTGTAATGACTATTTACCCACCATTTTGGCACTTTAACTTTACTTTAACTTTATTGAAATTTGTTACACGTACAGAATAGTATCGGCAGCTGGAGAAGAAAACAGGACGATGTCCCAATTGATATTCAACCCCACTTATATAAACAGGAAATTTCAAGTCTCTAACTCTGACACAAGGTGTCAGGCGTGAATCATGAGGTTTTCGCGAAATGAACGTCACGCATATTTTAGGGTACAAATCACGCCTTACGCTGGTTCATAAATTCACGAATCACCCTCGCCTTTGTGAAAAGTTAACGCATCACATGTAAATTTTGGCCTTAATCCGTGGGGAAGGAGAGAATCCTTCCACCTTTATTTTACCAGGGTTTGCGTTTCAGTTAGCTTGTGCATGCGAGGTTTTAAGTTGGCTGGTTGGGGTTGGCTTATTGTTGCTAATAGTCCATTTTACGGTTGTGTGCTTGGTTGCCAAGCCTTTGAGTGAAGCTAAGGGTGACCTTGTTATGATACAAACCTTGCTGCTTTTCAAATGTAAATTACTTTGTAGATACTGGTCTCTATCACAACAAGGTCACTTTCAGCCTCACTCCAAATCAAAGGCATGGCGACTAAGTGCACAACTGTAAAATGAAGTGTGTGAAGTCCATTTTAAGAAGATTAAAGCCAAAGCCAAAGAAACTCAGAGAGCCCATTATTTAGAACAAAGGATAACAGCATAAAGAGCTTATCAGAAATCAAAGCCATCGTACTTAGCTGTTCTAAATTCCACCATATTACGACTTAGTTTAGCTTATGATTGGTTGAGAAGGTGGTGCGTGTTTTCTGGACCAATTAAAGGAAAGAGTTGAGCAAAATCAAAATAATCACGGATTACTGTTGACACTTCAGTTTTAAATTGGGTCGTTTCCTCTTTGAATAACAGACAGGGATTTTTTGGACAGTAATGTAAATATTCAAGGCATATTTCCCTGTAACAGTTTAAAAGAGATTTAGGAAAAAAATTAGCAACAGTGTCTCGACTGAAATCAGTGCAGTATTGCAACTGTCAAAGTAAACTACTCAATGAATGTGTGAAATTACGAAAGTGTAAAGATCTTATCAGTGACTGATACGACAAGAAGTGTATGTTTCCTATCGTAAAATTACCGATAAGTGAAATCTGCTACAAAATTTTTGTGCAGTATTGGTCATCCTTTTTCGTGAATTTTTTTCTCAGCGGATTCACAGGTATGTGTTCTCGAGACATAACGGAGAGGCGATTTTAGTTGCATTTAACTTAATCCTTTCCCTCAAGTACCGGGTTGGAATTTTAAGAGATTTTTGTCAAATTTGCGTCATGTAGATGTGGTTAGTGACGTAATTCCGAATGCGTAAATACCAATTTGATGTCGTCTTTTTTGGAAGGAAATCCATATAGTCCAAACTGAATTTCTTTGAGTCTTCTTTCAAATTTTTCCTCTCCTACTTACTAAAGTGCAAAACGCAGGAGAACTTAGTCGCAGCTTTGTGAATCAAACTACAGCATTTAACCTAATGGAGAAAAATCCAATCTGTCTTAGATAAACAGATACACGATCACTATGTGCGTGCATAATCGTTCTTATCTCAACGCGAACTGTGTTTATTATCAACTCTATTGAACAGGTTCAAAAGGTCAAGTCTTCCCTTAATGCATTTTGAAACACTTGGCTTCGCACCAAGAACTCACACGAACATCTGTTACTGATATTTGCATACTGTGCGTTCTTCTGACGGGTCCGTGTTGTTAACGTTTGTCAACAAGGAAATAGGTGCCGTTTTCAGGCATTTAAATCTAAACCTTCAATTTTTGTGATCGGGCATTTCAAAGTTTTTTATCGTGGCTCTTTAGCCCACACAGTGGGAGCTTATCCCATTTTCCGCCCTGCATGAGTTGGAGTACTACCTCTCCGGCTCGGCTGGGATTCTTTTCCATCACAGGAAATTGAAGTTATACACGAAAGTCGTTTTTACTCTGAAAATTTCTTTTAAACCAAACTTGGCGCCTTCGCCAGATATAGATCTCCCTGTAAATTCACGGTTTGTGGATATTCAAAAACGAGCCTAGGGAGCCACTTCGCATTCCGTTGTAAATCAAACTCCCAACGCGCATTTTTTTTTTTTTTACATCGGATTAATTCTTGGTGTGCAGAAGTACAACCCTATCATTTTGGATCATTTCCAAAACTGTAGATTTTTGGTAGAGTACGAGATTATCTAAGATACGGTTTGCTGGGATCTAAAAGATTCCCTAAAGCTCGTGAAACTGATTGAAATCCGCATGGATTACAGAAAGTTTGATAGCGATTGCAATTGTCCGTTCGCTGCTAAGGTTTGTAGCCAAAGCACTTTGATAACAAGGAAACATCACACGTAAGCCCACAATCGACTGACAGCATGAAGGGTAGACCTCAAAGTTCCGGTCAAAGCGAAAATAGTTGTGCAAGCCTCTAAATCACAGACCAGATGAGAACAGAATAGACTTCCCCTGGCGAGCCCTAAGAACAGGATGTTATTGAGAAATTGATTATAGGTTTGTGGGCGGAAGTTCTTACACAGATAACCCCGCAAAAAGGCTTATACTCACTTCCGTAGACCCGTTGTCAATACTAGGCAAAAATGCGGGAGCGATCTTGAATAATTTTTCCATGCAATTGAAAATGGCAAGGAGTAATGTATAGAACTTTTTACTCGTTGAGTGGAGGTGTTCGTCATACACAATGCTGGCAACATTTGAGTCGAATTATTTACTTTTCGACATGGTTATCTTGCCCACAGTAAACGGAATTTGTCAATGTAATGTTGTATCGCATAAACAAATCTGAAGTGGTTTAACGCGGCAGGGTGGTAATACAAACATGGCAATGAAAAACTTACGTAAGCCGTCTGGATAAACAACATTTAACATCCAAGTGGTGGAATTTAAAATTAGATTTAAGTCCATAGCGACCCATAACCTCTTTTAAATTCTGTTGATAAATGACCTGAAAAACCACCACACTTTACAACTCGCGGCCAAAGTTGTCCTCAACTTATCATTTGGTGAATAAGTCTGTACTTCGCTCGGCATTCTCGGATGCAGTGAATGATGTGCAGAAAGAACACCATTCTTGGGATTAAGAGAATTCAAGTGCAAAGGATTCTAGAACATACATGCTGACAATCACGAGATAATGTTACACGTCATATTTTTTACTTTGTTCTTATTTTTCAGAGGAAGTCGATATCCTCGCTCCACGTTCTTTATCTCCGTTGGTAAAAGATAAAATAGTGATTTCAGATAAGCGATAACATTTATTGCTTACGGTTATCCTAAAAAAAGTGTTACTCTCTCAATTGCCGACTGCTATTCACAAGCAAGAAAAAAAATTTAGGTTTTTCATCAAGATCAATGTCTGCTACGTACGTCAGCACTTGCTTGTTAAGCAATATATCATAGTTTTGACACACCACACACGTAAATGTTGCTTCTCGTTGTTTACAGGATATGCTAAAGAGAATTTCTTAGTAAAAGAGCCCTTTGGTTTGCATGAGTATGATACTTTTTTTTTTTTTACGTTAAAACACATTTCAAACGTTTATTTACAACTAGGCGGCTTAGGAAGGATTTATTCGATACGTTTGGTTAACAAGTACGTAAGTGGTTGACGAAACAAGATAAATGCCTAGGGGAACATTATTTTCATTTAAAACATATGACCTGAAGCTTGTGAATTAAGCAATTCATTTTAAATGACAGAGTTCTTGTTAGCTGACTTCCTTTAATTAAGGTTCACCGTAAACCGCAACCAATTGATCAGCCTTCGTTCTCGGCAAGCGCGTTTTTGAAGAGCTGCCTTTGGGTGTTACATTAACCACACTTCACAAATGGAATTGGCTAGCTCCAAACTTCACTTATCAGCGTCAGTCTCATCTGAAATTAGTTTTGGAGGATCTCGTCCTAAAAAGAAGCACATTGTTTTGATCGTATTGTTCATTGGGATTATTTCAGCATCGGGCGGTTTTCTTCTTGGATACTTTTTGAAAGGTGATAAAGGGAGAGACAGCCCAAAGACTAAAGACAAAAGTGAGACAAACCCTCTCAACGGCGATGAAGCTTTCAGCCACTTTAAGAAGAATGTAAACACCACAGAGCTCGAGGAAACCTTGAGGTATACTTCTAAACCATCAATGATGTTATATTAAGGCTTGAATTCGGGTCCCTGTTGTTTGACGCAAATGTAACAAAATTGCAATGGTTTTATTTTCTTCGATAATAGTTTGCTTGTTTTATTCGTTAACTAAATTTCACTTCTCGGCCACAAACTATGGAGGATATGTTAATCCGTATGTGGAATGCTAAAAGTAATAATGCGCCTTTCTGCATTATTTTCCTTCTGTAGCTAACCTATAAGTATCGTATCCTCGCTGATTTATCACCCGCGGGTCAAAATATGATTAAATTTATATAATTGCGAACAGACTCTTTAAGGGTATGAAGAATCCGCCAAAATTTGCTTCTCTCCCACTTTGTGGCTTCGTAGCACCGTAGGTATAAGCGCGCAACGTATTTTAGAGACGCAGATTTTTCCTGGCTTTTCCATAGCTGTAGCTCACCTGCTAGATTAAAATCTTTACCTAATGTCTCAACCTTAGAATAGGAATAATGGAACAGATTCCCCGCAAGCTGATTCGACTGTGCTCATTCGTTCGTCGAACAGATATATTTTATTTTTGTCACTAGACAAAACAGGACTAAGAAGGCAACTAATTTCCCCTCTAAGAGGAACAAAACCCAAGACCTTCGGATTTCTAAATGCTCGCGTAGGTACAAAGGCATATGCAAGGTCCATATGTAATATGTGTCCTTCATACCGCCAGATTTAGTGATGTCGAGAGCGTAGTTTCTTTAAAATGATATGGCAAAGAATTCATGTAGGTTGTAACTACTTTTCCCTACTGAAGTACCTACGTTTTTTATATCTCGCTCTCTCGCTTTTCATATATCTTAGTCTAAAGCGAAAAATAACCGAATTCGTAGTTATCTCCAAACCATACAACTGATCGAAATAGTTTTGATATTGGAAGAGGGGGCAAGTTGAAACAGGGCTACGAATTATTCTGAGTTCTTTGACCATCTTTCATCAATTGTCAACATTTTCTCTCAGTTTTGAGGAAGTTTATCAAGTGTATAGCTTTTCTTCATGGTGACATTGCTTGAAGCTTCCATCGTCAAAACTTTCAAAACTGATTCAATTATCAAATAGATTTATTTCACCATAACTGATGACGTACTGATCGACAACCAAATTCCTTTGCTAGAATACAACGTAGACACAGGAAAGCGACTTTGACATCAATATGTCAGGAACTTCTTCCAAGTATTAAGACTGATCTCAAACATTTCCACGGGCGTTTGACTTAAAGAAAAACCCATGTTCCCACAGAGAACTCGAGTTTAAGTTTGAGTTTGGATCCTTTATAAATTTCGGATCCGTCATAAACCTTCCAGAACGCGATGGTGAGGGTATTCAGTTTGAAGGGAAAAAGTTCTCCGCATGCCGCTTTCATCAGCAATGTCGCAAATAACTTCCTGTGTGGTAAAAGAATTAATCAAAAGGTTTGCCGGTTTGTCCCGGGTTTACCACACAAATGACTCACGAAGCAAACTTTTTAATTCCATTTTAGGAAAAGAGACGGAATAACGACCTAAGCATTCGAGTTATTTAAAAAAAACAAAATTGATGGTGGAATGAAAATTTGATTACCGACATTAGCGATCATTACGTCCGTATCGATTCAAAAAATTCTTTATATATCAGATGTCAACATTGTGGATATTGATTTCATTCTTACTCTATTGACCTAATCCTTATGATATGAGGATTTAACCTTTTAGAAAGTGGAGTTTATTCGCATAACTTTACTTCGACTCTGAAATCGCAGCAATACTTGTGATTTACGGTTGGAAAATTCACTCTTAGAAGAAATATCTACTTTGATACGAATGGAAAGGAAGGAGAAGCATTCGCTTTCAATTCCAAAGAAATTCCTCGATAATTATCCTTTTCCGGTGGTATAGGTTCAGTATCATCTTTAATTCTTCAAGTATTTCCTCAAAAAGTCTCCTTGTACAAAGACTCTTTAAGACTCATCTCCAATGTGTATCGCCAACATAAACTTGTCCAGGAAAACGTTTTCCAGGAAAAAAAAATATGATCTAATGTAAGAGTGGCATATCATTCATGAGTAATGGAATCCTCCTTCAATTTTATATTCTTAACAAGAGAGCTGCAAGAACTTTGGAAACCTTACTATTAGATATTTTTCTCGACACACAGTCGACGCGTTGTCTGGAGAATCTTATTGCCACCTTTGCTGAATCAAGCGTGAACTAGTCGGTGTACTAGACATGCACCTCTTGGTTTTCTAGAAGCACTTTGTATTTCTTTGTCGAAATAACATAGTTTGAAAGTGATTAAAATCTCGCTTTCTTTGTATTTAGCCAAAATATTAGATTGACGTTCACCTTGACCTTCCGCTGGTCAAATAGAGAGCAGAGTTCTTGTTTGATCACGAAATTCTGGTCTTGTCCATGGTTATCAGTTGACTACCAAAATAAAAAGATGCTGAGATAATATTTCTACTTATATAAAACTTTTTTTTTTTATGAACTAAGAAAGACGGATTAAAAATCCTATTAATGTAAGGCGTAGTCTTCATGAAAAATTCAAGGAATTCCTTCGCAAGGATGCACTAATCATATCTTTAATTCATTACAAGATGAATCTTACCTTGGATTCTATTGGCCCACAGGTTCTATTCCCAGGTCCCTCATATGGCTGGCGGGGAGAGACAACAACAACTGGCATATAAATTGGCTGAAAAATGGCGAGAATATGGATTTGACAAAGTCGAACTCCCGAAATACAATGTGTTACTGTCTTATCCAGAGGATAACAACCCCAACACCATCTCAGTTGTGTCTGAAGACGGAACATTGGTCAAAACGTTTAAAGAGCAGTTAAAGGTTACATTTCTCTCTTTCCAAAATCTTTTGCTTCAAGTGTCTCTCTGCCACTTAAAAAAAGGCATTCTCTCGAATGTTCGCCAGCATGACATTTCGTTTTCTGTGAAATAGGTCTCACCTGGCCCAGGGATCAAGGCCACAAGTTTGTTTACTCCATACACTGCATATTCCAACAATGGGACTGCTGAAGGGAGACTGGTGTACGTCAATCAGGGAACTGCGAAGGATTTGCAAAAGTTGGAGAAACTTAATATATCTCTGAATGGCACCATTCTGTTGACACGAGACTTTTGGAGTTTCTTTACCTTGGTCTGTGAAGTTTTCCTCTTTCTGACTACATATGCAATTGATATATAATTCAGGATGAGTCATGCGAGATGCGATTAGCGCTATTGTACAAAGACTGCACGTTGCTGTGACTTTCTATTCTGTGTTAGCCCTAGTCCTGGTTTTCGTAGTCCGACAGAATTTTCATTCAATTAAATGTTGATTTTATTTCCAGATGCTTAGGTCAAAGGTTCCATGTTATTGTGAGATATTGCACTTGTTAAAATGTATTTCCTTCAAGTTTTCTACGTTTTAGCGTCTTGATTCTCTTTGAGCCAATTTCTAATTAGGCAAGATTGTCCCACTTTTTTTTTCCACTCGCCATAAGAAATAGAACTGTTTACTTACCTATGTATTTTCTTCTTTTCTCATTAGTCTCAATTAGCCGTCAATAAAGGTGCTAAAGGGATCCTAATGTACCCAGACCCTAACATCTACGCCCCAAAAGGCATAGGAAAAAATTCCACTTACCCCAACGCACCGTGGCTTTCCTCTGAAGCAGTTCCCTTGGGTGGAGTCTATGGTGAGCTTGGCGACCCCTTGTCGAAGGGAGTCCCTGCCAAAGAGGGCATCTTCCAGAAATCAAAGAAGGACTGGCACGTTGGATTACCCATACTTTTACAACCAATATCGTATGGGACAGCACGGTCTCTATTGGAGGAAGTTGGAGGTAAGGATGAACATGACATGATTGACTTGTCCCAGATCAATGATGCACAGATATGAAAAGCGCGAACGATCGGTAGTATGTGCTACAGCTTTGTTGGACAATGGATGAGGAAAGGTGCTCTAACTTCGATAGAAACTTTCAGTAGCTTTGTTTTATACCGTTAAGAGAGTAATATATTTAATAATCATGCATGAATGAAACGGTGAAAACCTCAGCAAGGTGTAATACTCGTAAGGTAGGCTTACGGGGCTTGAAGTTACTGAGGTCAACTGCAGAACGTAAGCATTTTTTTCTATGCTTTACATTAAATTTTTAACTCCTTTAGTCTCTTATTGTAACCCGCGATAAACCAAATATTTATCTTCCTCTACCAGTGGATGATATACCCCCAGAATGGCTTAGAGAGCTCAACATCACGTTACAACTTAACCCTCGAGGCTCTCGAGGAGGGAATAGAACCATAAAACTGACCATCAACAATCAGCTGGTTCAAAAGACGATTTATAACGTGATCGGTACTATTAACGGCTGGCAGGAACCAGATCGGTACGTTTTCTTAGGAAACCACCGAGATGCATGGGTATATGGCGCTGCGGATGCAACCACGGGGATGGCAGTTCTGAAGGAAACAAGCAGAGTATTGGGAAAACTTATGAAGGGCGGTTGGAGACCAAGGAGAACAATAAAACTGTGCAGCTTCGGTGGAGAGGAATTTGGCCTGATAGGTTCTGTTGAATGGATGGAGGAAAACTCTTTGATCTTTAAGGAGCGAGGTGTGGCTTACTTGAACACTGATGTTCCAGTGCAAGGAAATTATGTTCTTTTGGCTCAATCTAGCCCACTGCTAAGCGACATTATATACAAATGGACAAAAATGGTTGAGGTGCCATTTGAAAAGGGTACTTATAAGTCCATATATGATGTAATGTTGGAGCGTGGGCCAACGCCTTCAAACCCACATGAGCCAAAACTTTGGGCTTTCCAGTTTGCGAGCGATTACATACCGTTCTTCTTCATGGCGGGTATACCATCCGCAGATTTTAGTTATTTCTTTGGCTATGATGAGAATAAGGGTGGTTGGCAGCTTTATCCATCTTATCATACTCAGGAAGACAATTTTTACTGGGTGAAGAAATTTGCTGATCCTGAGTTTGAGATTCACCGCGCCATGACTCTACTCATGGGTGGCATGTTGTTGGATTTATCAGACTCTCAGATCATCCCTTTCAATTTATCACGACTCACGAATACTCTTCATCGAGCGTTTAATAGCCTTACGGCCTTACAATCGTCGTTTATGTGGGAAAAAGCGGTACGTGAGAGCATTTCAGCTGTAAACAGATCCATATCGAACTTCTCAAGATCATGCGATTCGTTTACGAACTTTGTCAGTGAAGTTAGTCGTGGAAAAAACGTGAATCCTCTCACAGTGCGATTGTTAAACAACCAGTTGAGCCAAGTTGGAAAACCCTTTATAGATTCCAGACTTATTACCACAAACCCTCATATTTACCTGAATGTTCTTTTCAGGGACACTTTTATAGGCGTTTTTGGAGCGTTTCAGGAAGCCAATAAAACTAATGATACCACAAAGATTCGGGAGCAACTTTCTATAGTTTCAGTAGCTATTTCCACAGCTGCTAAGATCTTAGAACCTATCAAACTTCCCGAGAAAAAATGAGAAAATGGGATCAAAAAACCGTCACCCCGGCTCCATTGACTTGCTTGACGTCCATTTGAAATGTCAGAAAGTTGCAATATGCTCCAACATAATTTGATAAAATTTTGCGAAAGCTGCTTGGTGATAATATAGTGTAAGGTCGCAGAGACCATTTTTCGAAAAAAGTAGATATAGCAATTTGTACAAATTAATAGCTAGTCGTATGTATTTAAGTTTAATTACTTCGCCATTAAAACGACATAACTTTTCCTTCATAAATAGGGATTCATTTGCCATTTTTGTGCGTTGGTTATCATTTAGTAAACTTAGAGTAGGTAATTTAAATAAACATGTAGGTAAACTATACCTTTAAATCATCAGTCAGTTGTGAGAATTTTAAAAATCATTTGTGGTGGTTCAACATATCCCAAGGTTCTTTTCTATGGCTAAATCCAGACGTAGTTGTTTTGGATCAACTGCCTCCATAATAGGTTGAAAAAGATTAGATCAAAGTATCATATTTCACTGGAGAATAAATTTTTTTATAAACATCTTCACGTTGAGGGTACTTTCCTTACGCTATTTCTGTCTAAGGATGCTAAGATTTCGGATATACTTTAGTTTGCAAAGATGAAAGATAATGATATTGATCAGAGACTAACAGTGACAGGGAGAGCAACGACGACAGTGATAGTTACAGACAGGGATAGTCACAGTGACAGGCAGTGATAGTGACAGGACAGACAGTGACGGTTACAGTGACAGATAGGGACAGTGACTGCGACATTGAAAGTGACAGGACAGACAGTGATAGTAACAGTGACAGTGGCAGTGGCAGTGACAAAGACAATAATAATGACAGTGACAAAGACAGGGACAGACAATGACAGTGACATTAACAGTAATAGAAAGTGACAGTTACAATGACATTTACAGTGACGGTGACGGTGACGGTGACGGTGACGGTGACGGTGACGGTGACGGTGACGGTGACGGTGACGGTGACGGTGACGGTGACGGTGACGGTGACGGTGACGGTGACGGTGACGGTGACGGTGACGGTGACGGTGACGGTGACGGTGACGGTGACGGTGACGGTGACGGCGACGGTGACGGTGACGGTGACGGTGACGGTGACGGCGACGGTGACGGTGACGGCGACGGCGACGGCGACGGCGACGGTGACGGCGACGGCGACGGTGACGGTGACGGTGACGGTGACGGTGACGGTGACGGTGACGGTGACGGTGACGGTGACGGTGACATTGATGGTGAAATCAGCACCATCAACTAGATATCACAAGAAATACCTGCAAAAAATACAAAAACATACACAAAAGTACAAAGATGGGAAACTATTAACTTGAGTCTGAATATGCGGTTACGTGTGCATTCATCCTAGACATCTTTATCCTGCGTGGCAGAAGAATAGACGACGAGAAATTTAAATGCTGGCGTGTTGCAAAAGTCGATCACATCATAAGATAGGCAACCCACATATCGAGCCCCATATCAATTGCAACACTCAATGTAAATTGCGTCCGAATTGAAAAACAAATAACAACAACAATAGCAACAACACCGCTTGAAAGACGGGCTTATACGTGTTCTTGACGCGAGATGCGATACCATAGGACAAGTGACACTTAAACGGTGAAGTGTCTTTCGCAGGACTAGCAGACAGGATTACCTTTAAGAATTAACGAAGAGTTTACTTTATTCTTTCCTAAATCTACTTTGGCATTCCTCCCAGTCATTTGCTACAGTCGTCAACAGATGTTTGTGTGCAGCTGTGTTTCTTTCTGTATTGACAAATAACAAAAACATTCACATGAATTCTTAAGAATGGTCCTTTTTATAGAAAATCTCATAAAAGTGGAGGGAGATGATTAAAAACCTCAAATTTGCAATTTGGGTTTCTTTAGGTCAAAAATCATTACTGTACGTACGAAGACCCCATGGACCAAATGGAGTGTCTTTAAAATCTTTGCCGTTGCAGTTTTGTAGTGTGAGTTATAACTTGATAATCTTATTGCTTCACGACGGATTTGAAGGTTTTGTTTTCCAAATATGCAAGTAATGCTCTCCTAAGAATTTCTCAATCGACAGGTTCGGAAATGCTTATTTGTTGTGTTGTTGGCGCGAGCGTTTTTGACCATTACACCTCTTATACATATAAAAGAACAAGTATTAAACACACAACATCGCCATGAAAGCAGTTATAAATTCTATTGTTTTCCTTCGCCTTACTTATAGACCTGATTCGATGACAAATGTCTCATTTCGGTTTTTCTAACCTAAAGGTCTTAAAATCTAGCTTATCTAGCTAGAGGCCCCATATATTTCTGAAGAATAGGCCATTCGTTCTAACTAAATTCCATGGGATTTTCAGCCCTTGTTTCGTTCCAATGTCGTCTTCAATGGGTTATTGCTTAGGTAGAAATTTTCGTTCCATAATTTACTTACACTTCTGATCAAAATTATTAACGGTGCTTCATATGCTTTGCCGACTTTCCCATCAACAATTAGTTGTGCATTGCCACTACTATTGAACTGCGTTTAGAGAAAAAACATATCATTACTTCTTTTGTTAACTCTAAACAATTGTCAGATACAGACTCGAAAGGAAAAACAAATTCACTTTAAACTGGCGTTACCTCACTAAAAATTCAGAATCGTTTCCTTTTGGAAAATATAGCTTTTAAAGCGGTGGTAATTACTCTAAACGAAATTATTGTTTAACGCATAGGATCTTTATCTCACAGGCTTGAAAAGGATCATCTAATCTAGAGGAAAAAACAACATTTGTTTCTTATTGCAGAATTTATTTGAATCGAATTGATTTTAATAAAAAGGAAAGTGTAACGACTGGCTTGTCTCGTTTGTGACGTATTCAGTGCACCTCGTTTATCTTAGTAAGAAGAATACCGTTTCAGTAGGGAAAGAAGTTTTTTGAGTTATCAAAAAAGTTCCACATCAGTTGGGTTTCAAAACTCTCACTTCATTTCTAAATGCTTTTGATTGGAAGGGAAATTTCTTTCTTTTTTTCTATTTTTATTGAAGGATTTTTTATTACTATTTCCTTTTTCAAGATACCTTTTTTAAGAAAAAAAGCAAAATACCAAAAAACAAAGAAACAAAAATCCACCCATCCTGACAAAATCCCTGACAGGGGGAACCTCACTAAAGACCGCGACTCTGCTTAGTGTTCAGTGTTCTAGAGAAGTCCACAACTGCGGAAACCATGCTTCATTTATGAAGTGAATAATGCGAAAGGAACATGCTCAAGGACCTGATTTTACGAATGGATCGGGACCTAACCAATCCTCGGTCGCTCCGAGATAAACTCCTTGGCTGCGCCGTGTAAATGGCTAACTGATCTGCCACAAGCCAATTGGGTTTTTCAAGCACTTAAGTTGATTTCAGTCATTGTAAAGTGCTATTGGATAGCCATAGAAATAGCGCTATATTAATAAAGTATTATTATAAGTATTACAGCACTGTCACCGTCACCGTCTGTGTCACTGTTATAGCCACTGCAACAAATTTTGATCCATATTGCTTCATTGGGGCCATTGCCTTTCCCGAATAGCACAGCCCTTTGATTCTATTTTCCAAAACATTATTGTTATAAGCTCAATTCGAACTGGTTATGGTAAAAACTACTTACTAAAAAGCTATTTCAAGGATAAAGTTGTTTTCTTGTGGCTGCTTCCCTCCTGTTTCGACCTGATGAATAAAACCTCTACAGGCAGTTATAAAATGTAGTGGATTTTCATGAACTCTACTTATAAATTGAGTTTGGTTTGTTGTGCGAACCAAACCATTTTATTTCGTAAGTGAAGACCCTTAGAATCGCCAGTTAGTCTTCTCAACTGGATAACAGATGCACTATCTAACTTTTTCCACAGAGTTAAACTCGTGGCAGCTGGTTTCTATCAAGGGGCCTTTCCTGTCCGGGCTTTCCTCAGAGTACCAAATTGGGGGTCTTGCTTATGTTTACCGATTTAGCTCCTCATGATGCTTTCTTATGGAAATATATCCAAAATACAACGGTATCAGAGGTTGTTCCGAAAGGAACTGAATTTAGAAGAAAAATTTCCAGCTTTGCCTTGACAAAGGTATATCTGTATGTATAACCAATAGCCTCTACTTGATTTGGCTATTCGGCAAACAATTTTCCTAGAGCTTCGCTCTCGAAAATTGTTTGCATCTTGGAACAGGTAATGTCCGCGGACAGCTCCCGATATCCGTACAAATTTTCCCTGCTTACTTCAGGATGTTTTACTTTTTTTTCTTTTGGGTGTTCTCAAGTACGACTTAATCAACAAAAAAAGATTTCCTTTCTTCTGTATCAACCACAAACCCTCTCTCATCTAGAATTAATTTTGAAACGAAGACTTATCGCAGTGGACGTAAGCTTCGAAAATTGGGGAATATCGCTTGAGTGATATCCGAGAATGTCACCCACTTTCAGCTAGGGGATATTCGGTCGCGTGTTGCGTTTGAGCCAATTGAGCGCCAGCAGAGATATTTGAAGGATCATTAATACAGATATATTTCACTAAGAACTATTAAACCACACCACGAGATTGGAGAATGCCATAAGCTGTGAGTCACCCTAAGTTACTCGGAGACAATACTACCAGCTTCCATTCTCGGATGGTGGTAAAGAAAGGTTCTACTCAACCGTATTTCTCCGGGTAAACAATATGCACCAATGTCTTAAGGCCTACCTAGTAAGGTTCAACACCAGCTGGATAAGGTAAACTAATGAATGTGCTGTTCCAGTTTTTCAAACCTTGTCGCCTCAATAAGAAATAGATGACTTGGAATGCATACAAAAAAGGGGCTTTTTCCGTCGTTCTCGCCGCCTTATCTTATAAGCAAACGTTTCTAGCAACGCCTGACCTATAGAGTTCTGCCCATCCCGGTCGCATGGTATCTTAGAGAAACAGCTCCCATTATTTAGTACCCTCCTTTCACTGTTCTTCCCAACGTAACTTTAGCCATGCAATAACTCTTTTTGATGTCAAGGATTGGGAACCAGGAATAATTTTATTTCGCATTAATGCATCTGGGTAGTCTCCTTTTAAAAGCATATTATTCGAATCCTACATAATCCTCCTTTGCCTAATCCTAGTCTCTTTCTTTTTTTATTTTTTTTTTATTTTCCTGTCTATGGAAAACAGTATAACCTTTTCAAAGCTTATTGGAGTCTTGCACTGTATAATAATGTCTACAAGTTTATCCCAAAATGTACGTAATCTAGCATCTCGCTGCGATTTATATATAATTAAAGTACCTAGCTTTCACATATTTAGCTAATTAAATGATGATGAATTGCCGAGTGGTTAATTGTTGTATCGACTCAGACCTAATTCTCTAACTTACTTCAGCTTAAGATTGCGATAGGCCGGATCACTTAATTACTCCGATAAATAAACGTCACCAGCCTCTACCTCTCCATGAAAGACTTATTTTCTTTTTCTCTAATTTACAAAAACAATCCAACCAAGCAGGAGGACAATGGAAACCAATCAGTTGCGACTAAAGAATTATCGTGGCCTAAAAAAATCATAATACATAACAATTGGCTTTTACCCGTCGCCTATTGAATCCATTACTTAATGATATTCCTATTTTAACTCATATTTGCTGGATGGGTGCAATTTAGTGGCCCACACTGCACCACCATCAGTTGGATTTATCTTTACATTCTTTGGTTGGGAGTTTCTGTCGTTCGGAGATGGGAAAACAGCGTTCGTTCGAGCTTTCATTCGAGCTTTAATCTGACCAATCGTCTCTGTTTTAATTTTGCCCTCCAATCGCTCCCTAATCTGTTAATAAACATAAGGTTTACATTAATCAGTTGCTGAGTTCTAAAATCGGCTTATCCAGGTGGGCCACATTCCGTAATGATTTGCTCAATGTTATGATATCTTTTTTTTAGTTTTGATCTTACCTCGCTATTTCTCATACGTTTCCAGTGCAAGATGAAAATCAGGACACCCTACAATACAAATATAATTATGGATAATAAGTCATTTTTTTTAAAACACAATATCATGACAAGTAAAGAGATCTTTGCGGAACAGAGCAGTTATTAACTCAGCAGAACACAACTTGTAAGTTTATGAAGGGAGAAAAACAGATGGTTGAGGGATTGACCGGCTGATGAAATTATTCATTGGCTAAACGGCAAAATGGCTATTAAAATGATAAAAAAAATTTTTAAAAAATTAAAAAACTGAAGGAATGACTGATAGATGGGTAGGAGGAAGGACTGACTAAAGATTGACGGTCTGATTGCTACATTGATTGACTGATAGCTTACATTAGCAAAGCTAAAGGAAATTTACAGCAAACCTGAGTAGAGTTGAGAATGGTAAAGATGTAGGCGAAAGCCTTGTGTAGTGGTGACAGAAGACCAAACAACCAAGTGATGCCAAGAAAGGGAATCATCAGAACACATACTCTGATGCCAAGTCTAAAAGAGGACAAATGATAGCAAAGTTCCAGCTTTCAGATGACTTTAGCTCTCATCGTTATAACCAAACAGAAAATCATGTAAATGAGCCCTCTCAACCCTCGGACGTACAGGCACAACCTTACCCCAACTTTGTTACGAGAAGGCGGGGAGGGGGGGGGGAGAACCCTGAACCCTTACTTTGCGCTATTTCGAAAAGTTTTTAACTTACATAGATAGCCTGTCATGTCGTCTACAAGATGACGTTGAAATTATGAGATACATATGCAAGTGCCACTGCCGGGGTGGGGAGAGGGTAGTGACTCCATTTAACATGGTGCACGTTTTTAGATTTCTCACTTTTCCACTTTAATTTTTGGCTTGCCCATCATTAATAATAATTAGACTCAATAAGAAAATAAATAGTGAGTTTACTATACTCTCCTTCTTCAACTTGAACCCTCCCGTAGCTAATATCAACCCTTAAACCACACCTCACTTGTCATTTAATATTTCGCGTATCTGTATGCCAATTTTTATGAAGTTATCAGAAAATATGTCTGCAAGATAAGTTAACAGCTACTGAAGTGGACAGTCGCCCAATTAAAATCCTTTTGAAAAATTAAAAAAAAAGGAACGATATAAAGCTCCATCTAACCGGACTCGCTGAATCTTGTTGGCTCTTGTTTGCGGCAGTGTGGTCAACTTCCTTGTGACACGTGCGAGTATAAAACTGTTAAGCTAAAAAAAATCAACGCAAAACAAAAAATAATTAGATCAACAAATAAATATAAAGAAAAGGAAAGAAAAACGATAATGAAGCAACGTGCATGTCTTATAGGTCAAGTATCTTATTATAAAGTTATAGTTTTATTATTGAATTGCAAAATCTGATCATAGCTTACAACTCCAGTTGCCGTCAGAAATGTGACAAATGTCCAGATCAAGTCATAAGTTGACGGAAACCAACAACTTAAAAAGAAGAAAAGAGGAAAGACAAAGCTAAGGAAACGAGGAACTGGCAAAAAATCTCAAATCGAATAAAATGAGTGCGCTTTGCTGCCTTAAAAAAAAAAAAAGAAAAAAAAAAAGGAAAAGAGAATTAAAGAGATGATGGTATTTGAAGGCTGAAAAGGAATGTAAGAGAAAGAATGAAAGAGGAAATGAACAAACAAGCCAAAAAAGCAAAATGGCAGATGTGAGCACAACGAAAAAGAAATATAAGGGTATTTCGTTTTAAAAAGGACACCCAAGTCAGAGATAAACCAAAACATGGAGAGGAAGCAAAACAGGAGGTAAAATTAACGTAATCTTTGTTTCTTACTATTTATCGCTGGTGTAGCTTTGAATCCATCCTTTTCCAATTGCGATGCTGAGAGAAGTGCTGACCATAACGACGGGGAAACCTTCACACACAAAGAGAGCGGGAGGTCAAAGTTGGCGTGAAATCATATCAGCAATAAATCCATTCAAAATACGGCAGATCAGCGCTAACAATGATAAAAGTCATACCCCATGCCATGACGTGATAAACCATCAACCTATTGCTGATGTTGCAGACTTTCACAATCAACAAATAAAAGTGGATTCCTTCCACTAGCATCCAGCATAAAGCGGCCATGAGGAAATATTGGGTAAGAACTGCTGCTGTGATGCAAATGGCCTGCAAAAAAGGATAAAACGTTTTTCTTGCTCTTTCTTTTTCTCGTTCATTAAAAATTTTAAAAATTTAATAATAATTTCGTTTAATACATTTCAAATTTGAAATAGATACCAAAAAATTAAAAAAAAAAGGCGTGATAATGTTTATGACTAGGCCAGTAATAAGATTAATTAATATAATGTGAGTAGAAGTCACTCACTGGGTTATCCATGGCGTGCATTCCAGCGAGAAAGCTTATTTGACTAGCTGCAAGCGATGTGACGAGACTCAGTCGTATTTGAGTGAGAGGTTCATGAACATCTCTAATTTAAGAAAAAAATATACCACGGTGATTTCTATATATTCCTTTGTTAGTATCAACCAATCAAAGGCATAAGAAAGTTGACATTGATTACTCACGTGAACAAGGAATACATGATTATGGTTGAAATCATTCCGATAATGGAAAGGCTTAATCCTATGTAGGTGATAATCTCCAGAATATCTTCGTACTTCTGAGACAGCTGTGTAACAAATCAGAAACAGAAGGAATAACATCTTTATCTACTTAGGGAACATATGAGCAATGCTTAAAGCAATATTGAAAAACGTAATACCACACTGGCACCACTGTCATCAACTAAGACAGCAAAATGAGTCAAATGATTGCAGCTGCAGACTGTTTCTTCTGAGTTGCTTTGAGATGTAACTACATGACATCCATCTTTCGAAAATCCATCATGACTAAAAAATAGAACGAAATAATTAAACCACTAAATACTGATACAGTTTTTATTTTACTAAAAGGGATTATTCACTGCCGGTTGGATATCGAAGACTGGATTCCGAGCCAGTAAAACAGCATCAATTTGCCTGCTCGCGACATGGCTCATTTGTGTCTTTTTAACGTCTCGCTTGGCTTTTGGCTTTGATGGGTTTTGAGTTCACCATTCAGAAACAGGGGTAGTGTGGGATGATAACCGTCGAAGGAAATAGAGATAAACTTTCAAAGCACAGTCCCTTCATTGCTATCTTGTAAAAACTTATCGGTCAGACGTCTGTAGACTTCCTTTCAAGACCGCTCCAACCAGTTGGACCGTTACTCGAACGTGTGATCGTGTGATCAATGATATTAAATCTTTATTGCGATTCGAAATTCAATCATCTCGGAAAAAAGTAAGGATATTGTTTGTGATGGTGATATTAGTTATTTTCCTATTTTTACCTTTTGCTGAGGCCACTCCAGAACATGCAATGCTTCTCTCTTGTATCATTCTGAAAGATGATTCAAGTTTTATCTCTTTTAAATGATTCATCAACTAAACCTAAACTCATTGAAACTGGAACTGATGTAAACTGAAACGACTGAATATAAATTTGCTTTCGTTGATACCTTCAGGTTCTTGAACGTCAAAATTACATTTTCTTGTAACTTTGGAGGTTTGTGATCCATAGCTGCCATCATAATCCTAGTTTTCACATGCCTAATAAAAAAAAATATTGTATATGAGATATCAATCAAAAGGTAAAAAACAAAGGTCACTTTTCTATTCATTGCGTGGGCAATGACGGACTAGTAGCATAAACATCAGTTTCTAATTAAGATCTGTGAAATATTCTAGACATATACAAATTCGGAGAAGCTCTAACAGGGATCCTGTAACTTCGGTAGGTGGTCATAACGCTTATAATGATTCTTTTTACCTCAAGTTTGACGTTCAGGTAATAAGCAGTAACGCTGATCGTTTTCCCTACTTTGTTCACTCTTGCTTGTCCATCTCAGCGGGACAGAAAATATCCATAAAGCTAAATATACTTTTATGGTGGGGTCTACTTACCACTGCACGTTCTACTATTTCAATTTTTCATCGACGGAGTGTTTAATAAGACGGACGGAGGGTATATTATTGAAGACTAAACGTCCTTTGAAACTATTTCTCCGATAGTTAAACTAGTCTCTTACTAGGAAAAAAAACCGACTGAATCCTTGAATATTCTCAAATGCACTAGCAGCTATATAATGTTAGATATTTAAGCCATTCACGTACCATATTTTGTCAGACTTTGCTTGGAGTAAATCATGTAGATCCTTGTACACACATCCTACTATCACTGATCCTAAAAGAGAGCAAAGCAAACACCATTTAGCTTAGATGTCAGTTAACTCAAATTTAAAATGATTGCGTTCTATCGAAGATGGTATACAGTTGCTATGAGTTGTTTATCGTGTTTCAAGTTGCATTTCAATAAGATACTGACGAGTCAAAGAACCTAGGAGTATTAAATGTTACAAGATAGCTGCGGTGTATACAAACCGTTGTCTGGAAAATTTCTTGAGGAAATATTGATAGAGGCTTGCCATTCTTGTTCCTCTAGATAGAAGTCACTTGCATTTTGTCTGTAACCATTTTGAATAGCAAGGACTTACAAAAGAAAGGGAAATATTCAATGTAAATATAACATTGATATTCAGAATTATAAAAGTAACAAACTAAATTCATTCAGTCAAGTGGCATTGTCTGTCAATGAATCAGTTAGTCACTCAATCTCCCTGAAAGTCAGAAGAAACGTCAGTCTGTCTCAGCCATTTAGTCAGTTATTCGACTGGTCTGTCACTCCGTTATTCAGTCTCTCCTTCTGTTCATACTTACACATATTCCGGAGATCGATCCTTACTGAACGCCTCGTTCCACTAAGATGGTACTTGCCATAGCTAAGAGCAAACTTCTCGAAGGCAAATGCCACCCTAAAGATATATTCTGTTCTGAATTCATTTACTCCAGGCTGGTCTTTTCCAGAGATAATCTTCCGGTATTTAACGGTGAAGCTTCCAAACGCATCAGCAGCTTCCTGTAGGTGCATAACTACATTTTATTCCTGTCTTTTTTCACTAACCAGGATAATAAAAATTAAGCTTATGACTGATATAATGCGATGACTGGCAAAGGCAGCATTGAAAGGTGCTTACGGCTCAAAGGCAACAACTATCGAAAAAGTAATACGTAATGCATTCTCGTTTCAGCAAATTCCATCCCAAAAAAAGAAAAAAAATACCACTGGTCCTCTCAGAGTTAAAAAAAAAAAAATCACCTACCTAGAGCACCAATTACTTTGCAACCATAGGCTAAAGAGTTTCCGTCATTGCGCGGAAATTTACTCGCCTACAACATATATATTTTATAACACTTACAAATCGATTCGAAGCTGACAATTGCGTTTCGTTACACATCTAGAATAAATGGCTTTTATACCTTATTATTGAAATCACCTACCTGCAAGGAATTATTTCTGGTGACATTTAGGCTGCTGAGTTTTGAAACAGAATCATCTGCCTAAGATAAAGAAAACGGTGGTTAGATATATCAACCACAAATTCCATGAAAAATAAGAAATATTACGATATATGAATAAGAAAAAATAAAATGTATATTACCAGCTTCTGAATTTCTTTCAACCGTGATTTAGAAGATGTTGATAATGGAGTTGAAGAAAATGTTGATGTTGGTGATGGCGATGATACAGACTTTAGTACTGATGAGTGCTGTGTTGATGATCTCTCTTCTGAGATGTTTGGTGGTGGGGATGTTATCGACACTAACGTCAACGATGGTACTATTAATGAAGACGGTTTTGTTGACAGCATTTCTACTGGAAATATTATTAATGACGAAGGTGTTAGTGATGACCCTGCTGTTGCTGACACTGTTGAGAAAGGAGATGTTGGTAGTAATGCTGCTGCGGTTGATACTGATGATAACGATGGCTTTAACAATAACCTTGCTGTCGATGATACCATTGACGACTGAGTTGCCGGTAATAATCCTGATGGTGATAAAACCGGTGATGAAGATGGTTTTGGCACCAAGAACCAGTTGCAAATATAGAAATGAAAAACTAATCGTAAATCACACCAAAACATCAACCAAAAAACAAACAAATAAAGAGCCAAACAAGCAAAAACTTGTAGAGCGGAACTACCTTGCAGCAATCATGCACATACGTTTTAGAAATTATTTGCTGAGCGTGCGATGGATCGCACTAACACCTACGAGATGGCAAATAAGCAATTGCATATTCATAGAGTGCCATTGGAAAACTGTTCAATTAAAATCTTGCTGCGTGAGCATGTATATATACCTTATTTTTGGATTAAATCTCATAATTAAAAAAATCTAGTTAGTCTCGTAAAAACGAGGGGAGGTCGATTCTACATTCAAGTGCCAAAACAGCAAAATGATTCGATGACATGTGCATCGCTTTTCAATCTGAGCTTAACGAAAATGAATCAAATTTTCACACAAAATAATGATGATAAAATAAAAATGCAAAAAACGATAGTCTCTTAGAGTGAACGGCTACAATACTTCCGATACTTGCACTCAAGCATGTTCAGGCTCCAACCTAATATAGTGTCATATTTCACGATCAAATTTATATGATGGAGCCTTAAATACATTGATGATTTCGTCTTTTTCATGGCGATGCTGCTCAACTGTCAGCCTAATTTTCCCCTTTTTTTGCTACGTTTGAAACGATAAATCACTTTTTTTTTCAAAACTCTTCCTTAAATTTGTTCAAGATATCATACGTCAGCACCCTCCACGGCTAGTGTGTTGGTTACATGTAAATAAAGGAGATTTTAAATTATTAACTAATTGTGATGGTATGCGCGTTCTGATTGGTCAACTGACTAGCTTAAATGAAAGTATGTAAACGCAATTGTGACGTCACGCTTTTAGTGTTTAACGGCGCAGTTTAAAAGTATTTGTAACTCAAAGCTTTCGCAGTACTTTCAGAATAATCTCGAGAACAAATGAAAAATATTATAAAGAGGAAAAAATGCCAAATTCTGATTCGGGGTTAGCTGTGTCTTCCCTTGGGCCCAAGGAATAAAAATTAACTAAAAACAAAACAAAAAAACAGAACAAACAAAAAAAAAAAAACAGAACATCAGTGCTCTGCCTACCTTGATATTTGCGAGCGTGACCATTTCCTTTACCGGGCTTAGCCGAAATAGGTAGTAAACCATAGGCTCCTGAGTAAACATATTCCAAAGGAAATTTCGCATTTAAGTACTGCAATAAACTCCTCCAGGAGAAATCATTATGAATTTATTTTTTATGATTATTATTCAAAACCCATTACCCTTTTATCATGGCTGTCTTTTTTTGGAAGCATCAAACCAGATATCACGGCTAGATTTTTCGGATACCTTTACTATGTTTATTTTCAGTTTTTCATTTATTTTTGTGAAAGCGTGTTTTTAGAGATTATCATACAAAATGAAGTGTCATTCTAGTTTTATTGTCAGGGCGCTGATCAATGGCCATCTGGATATATTTTCTTTTCTGTTTTATTTGGCTTCGGGTACCATGACATAACAGGACTAAAACTGAAAATAATACATGATAAAAATGAAAAAAATAAATAAAAAAAAACCTGAAAAAGTAAAAGTCAGACCGACGAGTTTCGTCTACCTTTCCCTTTTCATGGCAACACTTAAAAGTTGAAAGAAGAAGATTATACTTACCGAGAATAAAATATAATAGCGAGGCAATATAAATTTTCCGAGATAAATACCCACTCTGCATCCTACCAAGTCTTAGTCAGGGATATGTTTTAGTTTCTGTAGCAGTCCTCGTTACGCAATTTGTACACTATCGCTGACATACGCTTTTTCCCAATATCTTTTCCAATTATTTTCAGAGGTAGGAAAGAGTACATAGCTCTAGGTGGACGATTGCCATCGTACTGACAATACTCATCAAAAGTTTATTTACAACGAGCCAGTTACGGCTAAGACTCTTAGCAACAGATGCTCAGCAGATTTTTTGATCAATGTAAGTAAAATTCACGGCATCTATATTGTCAATGATGCAAATTTTCAGTAAACAGAAAAAATTGTATATATATATATATATATATATATTATGATCGTTAAATTTTATTTCTTATGGACGCTTTGGCAATTATTTCGTATTAAAGCTCACCAGTCTGCATCTGGTACACGAACCTTGACGGCTAAATTGGCTATTCAGTCGTTACTGATGAATACTTAAACAATACACCACTCTCTCTAATTAACCCACGCAGAATGTTGGGAGAACACGAGAGAAGCCGCTAAGCACAGCACTTGCATCTTGCTTCATTTCCAATTGAAGTGACTTGGATTCCTGAAAATGTTCCAAACGACAACTCTGCCGAAGACCGTGTCTCGTATTGCTGGACTTAGGTCCAGTGTTCTTACTTTTTTTCTATATTACACCTCTGAACTCCCACTTGTTTATTTGTAACAGAGCAGTGGGAGCTAGGACTCTCAGCACTAGGTGTTAAGCATTGTTTTGACCGAAACAAAGGTAAATTTACTGGCAAGTTTTTCAAGTGTCAAAATGCAGAAAATATTCGTGCGCTTGTATGCATAAGATTATAACTTTCTTTGATCATAATGAACTAAAAATTTTAACAACTGTTTCTCTAAACGATAACTGCGTTATGCAAATGCTAGGATAATTAAAGTCTCCCATCTGTTATTTTCGGAAACTTCAGGTTAAACACTATTGGTTAACACAAACATCAAAAGCCTCCCACCTGGCTTAAAGTTTCGTTATCTTTCCCAGCTTTAGTTTTTGAAATGACTTCTAGTAAGTCAGCACTCGGCAAAAATATCGTCAAGTTTTGAAAATTCACCTACAAGCATCGCTAGACTACCATTTACTAGAGTATCCTTTTTTATGTTTTATCTACATTTTTGGAATGCTACCCCATAAAAACTAATCCCTCTGCGCCTGGAACACAACACTTGAGGGCAAAAATGGCTGCTGAGACGTAATTTGGTGAAAATATCCATCAGGACTTTCCAACTGCATTAATAATCAAGGAAGCAAACATGCATACGACCAAAAATGAAGGAAATACATGAATCGCTCTATAAAATGGCGTGGTGTCCTAAAAAAGTCTCAATCTTCATTTTGATCGAAGAAATGTCTTGTAATGTTGAACGTGTGTCAGTATTCAATGCGTTTTTATAATTTTACCTCTGAACTCCCACCATCATAGACGAAAGTTAGCAGGTGCGTGCCTCGACGATAAAATCAATCCTTGCTATTAACGTAGAAAACACCAAGAGTTTAATGCCCAAACATTTTCATTGGGTTTACCTATCCTTCGGTCCTCACCCCTCCCCTCTAATTCACGCTCTTCAGGACTATCGTTAGCAGTCCGGGCCATGGACAGTTTCGTCTATATATTACCTTTGATATGATTGGTCTTAACAAAACCAAAACAAACTGATGTGACCGAGAGAGGAGTGGGATAATAATTTTTCTTGTTAGCTTTCTCGTGGCGGCCTTGTTGTTATGCAAAGGAGACGGCGGAACAGAATTCAAATTTCAAGAGACATCATTTGCTTATTTCTGTTATTCATATTTGTATTACTGTACTACAAATCTCATTTTCGACAGACATGTCATCTCTATTCTGGTGAGATGTCTAAAAGACACCTCGTGGAAGATAGTGACCGATCAAACAACATATTTACTGCAATCTCATCTGAAATTTCCACATGAATGTTAAAAGAAATGTTTCAATCAATCAATCAATCAATCTTTATTCGTCCTAAGACATATCTTAAGTTACATCACTTGTTAGGAGTCTAAAAATACATGACATACTGTATATATATATATATATATATATATATATGTGAAGGAATCAAAGAGGACGCATCGATTCTCTGTTACTCTGAGTTTCGCGCCTAAGCGCTCGTCAGACAGAACTTTATTCAATGAAGAACATACCTCCTTATATACAAATTAGATGAGTAGCTAATTAATTCACTAGTGTGTTGATCAGAGTAACAGCAAATCGATGCGTTTTCTTTGATTCCTTCACTTATATATACCCAGCTCTGCTACCACAGCATTGAGCACTTTATGCCAAGGTAGACTCTGCCCCCACCTCTGACCGCGACACCCAAAGATGGATCAAGTCCGATTCGATTATTCAACTAAGAACATACCGATACCGCTAAGAAACAGTTATTTGAAAAGCCTCAAAGAGAAAGTAGAAAGTGTCATCAAACGAATGAGATGGAAAGCGTTTTTCTTCGACCGCAATGAACAAGATAGCAACGATGCTATAAATAACGATAATTTTGGTTTCAAATCAAGAAAGTACCCACCGCAGAACAGCGAACTAGACAAGTTTGAAGTAGACCTTCTCGACATGGTACACAACATAAAGTTTAGAAAAGTCAACAACAAATTCCAGAACAAACTCAACGAAGACATCAGCAAAATCAAGAAATCGACAAAAGCCTTCATTCCTGCAGACAAGACTTTAAACTTTTACAAGCTTGACAAGACGCAGCACGACAAACTCCTGAGGGACAGCATCACAACCACCTACAAGAAAGCTAGCACCGACGCCGCCAACATCATCGACTCACAGGCAAAATCTATGGCCCAAGAGCTCAACATCGACAACCGCACAGAACAAATCGCAAAACAACAAGCTTTTATTACCCTAAAAGACCATAAAGATAACTTCGCCAACCACCCTACATGCCGCCTCATAAATCCCGCAAAAAGCGAACTCGGAAAAGTCAGTAAACAAATTCTCCACAATATCAACTCGAAAATCAGAAAAATGACAAAGCTCAACCAGTGGAAAAACACATCAGAAGTAATTAATTGGTTCACCAATATACCCAACATGCAAAAACATTCGTTCGCCTCGTTCGATATCGACAGTTTCTACCCATCCATCACAGAATCCCTTCTCTCTAAAGCAATTTCATTTGCCAAGAATTACACCACAATCAACGACAAAAACATCGACATAATTATGCAGTGCCGGAAATCACTTTTATTTGACAACGAGACCGCCTGGACCAAGAAAAACCACAGCAGCATGTTCAACGTAACTATGGGCAGCTTCGACGGAGCACAAGTTTTGAGATTATCGGACTTTTCCTCCTGAACAACCTCAGCGAGAAATACGGCAAAAGCAACGTGGGACTCTACAGAGACGACGGGCTGGTACTTCTAAGAAACACAAGCGGACCACAATCAGAACGGACTAGAAAGGACATCACACGAGAATTTAAGAAGCAAGGACTGAACATTTCTATAAGCACAAACCAAAAAATCTGCAACTTCCTCGACGTCACCCTAAACCTTACGGACGGAACCCACTCTCCATACAGAAAGCCCAATAACGAAACTCTCCATATCGACACCAATTCCAACTATCCACCTACAATAATAAAACACCTACCATCAGCCGACGAATCTCCGACATTTCCTCAAGCAAAGAACTCTTTAACAAAGCCAAACCACACTAAGAAAGTGCACTTAAACAAAATGGACACGACAAGAATTAACTTACACTGAGCGCAAGAAACCTGTAACTCACACCGTACAAAACAGCCGCAAGAACAGACAAAGAAACATAATTTGGTTTAATCCGCCCTTCAGCATGAATGTAAAAACAAACATCGGCAGAGAGTTTCTGAACCTCGTCAGTAAACATTTCCCGAAAAATCACCGGTATAGCAAAATTTTCAACAAAAACAACATGAAAGTTAGTTATAGCTGCACAGACAACCTACAAACCATAATTAAGAAGCACAACAGAAAAATCCTCGAAACTAGCAAGACACCCTCCACGGAAAACAAATGCAACTGCAGGAAAAAAAACGACTGACCTCTGAAAAACAACTGCCTCACTTCAAGCGTCGTCTACAACGCCAACGTAGCAACAGAAAATGACACAACCGTCAAGCAACGTTACGCGCAACACAAACTTTCTTTTCGGAACAGAAACTATTCAAACAGCACGGAACTATAAAAGCATGTCTGGACGCTCAAAGACAGCAACACCAATTTTACAATAAAATGGAGTATTTTAGCGACCGCCCCGGCCCACAGCAACAAAAGCAAGCGGTGCCACTTGTGCCTCACAGAAAAACTTTATTTAGTTAGAGCTAAGAAACCGTCTTTATTAAACAAAAGAACAGAACTCATTTCTAAATGCCGCCACGAGAATAAGTTTTACTTAGCAAATTTCACAAAAAATCAGACTCGATCCCTTTCCGAAGACATGTGGAAAAGACACTTCGTGGAAGGTAGCGACTGATGAAATAACATATTTACTTCAATGTCACTTGCAATTTCATGGGATGAATTTCCTCAGAGCCCTAGTCAATATTGTTTTAAATTAAACCGCAAAAACTCAGTTTTTAATAAGCTTTTGTTACACTGTCTGAATCGACGGTCCGTTATCATTAAGTCGACAGACTGTTCTCAAGAAGGAGATAAGATCATCCATGGGCTGAAACGAAAAACAAAAGAACCTTTAGGAATACTGAGAAATCGATAGCTGGCAGAAGCCATGACGCCATAACGACCTAACACAACTTGTCATAACAACCACGGCTGTGCACGCGGACTAAACAGAATGTTCACTCTACCTCTGTTTTCATAAACGGAAACCACATCTATAGAGTTTTACCGTAATATTTTTCTTTTTTCCGAAAAAGGATCACACATACTCTAAATCCACATGATACTGATAGCATGTTTGTCCTCAACCGTTCCAAATAAGTCATCGTAGCTCAAGCTTAAATTGTGATTTCTCCCACACATTTCAATCGACGCCATTTAAACTGCTAGTGACGCGAAGCTCTTTCTGTGCTATATAAAGCGAACTAGTCCCAAGCTCCATAAATATCAGAGACAAAAATTTGGGGCTAAAATCTTAGGCTAGCCTAAGTTTTAAAAATTGGACTGTGACGCCTTAGTAATAAAGATAGCGGCGCGTGCGTTTTTGACCATTACACCTCTTATACATATAATGCACAAAGAACAAGTATTAAACACACAACATCGCCATGAAAGTGCACTGACGATTAATATGAAAGCAGTTACAAATCCTATTGTTTTCCTTCGCCTTACTTATCGACCTGGTTCGATGACAAATGTCTTATTTCGGTTTTTTCTCATCTAAAGGTCTTAAAATCTACCTTATCTACCTAGAGGCCTTATATATTTCTGAAGAATAGGCCATTCGTTCTGGCTAGATTCCATGGGATTTTCAGCCCTTGTTTTGATATTCAAGGGAAATTATATAATATGACTACTTCTCTACAAAGATCTTTGTACGTATGCGTTGTTTATTTAAAAACTGGAAGCATCTTTCTTAACAACTGAGGACTCTCCTATTCGAAAGGTGACAAAGATTACTGCCAAAACTATTCCAATATGAATAGAGTCGCGGGCTGTATTTAAATTTGATATACTTAGCATACAGTGAAATAAAAAATAACGACGTTCTTGACAACGTCAAGAACGTGAAAGGATTATCAAGGGTATCTGGTCCGAAATCTTTGCAATTTTTTTGAAAGGAAAAGTATAAGCCAGGATTTGATTGAGTCAAAATCTGCTAAATTAAAAATCTGAATTAATTTTGAAACGAAGACTTATCGCGGTGGACGTAAGCTTTGAAAATTGGGGAATATCGCCTAGTTTCAGCTGGGGGATACTCGGTCGCGTGCTGCGTTTGGGCCAGTTGAGCGCCAGCAGAGATATTTGAAGGATCATTAATACAGACATATTTCAATAAGAACTATGTAAACCACAGCACGAGATTGGAGAGTGCCATAAGCTGTGGGTCACTCTAAGTTACTTAGAGACATTACTACCGGCCACCTTTCTTGGATGGTGGTAAAGAAAGGTTCTACTCAACCGTATTTCCCCGGGTAAATAACATGCACCAATGTTTTAAGGCCTGCCTAGTTAGGTTTAACATCAGCTGGATAAGGTGAACTAATGAATATGCTGTTCCAGTTTTTCAAACCTTGTCGCCTCAATAAGCAATAGATGACTTGGAATGCATACAAAAAAGGGGCGTTTTCCATCGTTCTCGCCGCCTTATCTTCTAAGCAAACGTTTCTGGCAACGCCTGACCTATAGAGCTATGCCTATCCCGGTCGCATGGTATCTTAGAGAAACAGTCCCCATTATTTAGTACCCTCCTTGCACTGTTCTTCCCAACATAACTTTAGCCATGCAATAACTTTTTTGATGTCAAGGATTGGGAACCAGGAATAATTTTATTTCGCATTAATGCGTCTGAGTAAACTCTTGTTACAGACAACCGTCAATTTTTTCTCCTTTTAAAAGCATTTTATTCGGATCCTACATAATCCTCTTTTGCCTAATCGTAGTCTCTTGTTTTATGTTTTTTTTTTATTTTCCTGTCTATGGATAACAGTATAACCTTTTCAAAGCTTGTTAGAGTCTTGCACTGTATAATAATGTCTACAAGTCTATCCTAGAATGTACGTAATCTAGCATCTGGATGGGATTTTTTTATAAGTAAGGTATCTAGCTTTCACATGTTTAGCTAATTAAACTATGTTGAATTGCCGAGTGGTTAGTTGTTGTATTGACTCAGACTTAATCCTCTAACTTACTTCAGCTTAAGACTGCGATAGGCTGGATCGCTTAATTACTCTGATAAATAAACGTCACCAGCCTCTACCTTCCCATGAAAGACTTATTTTCTTTTTTCGTAATTTACAAAAGCAATCCAACCAAGTAGAAGGACAATGGATACTGATCAGTTGCAACTAAAGAATTATCGTGGCCTAAAAAATCACAGTACACAACAATCGGCTTTTACCAGCCACCTATTGAACCACTACTTAATGATATTCCTATTTCAACTCATATTCACTGAACGGGAGCAATTTAGTGGTCCACACTGCACCACCATCAGTTGGATTTATCTTTTCGGAGATGGGAAAACAGCATTCGTTCGAGCTTTCATTCGAGCTCTAATCTGACCAATCGTCTCTGTTTCAATTTTGCTCTCCAATCGCTCCTCAATCTATTAATAAACATAAGGTTTACATGAATCAGTAGCTGAGTGCTAAAATCCGCTTATTCAAGTGGACCGCATTCCGTCATGATTTCCACAATGTTACGGTATTTATTTTTTTAAGTTTTGATCTTACCTCGCTATTTCTCATACGTATACGATGCAAGATGAAAATCAGGACACCCTACAATACAAATATAATTATGGATAAGTCATTTTTTTTAAAAACACAATATCAGGATAAGTAAAGAGATCTTTGCGGAACAGAGCAGTTATTAACTCAGCAGAACATAATTTATAAGTTTATGAAGGGAGAAAAGCAGATGGTTGAGGGATTGACTGGCTGATGAAATTATTCATTGGCTAAACGGCAAAATGGCTAACAAAATTATAAAAAAACTGAAGGAATGACTGATAGATGGGTAGGAAGGACTGACTAAAGACTGACGGAATTATTTCGTTTGTTAAGAGGGTTCAAGTCTCTAACTTTTATGAGCAAAGCTGAGGTAAATTTACAACAAACCTGAGTAGAGTTGAGAATGGTAAAGATATAGGCGAAAGCCTTGTGTAGTGGTGACAGAAGACCAAACAACCAAGTGATGCCAAGAAGGGGAATCATCAGAACACATGTTCTGATGCCAAGTCTAAAAGAGGACAAATGATAGCTAATTCCAGCTTTCAGATGACTTTAGCTCTCATCGTTATAACCAAACAGAAAATCATGTAAATGGTGCCCTCTTAACCCTCGGACGTACAGGCACAACCTTACCCCAACTTTGTTACGAGAAGGCGGGGGGGACCGTGAAGCCTTACTTTACGCTATTTCGAAAAGTTTTTAACTTACATAGATAGCCTGTCAGGTCGTCTACAAGATGATGTTGAAATTATGGGATACATATGCAAGTGCCGCTGCCGGAGCGGGGAAAGGGTAGTGACCCCATTTAACATGGTGCATATTTCTCACTTTTCCACTTTAATTTTTGGCTTGCCCATCATTATCAAACTAGGCAAGAGAATAGAAAATAAGACTCGATCAGAAAATTAATAGGGAGTTTACTATACTCTCCTTCTTCAACTTTAATCCTCCTATAGCTAATATCAACCCTTAAACCACACCTCACTTGTCATTTAATATTTCGCATATCTATATGCTAATTTTCATCAAGTTATCGGCAAATATGTCTGCAAGATAAGTCAACAGCTACTCAAGTGGAAAGTCGCCCAATTAAAATCCTTTCGAAACATTAAAAAAAAGGAATAATATAAAGCTCAATCTAACCGGACTCGCAGAATCTTGTTGGCTCTTGTTTGCGGCAGTGTGGTCAACTTCCTTGTGATACGTGCGAGTATAAAACTGTTAAGCTAAAAAATCAACCCAAAACAAAAAAATAAATAGATCAATAAATAAATATAAAGAAAAGAAAAGGAAAACGACAATGAAGGAACGTGCATGTCTTATATGTCAAGTATCTTATTATAAAGTTATAGCTTTGATATTAACTTGCAAAATCTGATCATAGCTTACAACTCCAGTTGCCGTCAGAAATGTAACAAATATCCAGATCAAGTCATACGTTGACGGCAACCAACAACTTAAAAGGAAGAAAAGAGGAAAGACAAAGCTAAGGGAACAAGAAACTGGCAAAAAATCTCAAATCAAATCAAATGAAAATAAAATCAAAGCTCATAATTGAGAACAACTAAAATGGCGACATAATAAAACAAAAGGGAAAGACAAACAAATATCAGGGAGGGATGAAGACAAATAGTGCGCTTTGCTGCCTTAAAATAAAAAAAAAAAAGAATGAAAGAGATGATGATATTTGAAGGCTGAAAAGGAGTGTAAGAGAAAGAACGAAAGAGGAAATGAACAAGTCAGCAAAAAACGCGAAATGGCAGATTTGAGCAAAACGACAAACAAATCTAAGGGTATTTCTTTTTAAAAAGGAAACCCAAAACAGAGATAAACCAATCCAATCATGGAGAGGAAGCAAAACAGGAGGTAAAATTGACGTAAACTTTGTTTCTTACTATTTATTGCTGGTGTAGCTTTGAATCCCTCCTTTTCCAATCGCAATGCTGAGAGAAGTGCTGACCATAATGATGGGGAAACCTTCACACACAAAGAGAGGGGGTTGGTAAAAGTTGGCGTCAAATTATATCAGCAATAAACCGATTCAAAATACGGTAGATCAGCGCTAACAATAATAAATGTCATTATAGATTAAAGGAGAATACCCCATGCCATGACGTGATACACTATCAACCTATTGCTGATGTTGTAAACTTTCACAATCAACAAGTAAAAGTAGATTCCTTCCACTAGCATCCAGCAGAAAGCGGCCATGACGAAATACTGCGTAAGAACTGCTACTGTGATGCAAATGGCCTGCAAAAAAGGAAAAAAAAATTTTTCTTGCTCTTCTCTTTTTTACTTTTATCATAAATTTTAAAAATTTTATTATTAATTTCGTTAAATAAATTTCAGATTCGAAATAGATACCAAAAAACTTTAAAAAATGCGTGATAATGTTTATGATGAGATTAATTATTATGAATGTGAGTAGAAATTACTCACTGGGTTATCCAAGGCGTGCATTCCAGCGAGAAAGCTTATTTGACCAGCTGCGATTGATGCGACGAGACTCAGTCGTATTTGAGTGAGAGGTTCATGAACATCTCTAATTTAAGAAAAATATACCACGGTGATTTCTATATATTTGTTTTTTAGTATCAACCAATCAAAGGCACAAGAAACTTGACATTGATTACTCACGTGAACAAGGAATACATGATTATGGTTGGAATCATTCCGATAATGGAAAGGCTTAATCCTATGTAGGTGATAATCTCCAGAATATCTTCGTACTTCTGAGACAGCTGTGTAACAAATCAGAAACAGAGGGAATAACATCTTTATCTACTTAGTGAACATATGAGCAATGCTTAAAGCAATATTGAAAAACGTAATACCACACTGGCACCACTATAATCGACTAAGACACCAAAATGAGTCAAATGATTGCAGCTGCAGACTGTTTCTTCTGTGTTGCTTAGGGATGTAACTACATGACATCCATCTTTCGAAAATCCGTCTTGACTAAAAAATAGAATGAGATAATTAAACCATTAAATACTTAAAGTAATAGGCAATTAATAAGATGAAATCCTATATAGTTTTTATTCTACTTACTGGAATTATTCACTTAAGCCGGTTGGATATCGAAGATTAGATTCAGAGCCGGTAAGCAGCATCAATTTGATTGCTCTTGAAATGGCTTATTTGTGTCTTTTCAACGTCTCGCTTGGCTTTTGGCTTTGATGGGTTTTGAGTTCACCACCCAGAAACAAGGGTACTTTGGGGTGAAATCAAAGCACAGTCCCTTCATTGATACCTTGATTGTCAGTCAAGGTACAGTCCCTTCATTGATACCTTGTAAAAACTTATCGGTCAGACGTCTACTCTGGTTGAGGAGACGTTATTTATTATCAACAATTACAGTCTGTCGACTTCCTTTCAAGACCGCTCCTACCAGTTGGACCGTTACACGAACGTGTGATCGTGTGATCAATGATATTAAATATTCCTTGCGATTCGAAATTCAACCAATTCAGAAAAAAGCAAGGATATTGTTTGTGACGGTGATGTCAGTTGTTTTCCTATTTTACCTTTCGCTGAGGCCACTCCAGAATGTGCAATGCTTCTCTCTTGGATCATTCTGAAAGTTGATTCAAGTTTAATCTCTTTTTTATTAAATGATTCATCAACTAAACCTAAACTCATTGAAATTGAAACTGATCTAAACTGAACCGACTGAATATAACTTTGCTTTCGTTAATACCTTCAGGTTCTTGAACGTCAAAATTACATTTTCTTGTAGCTTTACAGGTTTGGGATCCATAGCTGCCATGATAATCCTAGTTTGCACGTGGCTAAATAATCAAATTATTCTATATGAGACATCAATCAAAAGGTAAAAAACAACGGTCACTTTTCTATTCATTGCGTGGGCAATGACGAGCTAGTAGCATAAATGTCAGTTTCCGAATTAAGATTTCTAAAATATTCTAGACATATACAAACTCGGCGAAGCTCTAACAGGGATTCTGAAACTTCGCTAAAGTCATAACGCCTATAATGGTTCTTTTTACCTCAAGTTTGACGTTCAAGTAATAAGCAGTAATACTAATCGTTTTCCTTACTTCGCTCACTCTTGCTTGTCCGTCTCAGCGGGACAGGAAACATGATCTGTAAGGCTAAATGTACTTTTTATGGTGGGGTCTACTTATCACTGCACGTTCCACTATTTCAATTTTTCATCGATGGGCTTTTTAATAAGACGGACGGAGGGTATATTATTCAAGACTAAACGTCCTTTGATTGATCGGATAGATAAAACTAGTCTCTGACTGGGTAAAAAAACCGAATGAATCCTTGAATATTCTCAAATGCACCAGCAGCTATATAATGTTAGATATTTAAGCCGTTCACGTACCATATTTTGTCAGACTTTGCTTGGAGTAAATCATGTAGACCCTCTAGATAGAAGTCACTTGCATTTTGTCTGTAACCATTTTGAATAGCGAGGACTTACAAAAGAAAGGGAAATATTCAATGTAAATATAACATTGATATTCAGAATTATAAAAGTAACAAACTAAATTAATTCAGTCAAGTTGCATTGTCCGTCAATAAATCAGTTAATCATTCAATCTCCCTGAAAGTCAGAATGAAGGTCAGTCTGTCTCAGCCATTCAGTTAGTGGACTGGTCCGTCATTCCGTTATTCAGTCCCTCCTTCTGGTCATACTCACACATATTTCGGAGATCGATCCTTACTGAACGTCGCGTTCCACTAAGATGGTACTTGCCATAGCTAAGAGCAAACTTCTCGAAGGCAACTGCCACCCTAAAGATAGATTCCGTTCTGAATTCGTCTACTCCAGGCTGGTCTTTTCCATGGGTGATGTTCAGGTATTTAACGGTGAAGTTTCCAAACACATTAGCAGCCTCCTGTAAGTACATAAAATGCATTGTATTTATGTCTTTTTTCACTGACCAAGGCACTCAAAGGCAATAATTATAGAAAAAAGTTATACCATGTTTCAGGAAATTCCATCCCTGAAAAAAAAAAAAAAAAAAACCAAAAAAAAACCAAAAAAAAAACACTGGTCCTCTCAGAGTAAAAAAAAAATCACCAACCGGTCTGGCATACTTAAAACACCAATTACTCTGCAACCATAGGCAAAAGAGTTTCCGTCGCCGTGCGGATATTTATTCGCCTACAACATATATATTTTATAATACTTACAAATCGATTCGAAGCCGGCAGTTGCATTTCGTTACACATCTAGAATAAATGGCTTTTATACTTTATTATTGAAATCACCTACCAGCAAGGAATTATTGCCGGTGACATTTAGGCCACTGAATTTTGAAACAGAATCACTTGCCTGAGATAAAGAAAACGGTGGTTAGGTATATAAACCACAAATTCCATGAAAAATAAGAAATATTACGATATATGAATAAGAAAAAATAAAATGTATATTACCAGCTTCTGAATTTCTTTCAACTGTGATTTAGAAGAAGATGTCGATAATGGAGTTAAAGAAAATGTCAATGTTGGTGATGGTAATGGTACAGACTTTAGTACTGATGAGGGCGGTGTTGATGATCTCTCTACTGAGATGTTTGACGGTGGGGATCTTATTGACAATAACGTTAATGATGGTACTATTAATGAAGACGGTTTTGTTGACAGAATTTCTATTGGAAATATAATTGATGACGAAGATGTTGATGACGACCTTGCTGTTGCTGACACTGTTGAGAAAGGAGATGTTGGTAGTAATGTTGCTCCGGTTGATACTGATGATAACGATGGTTTTAACAACAACCTTGCTGTCGATAATACCATTGACGACTGAGTTGTTGGTAATATTCCTGGTAATGATAATACCGGTGATGAAGATGGTTTTGGGAACAACTTTTCTACTGTAAATATTATTGATGACGAAGATGTTGGTGATGACCTTGCTGTTGCTGACACTGTCAAGAAAGGAAATGTTGGTGGTAATGCTGCTGCGGTTGATACTGATGATAACGATGGTTTTAGCAAGAACCGTGCTGTCGATAATACCATTGATGACAGAGTGGTTGGTAATAATCCTGATAATACTGGTGATATGGATGGTTTTGGGAACAATTTTTCTACTGTAAATATTATTGATGACGAAGATGTTGGTGATGACCTTGCTGTTGCTGACACTGTCAAGAAAGGAGATGTTGGTGGTAATGTTGCTGCGGTTGATACTGATGATAACGATGGTTTTAGAAAGAACCGTGCTGTCGATAATACCACTGATGACTGATTTGTCGGCAATAATCCTGGTAATGATAATTCCAGTGATGAAGATGGTTTTGGGAACAACTTTTCTACTGTAAATATTATTGATGACGAAGATGTTGGTGATGACCTTGCTGTTGCTGACAATGTCAAGAAAGGAAGTGCTGGTGGTAATGCTGCTGCAGTTGATATTGATGATAACGATGGTTTTTGAATAACCGTGCTGCCGATAATACCATTGATGACTGAGTTGTTGGTAATAATCCTGATAATGATAATACCGGTGATGAAGATGGTTTTGGGAACAACTTTCCTACTGTAAATAATATTGATGACGAAGATGTTGGTGATGACCTTGCTGTTGCTGACACTGTCAAGAAAGGAGATGTTGGTGGTAATGTTGCTGCGGTTGATACTGATGATAACGATGGTTTTAGCAAGAACCGTGCCGTCGATAATACTATTGATGACTGATTTGTCGGCAATAATCCTGGTAATGATAATTCCAGTGATGAAGATGGTTTTGGGAACAACGTTTCTACTGTAAATATTATAGATGACGAGGATGTTGGTGATAACCTTGCTGTTGCTGACACTGTCAAGAAAGGAAATGTTGGTGGTAATGCTGCTGCGGTTGATACTGATGATATCGATGGTTTTAGAGAGAACTGTGCTGTCGATAATACAATTGATGACTGATTTGTCGGTAATAATCCTCATAATGATAACACCAGTGATGAAGATGGTTTTGGGAAAAACTTTTCTTCTGTAAATATTATTGATGACGAAGATGTTGGTGATGACCTTGCTGTTGCTGACACTGTCAAGAAAGGAGATGATGGTGGTAATGTTGCTACGGTTGATACTGAAGATAACGATGGTTTTAGAAAGAACTGTGCTGTCGATAATACCATTGATGACTGATTTGTCGGTAATAATCCTGATAATGATAATACCAGTGATGAAGATGGTTTTGGGAACAACTTTTCTACTGTAAATATTATTGATGACGAAGATGTTGGTGATGACCTTGCTGTTGCTGACACTGTCAAGAAAGGAGATGTTGGTGGTAATGCTGCTGCGGTTGATACTGATGATAACGATGGTTTTAGCAAGAACCGTGCTGTCGATAATACCATTGATGACTGAGTTGTTGGTAATAATCCTGATAATGATAATACCGATGATGAAGATGGTTTTGGTACTAACTTTGTTGTCGATAATACCACCGATGACAAAGTTGTATGTGTTAAAGCTACTGATGATGCTAATGACGACAAAGATGTTGGTGTTAATGTTGTTGCTTTTGATACTGTTGACGACGAATATTTCAGGAAAAATGCTTCATCTGCTGACGCTGGAGCTGATGTTGTTTCATTTGGTAACATTGCTGATGATAATCATGGGCACAAAAAAATAATAGAGAGAACGTCAGGAGATTAAAACTGCGTCTGACATGCAGACTGTCTTTCAAGTTAAAAACTTCTAATCTAGTTCAAAATAGATTGATTGACATCTTTTACCTAAAAACCGAGGATGTGACGAACGCGATAACGAAAATTCAACTCCGAAAAGCACAAAGTATGCTATTTAGTTGAGAGTACCTCTTTTGAAAAGAATAACCTTTTAGCAGCCATAATCCGAGACAATTTTGACAAACAACCTTGGAGTGAGAACAGCGAAAGCTTTGCCATTTATTCAACGACCCGACACTTCGGCACGAAAGGCGAGTGACGTGTCAGCAAGTGATTGACAATGTCAAACATACGTTAAAAAAAATATCGTGATTATCACTTGAGCTATTGAGGATTTTCTCAGGGCTGGAAATCCGTGTAAAAAAGGACCGTTTTTAACATAAAACCATTCTAAGGCACCTTAGCTCTAGTAACGAGAATAAATAAAAAATATTATAGAGGGGAAAAAATGCCAAATTCTGATTCAGGGTTATTTATGTCTTCCCCTGGGCCCAGGGAATAAAAATTAACTAAAAGAAAAAAAAACAAACAAAACACAAAAAAAAATAATAAAATAGAACTTTAGTGCCCTGCCTATCTTTTTTATAGGGAGCGTGACGATTTCCTTTAACGAACTTACACGAAATAGGCCGTAAACCATAGGTTCCTGAGTAAACATATTCCAAAGGAAATTTCGTATTTAAGTACTGCAGTAAACTCCTCCAGGAGACATCTTTTTCACTTGAGCTATTAAGGCTTTTATCAGGGCTGGAAATCCTTGTAAAACACGGAAGTTTTTAACATAAAACCATTCTAAGGCGCCTCAATTCTAGTAACGACAACATGTAAAAGAAAATGCTCCTTGAACGAGCGCGTATAACGTTTGTGCTTGACGGCTCAGTTTAAAAGCTTTTCTAACTCAAAGCTTTCGAAGTACTTTCAGAGGAATTTCGAGAACAAATAAGAGATATTATAAAGGGAAAAAAATGCCAAATTTTGATTCAGGGTCAACTATGTCTTACCCCTTGGCCCTAAGAATAAATATTAATAAAAAACAAACAAACAAACAAACAGAACTTCAGTGCTCTGCCTACCTTGATGTTGGTTAGCGTTACCATCTTTTCTAGGGCCCATAGCATATCACTTTATTCTTTATCATTATTATTCAAAGCCCATTGCCTTTTTATCATGGCTGTCTTACTTTGGAAGCATCAAACCAGATATCACGGCTAGATTTTTCGGATACCTTTACCGTGTTTATTTTCAGTTTTTCATTTATATTTTGAAAGTATGTTTTTAGAGATTATCGAACAAAATAAAGTGTCAGTCTAGTTTTATTGTCAGAGAGCTGATCAATAGCCACCTGGATATATTTTATTTTCTGTTTTATTTAGCTTCGGGTAACAAGACATGACAGGAGTAAAAATGAAAATGAATAAGTACATGAATAAAAAACCTGAAAAAGTCGAAAGTCAGATCGACGGGTTTCGTCTACCTTTCCCTTTTCATGACAACACTTAAAAGTTGAAAGATTATACTTACCCAGCATAAAATATAATAACGAGGCAATATAAATTTTCCGAGATAAATGTCCACTGAGCGTCCTATCCAATCTTAGTCAGGGATATGTTTGACTTTCTGTAGCAGTCCTCGTTACGCAATTTGTACACAATCGCCGACATATGCTTTTTCCCGATATCTTTTCCAAGGATTTTCAGAGGTACG